GAGAAAAAATAAACCGCCCCCGAAGTTCATTCATTGTTGTTTAACCAAAACATTGTTTCAGCAATTATTTTAAGATATAAAACAATCCCTGGATATTTCCTACTATAATATCATTTAGTTATAATTTAATTATTGAGAAAACACAAATGGTGCTCAGAAGAAATGCAGAGAATGGGGAGCAATAATGGACTTAAGATTCAGCATCAACTGGAGCAATAAACCGCAATTTAACTCCAGCCTGGAGAATTTCAATTATAACAATGGCGTGGTAAACTGGAACAATATTAGGCCTATTGTTTAGGATTGATCGTCAAAAGAGTTTTTTCAAGGCCGCACTCCAATAGCCAGGGTTTTGTCGTATCAACTTGAAACTCCGATAAATACCTAATTTAGTGACGCAAATTAACTTGAATAAAATTGAATTTTAAAAAATCTATGTTATTTTTAGTCTAAATATATTCGATTACGGTAATCGTAAAGCTACTTTTATAGAATTTTGGAATTATATAAGAAGTTATTAGAGTACATTTTATTTTATACTTGGTTAATTATTATTTCTTTTTTTTTAAATCATGTTTATACTTCTTTACAGAATTCTCATAAGCAAAGTGTAATATTTAAGGAGGTGATAGTAGATATCCAGAGATACAAAAAATATCATATAAATCATAGTCCGATTTTCCGCAGAAAAGTAGAAAAATTGTATTTCCTGCTTTCAGAAAAAAGGTATTTCCAGTTACTTCAACCAAGTCACTGTGGCCTCCATGGAAACGAAATGGCTGATAAACTCGAGAAGAAGGGCTCCACATTGAACCAGCCAGAAAATAGAATATCATGTCATAGAGCCAAAAAAATAAATAAATAAGGCAAGTGAGGCTCTACTACTGGATTTCGTAAAAAGCTGTATTACTGAAAATCATTGGAGAAAATTGTTAAATGAAGCGGATAGAGTTTCGGATGATAACAGGCCACGACTACTTTAGGAAGCACCTGCATAGAATAGGAGTAAGAGAATCTCCACATTGTAATCTATGTAATTCGGGATCACATATGGACGCAGCGCATTTAGGTGTATGCTCGCGTTTGGTGAACATAAGAGATACCTAATTGCAATGTCACTGGGCTGAAAGATCTCTGATGGCGGAAGTCGATAAAGAGAGGCATAATTTGAAAAAAAAAAAAAAAAGTAAATGCATATATGCACTTTTTATTAATAAACAAAAATGTTAAAAATTTTTTTTAAAAATATTCTTCACCTAAAGTAATGATGAGTTTTGTTTACGTACACGTCTAGTATTTATGTGTGTGTGTATGCGTGTGTGATTCAGTTTCCAACCGCTTGTAATTTTTTATTTTTTTTTTATATTTATTCATGTAAAAGAATGAAATATTAATGATATTTTTTGAATTAATTCATGTATAATTTAAATTTTTTAACAAATAATTTTGTTCTGAAATCATCCCATTTCATTGCCGGATCCTATAGTTTTGTTCATCTTAATATAATACTTATATTGAAATAAGGTCTGGAAAATTTATTGTAACCTTCATTAACACCTAATTTTAACTATTGTCTTTTTGCAAACCACGACGATTCTTTATAGGGATATAGGGATATTACTGTAATTTTTAAGGGGAATCTAACTAAGCCCAAGTGAAAAATTGGAAGAGTTAAATGCAAATTTTGGTTATACCGATTATTTACATGTAACTAAAATTGCCAAGTATAAGTGAATATTTTCTCTTAATTCTTATTTATAAAAAGGTTTTTATTTTTTAATTTTTTTTTCAAAGTGCAAGAACGATTGATTTCAGCCAACACTAGTTTACAATTATTCTTTATTAATAACCTAGCAATTTCTGAGACCTCTATTAATTTGATTGTCTTTAGATTAGATGCATTTCATTGCTTGTATATTATGCTATAAACTGTTTTTATGAACAAATTTATAATATTAATATTCCATCATAATGCCTTTATTATACTAAAATATTATCCTGCCAACGTCTCAGATTTCCGTTATCACCAGTGCACTAATCTTGATTGATTATCGCACATAGCATTGTTAATGATTTTTCCAGATCCTAAAATCCTTATATAATATTTCAACATAGTTAAAAAAGATAATAAAATATCATATATCTGAATGTATTTAGTTGTACTTTCGAATAGTTGGATACTATGGAAACTAAATGCGGCTCATTATATATATTTCTTCCATCCTTCCAGTAAATATATTCCTCTATTGGTATGACTTGGTGTTAAATCGTTACTCAAACCGTTACCTAACCTTTTCTATATCAATTTCTTCCACTTTTCCAATTCCTTTTACAGTATTTTGATAGGTAGGAAGTGAATAGGCTGGTTTTGGAAAGTTTTAAATAATATTTCTCATAAACAGTTCTCACAAAAGACATGGTTGAACTCTTACCCTCACCAGATCCCAGTTGGAGTAAGGAACATATATTACAGATCACGGATGATATTTACCAGGTAAACACATCCCACCAAGATATCTTCCATGTTTGCTCGATAAGATCAGCCTGCCTCTCGTACCTTTTGTTTACTTTCAACTGTTTGGTTTAGCTGCAAGAATAATTATCTTCCGTATCATTCAACTTTTGAAATATTCCTTTTTAAATTTTCAAAAAGCTTTTCTGATTGATTTAAGAAAAAAAATTATACATGTTATTTCCCAGCCTGTAAGTAAATTATTCCAAGAATTTTTCCACTATTAATCTTCATTAGAATGCGGTCGACCGGGTGGAAAACTCATTAGTCCGTAGTGACGAGCATCAGACCACTGAATTTTCTTCTAGTTTTCATTATGTCCTTGCCGGGAGGAAATAACTCACTGAGATAAAAAAAAATTGAGATTAATTATAAAACAATTATTTACCTAAAGGAAAAGTGATTTTATTTTTATATTTTTTGCTAAAAAAAACTTCCCCTTTTTTTCCCTTTATAATTAGATACAAATGAGATTTTATTTAACTTCCATTCGTTTATTTAATGAATTCCTGTGGTATACTTAAACAAACTGTTACATTGTATCAAGGATTCCAGGCAAGATACATTTTTAAAAAATTTGGGTAGAGAACAAATAATATATAAGAGATTAAATAGTCTCGCATTATAGGAAACTCAAGTTTTATGGTGTAATGGTACATGGAACATACTAAGAGCATTCTGTGTACATTATGCTAATAAACAAAGTATTTGTCCCAAAAGAGAGCGTATATTTTAAATCTTTTTTTTTTTTTTTGATTGAGGAGAAGGATGGTTGGGACCTCAGTCAAAATAAAAGATAGTAAAAATGAATAATTATATTTATTTTTATTTTTATGTTTGCTAATTTAATTATCATACCAGCACTTACTGAACAAATTCTCTATACTTCCAACTAATTACAAAAGACTCATGTACATGACTATAATAAGGCCTATTTGGACTTACGGAGTTGATCTATGGTGCTCCACAAAACCATTGAATTCTTCTCGTATCCAATTCTTACAATCCGAAATCCTTCGTAAAATCCTCAATGCTCCCTCCTTAGTTACAAATAAAACCATCCATAATGACCTTAATGTTTCTTATGTTTCAGATCTGGCCCAATCCAGATACCCCTCCTTCCATAATAAACTTCAGAATCATCCCAACTCTCTCGTTTCTAACCTTGCTTCCTCTTCAATTTCTCATAAGGCGTCTGAAAAGAAGATGGCCCCGTAATCTCCTAATGTAGACATATCATTAGAGTGCTACCATTGGGTAGTTAATCAACAAGTGTCTTCTTGTCATTATATCAATATTTTCAAATTTACTAAATGTATTTCTTTAATACAGTTGTAAATATGATTAAGAAATATTTTTTTATTTTCTTTTAAAATTTGAAATATTAACAATCTAACAGTAGCTCCCAATCACTTTTCACACACTTTTTTAATATTGCTATGTGTTACTTTTTTTTTCTATTTTGTAAGAGAGGCAATATTCCCACTTTGATTCCCTCTTCCTCTACCCACGGTAACCTCCTTCACCGCAGCGACTAAGCGGTCAAAATCCCTGGATTAGAGCTGTTGACAGTATAGGATGTCTTCATCATATCTATGCCTCTATAAAATATTTCACCTCGTTTGAACCTGAAGCTAGTACCGATTTATATAAAGAAATAAGAGTAAGAGCCGAGAGGTCTTGAGAGAAATTTCTCCCTCGCTCGCAAAACATCTTTCTGTGACTCAATATGTTATTCTAGGATAAGATCAAGTTTACTACTAATATTCTGACCTCTACCCTACTTCTATGCATTTCCATAATCTTCGATGTGAGATATACATCCAATTTATCGAAGGAGCGTTTTAATTTTGAAATCCGCAGCTTTTGGGACGTATGGAGGCCCCAGCTACGTCACGAAATCCTAGTGGCCGATAATTTTTTTTTGTTTTTTAATTGAAACATTATTTTTTCGGCTGATTTGTATGTGAATCATCTCCAGATCCAAAGCATACATTTGAACATATTTATAATTCAAAAACAAAAATTACAATCACAATTTAAAAGTTGTCAAAATGGCATTAATAATAATATTGTTCGTTTTATAATATTATTTAGTTGAAGGAAATGATAAATAAATAAATTGGGATAAAAATTAATACGGTCTAAATAATGAAAAATACACTGATTAAGTAGCATTGAAAATTAGTTTTGAAGTCTTCACTTAATCTTGGCTTATACAGTTTATTGATTTACGGATTATAGATTATAGTTTCTTAGGGAAAAGTTTCCTTGGCGAAGAGGCATAAAAGTATGAAGATGTGGTGGCAAAATGTTACTAAGGACTTGCTTAGTTTAATAAAAAAAACTTAAAGTGAATCAAAGATAATGACGAACATTTTAAATTAAAAATAAATAAACAAAACGAGTAATTAAATAAAAATATGCTATTCAAAATACCTAACTTCAAAAACTTTTATTATACCTTTATGTTCCTCTCTTCATATAGGTCACACCATGGAGATCGCAGGAGGTGTAGCTGGGGCCAGTTTGGCACTCCTCATCGTCGTGTCCTTGGTCATCTACAGGAACCTCAAGTACGAGCAAGAGCTGGATAGCCTTCTCTGGAAGATAGATTTCAAGGACATCCTCATCTCCGAAGGAACTGACGACAAGGATAAAACTAAGGTATGTTTAGCTCCTTCAAGCAGGGTGTCCCCTAAATGACGGGGATATATAAAATAGTAGATCTCAAAGCAACAAGAAAGTCAATCTAAACCATATTCCCATTCCGCGACGGGAAGACAAGAAATTTCAGTTTCACGTCATATTTTTTGTTGAATAGTAAGAAATAACTAATAAAATATTTACTAATTGTAGTATTTTCGAATTATATCATAAAAAACTATAAAAATAATTCTTCTTAAAGCAGTTGCTCTTTCTTAAAATCATTGATTATTCGCGATTGTTTTTATCAACTTCTAACTGGACTAAAGATTTCAATTTGTTAATTGGATTGAAGTCTGTTCAATATAAATATATACAATAAAATATTCTTTTTTTAACTCTAAAAAATACATAAAATAAAATATTTAATGTGTTTACATCAAGCTTAATTTAACAGTTTTTTAGCTCTTGCTTCCTGTTTTACAAAAAGCAAGTTACTTAATAAAGTCAAATAACTGTTTTTGTATGGGTTAGGGACATGGTCGATGTAAACATTTTTTGTTATTATTGAGGTATCATATAACTTCTATAGATATTTCTCATAAATTATGAGACACTCTGTATAATATTGTACAAAAATATACAGCATATTACTTAAACCATGTTAAAAGAAGGCTATTCATACTGGAAAAATTACGATTAATTACAATTAACATTTTATTTGCATTCATTTCATGGATCCACTATATAATATATGTTACATAAACAATGTGAATGTACTCTGATTTTACTCTTTTCAAATTACTACTTCCTTATTTTTTTTCCCTGCTCAATACTGTTTAAGTCGTGAACCAATGACTTCCTGTCCTTGAGTATCCTTTAACAATACCTCACTTATTCTTGTTGAACAAATTACTTAGGACTCCACCTGGAAAAACGCCTAACTTGGAATACTCATACCAGAATGAAACGACAAGAAACCGCTCGACATTTCCGACTACTTCAACACTTACTAGACAAACGCTCTCACCTTATAATTAATTACAAAAGATTCATGTACATGACTATAATAAGGCCTGTTTGGACTAAAGGAGTTGAGCTACGGAGCTTCACCAAACCTTCAAATTTCTCTCGTATCCAATCTTTACAACCCAAAATCCTTCGTAAAATCCTCAATGCTCCTTACTTTGTTACAAATAAAATCATCCACAATGACCTTAATGTTTGTCCAATCCAGATATCTGTCCTTCCATAATAAACTTCATAACCATCCCAACTGTCTTTTTCTAACCTTGCTTTCTATTCAATTTTTGATAACCCTCCGAGGTGTCTGAAAAGAAAATGGCCCCGTGATCTCCTAATATAGATATATTATTTTTGAGTTCTACCAATGGGCAGTTTCTCAACATGTATTTCATGTCATTATATCCATGCAAGAATTTACTAGATGTATTTTTTTTATGCAGTTGTAAATATCATATAAGTAATAATAAAATAAAATATTGTTTAAGGTAACCCATCCGCTAATGAGGACAAGTCAGGTGTCTCTCAGCTCGAACCCAGATTGCGACTTCAGGTATTCATCCTTGTTCACGACGGTTGGGATATACAAAGGGAGGGTCTTAGCGGTGAAAAAGGTTGACAAGAAATCTGTTGATATCACCCGGAACATGAAGAAGGAACTGAAAATAGTAAGGTTCTATCGTCTTCTCATTCGATATAAATATCTAAATAACTGCTGTTTATTAAACTGTTTTTTCTGTCCAGATGAGAGATTTGCGGCATGATAATCTCATCCCTTTTATTGGAGCGTGCACCGACCCTCCGAACATTTGCATCGTAACCGAATACTGCAATAGGGGGTCCCTCAAGGTTTAATTTTTATTGTTAAATAATATAATATAAATATAATATTTATGGTTTCTTTAGTAAACTGTACCTAATTCACTTGAATTTAATTTATATTTTATATAAAATATCATTTTAGGACATACTAGAAAATGAAGACGTGAAGTTGGATAACATGTTCAGAGCCTCATTGGTAGGAGATATACTCCAGGTATAATTTATAATTATTTTTTTTTACAATAGATTTTTTATGATTATTGGGTAACGAAAAATATCAGTTCAACAAAAAAAAGACATATTTTTATCATATTATTTTAAATAAAATCTTTATTCATTAACAAAAAATTAAAATATAACGTACCCTTAATTTAACAAAAACTCCTTTTTCACAAAATGGCCTTTTTAGATCAAGCTAACATCATTATTTTCCCTTTCTAATTTTATCTTTTCTCTTCTTCCAGTATCGTCTCAACTTTTCTGCGTGCCATTGCTTCCTCTCTTTAGATCACGCAGTATCTTTCTAGTTTTCCGCAAGAACCTTGATATCTTTTTAATTTTTTTCAGTATGGGTACATAATAAGAATGGACTAAATAAGAAAGTCTTTGACAGAATCCGTGAATACGTACAAGAACGTAAGAGAATATGTAAAATATATGACAAAAAAGTTGAAAAAAACAGACAAAAGCTCACTGCATATGAAGCAATATAATAAACAACTCGTTTATATATTAAAAGTTAAAAAAAAAAATACGGCGTATACTTACATAAATAAACCTGTTGATTGCTCCAATTATTTTCATGAAAGCATCCATTTCTTCACCCACACATGCCCTAGGCAATGACAATTAGCGGGTCTGCTGTCGGGTAAGAGGTAACAGAAAGTGGCTTCATCGGCGTGATGGAGAGGAGTGCCCAGCGGCATCCCTTCCTGTCTTGAATTTAGGACACACAATCTTCAAGAATATGAAATATGAACTGTCAGTTAAGTGTAGTCATTTTTTCTGAAAACACGAATACTTTTAGGGGACAGAATAAAAAATCACATAATTTTTTACACAGCTTAAAGTGAATATATATTTTTTTCTTAGTAAATCTCCACTAATTTATATAGACTCAAAGCTAATGAAGTTTTTCTTAAAACTGAGGAAGTTTTTCTAAAAGTGGTATATATATATATATATATACTACAATTCACCACTAGATATATATATATATATATATAGTCGGATCATAATATAAAAAAGTTTAGCCGCTCAAAAGTCCTCTTTAAATAGTTTTAACAATGACAAACTCTATATTTATTTAATATGAATTTTATCTTGTTTACAGTTAAGCAATCGTTAATTATTTAAATTAAGTATTTCCTTTGTAATTGCTTCCTATTCATCGAAAAACACGACTTGCTTAAAAAAACACAAAACTTGGATTTTCTATTTTTCTCTCGAAAATTGACCCATTATTTATATGAACTTTTTTGTATCACTTGAGTTCTGCTATAATTTTTGTAAAAAATTTCCTCTAAATATTTACGGGACAACCTGTATAAAGAATCAAAATATACAACAATAAATACAGGATGTGTAACGGCGCACAATGATACAATATTTTCATGACAGTTCTGTATTGCAGGTTTGTCTTCAAGACAAAATCAGGCGTACATTAGTTAGTAAATCGTTTAATATTTTTTTTTTATGGTTGAATATTTTTTTTTTCTTCTTTAAAACCCATATTAGAAAAAACATTTTTCCACATTATAGATTAATTTATTTTATTTTATTACTATATATTAAATTATCAATTATTTTTCTCAATTTGATATTTTCGTAAATTATTTTAAATAATTTTATTTCATTATTTAGTAAAGTATTTGTTTTCATTTTACTATACTTCTAATAAATTTTGCCCAGACTTTACTCAAAGTATTCGCTCTTAACTTGATTAGTAATGACATAACGTTTACCCTCCATCTTGAAGTTTTAATGAAATGAAGTGTTGACTCAATTTATTAGCTAAAAAAAGAGACCAAGGGAGCATCCAGGTTGTCCCCAAACGAGTCCATGAAAGATGGCGGAGGACATGATGGATTGGGTAGCAAGTCATTAATATAGATTGAAAACAATATGGCAGCCGCTCTTGGTCTAAACAGTTCTGCCTCAGTAACTTCCATTTGTCAGTTCTGTTCCTGTGGTTTAGTTTGGACAGTTTTTCTCTTCCATCAGAATCGTTTTCATGATTTTATTTAATCTGATATAACATTTATTTGAAATATCATATCTTTATCCTCATAAAAATAACATTACTTTGTTTTCAAATACACTTAGAATTGGATTTGAAAATTAAACATTCGGTCTTTTTTATTTGATAACAGTTTAATAAATACTTGTGAAACATGTCATAAATAACAGTCCAGTATTCTTATAGTATATTGGAAGAGTTATAAAATCCGGTTATCGATAATGAAAGAACAAATGTTTCTGTTATCACTTCTATAAGTTCTGGAGACCCTATTTAAAAAAATTAAAGAAATCTAAAAACAAAACGAACCGATCTCTCTCTCTTTTTTTTTTTTTTTTTTTTTTAGTATTAATCATTTTATTGCGATATAATACGTTTTACTACACTGAAGGGTGCTGAGTATTAAAACTGTAAGGCACATTCAGACCATGTTTACAATATAATGAAATAAAATAAAAATTGATATATTAAAGATAATAATATATATATATATATATATATATATATATATATATATATATATATATATATATATATATATATATATATATATATAGATAAAAACTGTAATAAAAACAAAGAAATACAGCTTGTAGTGAAATAATACAGAAAATACTTAAGGAAAAAAGAAAAAAATTAATAAATATTAATGATAATAAATTATTAGATATAAGTAAATAGAAAAACGAATATAAACCTAACAGTCATACTGAATTAAAATATTTACAATCAGCCAAGAGAGTTCTGAGTCCAGCCCTTTCCCCATCTTGTAGAGGACAAGGCTAGGCCCTATGAGATCCCAGCGCTTCTCTCTCAGCCGCGTCACTGGCATTACAGTCCAGTGGAGACTAAGGGAGAGCACTGCTAGGAAGTAAATTAGAAAAGTAATAATTTCATCCACTCTGTAATGAGATATTATTCAATACTGTATTTTAACAAGACGACGTGTTATAGATGCGAAAACGAAAAAACGATGTCAAAAACCAAATTATAACAGTTTTATGGAAGATGTGGATTAAAATATCTCAGAAACTAAAAATCGGAGCTGCATACTTTAAGCGAGAGAAATTTCAAACATTTCACCCTCTATATAGTCATTATATTAAATTGAGCTATTATTTAAAATTTATGTTTTATATTATTTATCTCGCTTTGATATTTTCACTTCTATCCTGTGGCCTAAAGCACATATCTTATTTTTTTCTCGATTATATCATCAAATTATTTTATAATTCAGTTGAAAAGAAAATGGTTGTTCGTGAGTTTTTAGTACCTCATTAAATAAGTAATGTGTACCAATCTGCAGAGAATGAAAACGCGTAGCGCGTCACTTTTTTCCTCTAATTTCCATATAATAAAAAATGGGGATAGCCGAGCGAAGTAAAGCGTTTGTAAAATACGCTTTTCCCGGCAACCTGATAAACCTAAGTGTGTATGATAACATAATTACGAATTCGCGTCCCAGTGCAAGAGAGGTTTTAACTCTGCCATCTTCGCTGGTCTTGAGAAAATCCCGTATAGTATAAAAGGTGAAGAAGGGAACAACAAAAAAGCAAGTTGTAGTTTACGAAAAGAAGAAGCCTTTCATGAAGTTGTAGACGGATGTTAATAATTTGATAAGTTGAGTTTATAACACGGTCTATAACTTATGAGCTGCAACATAAGATAGAGTCAACTGGCGGAGGCTCTTGGAGGAGGCCCAGTCTCGGTAACGGGATGTTGCGCCACATTTGTATGTATATATAATTTATGATGAAATACAATTGTAAATTAGGGATCCTCAAAGAAAAATAATATTAAGCTCAGAATGGCCATTTTGATTACTGCATAATCTGAATATTTTTTTCAGTTTCTAACATTGATTTACATGCCATGAAGGACGGGGTGGCCGAGCGGGCTAACGCGTGTGCACTGCACCGCGAGTTGTCCAGCAACATCATAACTGGATTTTATAATCAATAAAATAACTACGAGTTCGAGTTCTGGTGCCAGTAGTTCTTTTAAACTCAGGTATTAATCTCTCGCCCTCATCCCCTGGCCCGTGAAAACCCAGTATAGCCTAAAAGGCGAGGTAGGGGAAAACAAAAAAAAAATTAAATGATCCACATGACATTTTATATTTCTTATATAGGGGTTAATATTTCTTCACGAGTCACCGCTCAAAGTTCACGGGAACCTCAAGTCAACCAACTGCTTGGTCGACTCCAGGTGGGTCGTCAAACTGTGCGACTTCGGCCTCTTGGACTTCAAGAGCGGATCGGACTTCTCCAGCATGTGGAGTCTCAAACACTTCTGCAACGAGCTGGACTCATGCTTCTGTTCAGGTAAATTTGAATGTTTACCTCCTAATCCATTCGAATTTTTAATTATATTTCAATCCAAGTTGACTTAATATCAAATATGATGTAAGTTAACATAGTCAACATGTTCGTCCGTTGACAACAGTACATAAGGTAGTTCTAAAGATGAAAATCTCAAGCTTCTAAATTCATCAAATTTACACAAATACTTTTATGTTCCTGTTTTAAAGAAAATACATAAATTTGCACAAGTAAATATAATTTAGTTCTTCGAAAATACTATTGGGATAAATATGAATAGGTCATCTCAGGTCAAAGATTTAAATACGAGTCAATGATCTGTAACGAGTATAAAAACTTCAAATCAATGAAAACTTCAAAAGTCGAACGAGATATTTTCTAAGATTTTTTCCTCAAATCCCAAATGCGAAAACAAAAAAAAAAATGCACAACTTCCTTTATCGTAAAACATGAACCTAAAATTATTTATATCATTATCACACAATGTAATATATCGCTACTGTTAGTGCAAAATGTGTTGTGTAAAAATTGAGCAGTTTTTTTATATAGTAGAACATAAAATCTTATTAGAGGAAGGAGATGGTCTGGGGTGGCGGTCATAAATAGGCTAAATAGTAGTAAAACTATTTTATTAAAAGCCGACGTTTCGACCCGGCTTTGCAGGTCTTCTTCAGGGAGGTGTGTTCAGCTAAGAGCTTCTCTTAGAACTGATTCAATTCTAAGCGAATCTCCTATAAAATGCATTCTATAATATTTTATTACTGATTCAGTTCTAAGTGAAACTGCTAGCTGAACACACCTCCCTGAAGAAGACCTGCAAATTGGGTCGAAACGTCGGCTTTTAATAAAAATAGTTTTACCACTATTTAGCCTATTTATGACCGCCACCCCAGACCACCTTCCTTTATAATGCAACGGTCAACTATTAAATATTCAGTAAAATCTTATTATTTCTTTAAGATTTATTAGTATCATTTCTTATTTTATTTCCCACTGATATTTTCCATAGTAGCTGATTATTTATTACAGTTACACACTACAAAATGTCACCTTTAGCACAAATAGAATGAACATGAAAAATTGTTCCATACGACCATTTGCACTAACAGTAGCAGTATTGTATACATAACCCCTATTCAAATAGCAAACGTATTGAACTAATACTCCATATTCCGGACAGGACTGCTGTACAGGGCACCGGAACTCCTGCGGAACACGCTGTCGTGCAACTGCATCGGTAGCCAAAAGGGAGACAGCTACAGCTTCGGGATCATCCTCTTCGAGATCCACACCAGGAGGGGGCCCTTCGGCGACACCTCGGGCCTCAGCCCCAGGCAGATCCTCCACAGGGTCATCTATCCTTCCTCACAGCCCTTCAGGTCGGTACTGTCTTCCTTTCTCAATCACAAACTATAGTTCTTAGTGTCATACTTCTTCATCTATTAAATAGAGTTCGTCATGGTCCAGCGGATAGAAGTCTAAACTTAAACAACTTTAAATTAGCAGCTCCACGGAATGAAGCATCTCCTTTAACCTCTGGTTAAAATAGTTTTGGTAGTACTTCCAGAACAATCTCCAGTATGCCAAAAATGGTAATGTAAGGGGTAATTGATAAAAATCACACTATTTATAAACAAATATTCTATCTATCATCCATCCTACATCTACACTGTTATTTCCGTGCAGTGTTCACGCATTATTTTAAGGCAAAATAAATCTTATTTAAATGTATAACGTTCATTTTATTTTTATTATTATAAATAAAATATGTAATCAGAATATTGATTTATTATTATCAATAATAAACTATTGTAATCGACCGAAAAATTAAAAAACTTAACCCTCTCTCAAAACGTTTCAGGATACGTAGAATTCGAAAATAGGATAATTTTTTTTTTTGTCTGTCTGCCATCCGCGCATTTTCTCTGAAACTACTGGACCGATTTTTTTCAAATTTCGATTTAAAGTCAGAGGTCACCCAGGATGATCCTCCTACCATCGACATTACTATCCGCCTTTTCCTTTGATGATTCAAGGTGGCTGAAAAAACCTGTGTTTCTACAGACTGTAGCCACTAAACAAATATACCAACTTCAATGAAACGTGGTTAAAGTGTTCTTCTCGATGTCCTTTAAATTTAGCTATATAACATACTTCAAGGAAAAGAAGCTGGGAAAAAAGTTACTAGGGGTAGTAAAATTAGATGCTGAATAATTCAAAAAGTGTACACATTTTTGTTGATATTGTATGGTTATTTAAAAGTTTACGAAATTTCCTAAAAACAAAAATAAATTATTAAAATCGGACAATTTGGAGCAAGGGAGTCTTTAGTCTTTATTTTTTATGATCTGCTTCAAAGGTTATATCCTATGTTTTGGTTTTTTATTTTTGAAAGTAATGCTATTTTTTTTTTATTTTAGCATATAACTAATGTTGAAAAAAAAAAGTTGTTTAGGCGAATAATAGGAATCACCTTTTATTTATTTTTATTTTTCACTTGGAATGTAATGTTACTTTAGATGTATAATTGTTTGGAAATAATTTGCAGCGTTTTGTGTTTCACTTTAAAATATAGTAAATTTACGTATTATGTACATATATATCGTACAAAAGGTAGCATGAGAATTTTGTAATCACACAATCCTTAGAATCGAAAACTACCGTTTTTAGTTTTAGAGTTTGAAAAAGAAATCTGCTATGTGTCTGCAGTCAAATCCTCTGGCCATAATTTTCCGATTGACTAAAACTTAATTACTTTGAAGAATCAGTATCGTTGTAAAAATTACAAAACCTTTTTTTTTTCTTTAAGGTAACCGATATAAATTTTTACATGAAAATATTTTATTGATTTTTTACTCTGTTTGGATTGAATATAAGATTAAATATCATATAAAACTTAAAAATAAACATTTAAAATTTCTTTAAAAATATTAATATTTTCATACAAACCTTCTAAGAGAACAATTTACTTGTACAATTTTATAGCCAATTAATTACTGCTGTGATAGTATCGGATCTATTTATATTTATTAATTAATGGTACAGTTGGGATTGTTCTGTTTATTTTCTGATAAGTTTAGAACTGGCCGCGGGCTACGCCAACTAAGCATCATTGCTAGTCAGTAACTTTAAATTAGCCACTCCATTATTAAAAGTTAATTAATTAATAACCCGTCTTTAGTTGCCATTTATTTATTTTTGCAAATGCTTCGTGAATAGTACAGCATAGGTTTCAAATGACCTTATTTATAACCGTTTCCCCAACTTCTAATTTCTATAATTCTTTATTTTATTTATTTATTTATTTATTTATCAATCCTGCCGTGCCTAGTAGGCAATACGGGTGTCTGCAATAGTAAGATGTTAGGCAGGTCAGCTCAACATCTCACTGCTGCAAATGAATCTCTTTCTTCTGCTCTTTCTTCATTTTTTTCCTCTTTCTTCATGGTTGCTTTCCTATAATTCTTTACTTCATCTAAAACAAAAGTCTAGAGAATACAATAAGTAAATGAGAAATTTGTAACATGGCATGTACAACATGAAGAGAAACTACCCATTGGTAGAACTCAAACTAAAGTTCTATATTAGAAGATCCCGAGGCCATCTTCTTTTCAGACGCATCGGAGGGTTATCAGGGATCGAGGAGGAAGCAAGGTTTGAAACGAGAGGATTCGGATGGTTCTGCAGTTTGTTATGGAAAGAAAGGTATCTGGATTGGGCCAGATCGGAAACATATGGAACATTAAGGTCTTTATGGATGATTTTATTTGTGACAAAGTAAGGAGCGTTGAGGATTTTACGAAGGATTTTGGATTGTAAGGATTGGATAGGATACGAGAGGAATTCGATAGTTTAGTGGAGCCCCAAAGCTCAATTCCGTAAGTCCAAATAGGTCTTATTATTGTCATATATACGAGTCGTTTATAAGTGATTGAAAGCTTAGATCGTTTGTCTAGTAAGTGCTGCAGTAGTTGAAAACGTCGGGCGGTTTCTATTCGTTTCAGTCTGGTATGGGGGTTCCAAGTGAGTCGTTTGTCAAGGTGGAGTCCTAAGTAGCGGATTTGCTCAACAGGAATAAGTGGAGTATTATTAAAGGATACTGTAGGACAAGAGGTCATAGGTTTACGACGGAGGGTAAAGGTGATTTGATGGGATTTGTTGGAATTTATTTTTATTCTCCAATTTTTACACCATTCTTCAAGGCTTGTGATATGTGATTGAAGAGTTTGGGATGAAATTAAAGGATCGTTATTAACTGATAGGATACACGTGTCATCGGCATAGGTGGTGATGACATTGTTGGAAATACAAATTTAAATCGATCTTTGACTTTTATCGATTCGATTAAAAATCATGAACATTCACTGAGTGATACGGTTTTATATAAATAATAATGATTAAATTTAGATCAAAATATTGTTGATCAAAAAATTAAAAATCATCTTGTACATACAAATTAATTAAATATGTACGTCTAAGTTATTAATGTGCACATTTTTTAACATTATATTTCTGAAATAGCTTTAATTGTGCCCGTAATTGAGCCTACAAAATATACCTAATGTATATATTTCATTATTTTTTTTAAGCCAATATTTCTATGGATTTCGGAAATAATGATGTTCTGTTGTTAATAGTTGACAACAATGTAAAAAAAATTATATATGTGACTTAAAAAAGTATTACACAAGAATTATTATAATTGTTTTTCTTCTTCCTTAACTCCACAACTGATTGGAGAGTCAAGGCTTCACTCAGTCGGAGTGAAGGCTTCCTTGTTCTTGGTTGCTACTTTCCAATTTCTTATACCCAACAGCTTCTGAGTATCTAATGATACTTATGCCAAATCATCGAACACTACGTCCGAATATTTTTTCTTCTAAGAGCAATTTGGATACTTCATTACTGTGAGTGCAATATGCTCTGCCCGTCTTAGACGTCAAACTTTTATTAAATGGACGATATCAAGGTCGTTTTATCGAATCATAACCTCAGCGTTTTTCCTCGATCTCTATACAACGTTGATACACGTAGTCCCCATAATTCTTCTTAAAATCTTTCTTTCAAATCTCAAAAGAGCTGATTCTTAGTGATTTTATTATTAATTATTTTTGTTTATTGTAAAAATTTTGTTCAGAAATAATGATCAGGATAAGATTTTATCACTTATGATAAAAAAAAAAAAATTGATGTTAATAAAAATCATCAAATGATTTTTAAAAATTCCGGGTTAAAATTTTAATCTAATTTGATTTTTTTAATTATCGATTTCAAACCCTGTTAGATTTTATATCCTCAGAAATAACTTATTAAAAAAGCAATCTAGGCTTAATTTTTGTATTTTTTTATTTTATTTGATATTATTGAATATTTAATAGTTGACCGTTGCATTATAAAGGAAGGAGATGGTCCGGGGTTGCGGTCATAAAAAGGCTAAATAGTGGTAAAACTATAATTCACTTAGAACTGAAGTGACTTTCACTTCACTAAGGGAAACTCCTAGAGGAACACACCTCCCTGATGAAGACCTGCAAAGTCGGGTCGAAACGTTGGCTTTCAATAAAATAGTTTTACCACTATTTAGCCTTTTTATGACCGCAACTCCGGACTATCTCCTTCCTTTATTTTATATTATCTTCGTGGACTTAACGATTTTCTAGGTATTAGGAAATGGAGCGAAGTACATCGGCATCAGCGCGGCAGAAAAGATTTATGTAGTGGAAGATTTTTATAATAAGACTGCAACCAAACGCTTCGAAGACGCTTATGTCCAGCGACTTTTTAAATTACGTTAGAGTTATTTTATTTTATCTAATATTTATAATTAAATAGAGTAATATAGCCACATCAAGTAAAAATCTAATATAATTTTTGTATTGACATATCCCCATCTGACAATGGCGTTTTTGGTCCATACCAAATATTATAAGTATATAAGATAACACTATTATTAACCCTAGAAATAGAACGGATGTAGCATGGTATACATATAATTATTACCTTTAAAAGATTTTGTCATAGTTACGGCACTTTAACTTATATATTTTACCAATAAGATAAAATGAAACCAATATCATACATCTATTTTCAAGACAAGACATTTAAATTTGATTAAAATGTCCATCTTGATGAAGAAATATGAAGAAGTATAGTAAGAGGTAACAGTGAATCAGTGGAATTTTAGTGAAAATTAACATCAAGGGGCGGTTGGAATTTTTAATTGACATGCATTTTATCTATTTTATTCCTTTATTTATTTAAAATGCTTAATAATGTTTCGTTTATATATCAATCATAATGCAGTTTTTATTGAAGTACTTTGATGCGTATTACTTGTAATGGCTATATATAATCTATAGAATTTGGTCTTATTGTCTTCCTAGCGTAAAACTCGTTAATTGCGGACAACGATTAACTCCTGCGGGTTAATTCCAATACAATTGTTGGAGAGAGAGAGAGTGAGAGCGAGAGAGATAGGAAGGAATGCCAAACTCCACATCTATAAAGTAGTCCTTCTCCCTACATTATTATATGGAAGCGAAAGCTGGATCAGCCAAGACAAGCACTTAAGGAGGATTACGGCTGCTGAAATGAAATTTTTAAGAAGAATTTTGTGAATAACCAAGAGAGGCAGAGTGAAGAATGAAAGAATAAGAGAGGAGCTCCTGATACCCTCATAGAAAGCAACCATGCGAACCATGGAATGCTTCGATGGTATGGACACATGTGTAGAATAGAAAAAACAGAGTACCAAGGGAATGCATGGAAGCGAGGCCAACTGGCAGGAGATCACGAGGCAGGTCTAGAAGAGCATATCTGGAACTAGGTGAGGGAAGAGATAAAAACCCCAGGTAATATGAAGGGATTGGCAAGAGACAGTTGAAGTGGCTGTAGGCGCATCCACGCTTAAAGGCACACAAGGAGAAAGATGAGAGAGAGAAGCCTTCCTAGCCGAAATAAAATTTATTTTGGGCTATGAAAAAAATACTCTACATGTTATTTTATTAAAATGATATAATAATGTCTGTTAACTTCCTACATCCAAAATTTCATCAATTGTGGAGCCTAAATTTTAATAAAAAACAAAAACAGTAGATTTCTAAAATACTGTGTTTTTAATTACTAAGTATTTAAATTGTTTTCAGAAAATGTATACAAAACACTAGTTTACACAAAAAGTATTTTGTGTTTTAATTATAAAAGAACAAAATACCTTCTGATTGACGATATATGCAACAATATAATGCAGGACACTTACTCTATACGATAATTTATTTTGTGTATTTAAAATACAAAATAAAATATTTTTTGTATTTTAATATCTTGGAAATAAAATAGATTTTTTTTTATTTTGTATTTTAAAAAGAAAATATTGTTAAAAACAATCTATTTAAAATACTTTACTTGAAATACTCTCCAAGTCTGCTTTATAGCAATATATACTATTTAGTCACTAACGTCTTACTGGCTTTTTATTATTGTGATCCTCCCGTTTAAATGCTTTTATACTTAAAAATATAGGATCATTTAAGAATATAGAATATAGAATTAATAATCACTTCTGAATAAATAGTATTTGTATTTTTTATATTGTCTTGGTTGAAGTTTTTGTTTCTACCATTGCTATCAGCTGAAGACAAGCCGAAAACTGAGTGAGCCCAACATCTGCCTTTATTCTTGAAAAATTGAGATTCTCTGTGACGATAAAAATTTAGTTTTCTTTGAATAAAGAAATTTCACAATTTCAAATTATCTGTCAAGAATAAGAATTTATTTTTAATAGAAAACAAAGATCAATAAAAAAATAATAATACATCAATAGTGGTATTGGACATGTTAACCCTGGGTGAGAAGTTGGTTTGAATGCAAATTACGAAAATAGGTAACTTAAACACGGGTCTACCATTCTAGAGCTGTTGCTTTAAAAAATGGAGGCCGATTAAAAAAATATTAGGCCAGTAAATTAAATATGTTTCAAAAAATTCGAATTTTTTTTAATTTGTATATATTGGTTCAAATGGTACCAAAGCCATCTCGGGAGAATCTTTTACAGCAAAAAAGTAGATTTTTCTTACACCTTTTTTTTTGTTTTTCACATATAACTCCTGCGCATTTTAACATCGTTAAAATTTTTAACTAAAAATAACTAAAAATAATTTTAACAGAGTTAAAATGTACGTAAAATGACTATTTAAACTTAATAATTTGGTTACATTTTAGGTTCAAAAATGCCGAAGATAAATATTACGATAAATGGCTGCAGCTTGCAGGAAGCGAGGAATCAGAAAATTATTCCTTTAAGAAAAGAAGTCCATAAAATAAAAGTTGCAGAGCAACGAATCCTGCGCCCACTCAGTAACAACATTTGCAATGTAGGTCAATTACTTCCCACAAGAAAAAAGATTTTCACATTAAACAACAGTAGCGGTATATTTGTGGTTGGGGAGGAAGGAAAAGCCAATCGTTGATTGAGGAGGTGGGCTTTCTCTGACTGTCCTAATACAACTCTTAATGGCCCACCTTAATCCTATTAATTGAAGGTTTCATTCAGAAAAAAAAAATCCAATAGCTCTAGATCTTCATTATTCGTTTATTCCTTTCATGATCATTCTAAAAGTCTTAATGTATCGGATAAATTGCGTTTTAAAGACTTTGCCATGAAAATCTTGTTCGGTCCTTGTTTAAGCAAATAAATCCATTTAGAAAAAAACTAAAATAAACTCTAATGAGTTCATCTTCAGGCGATATACCATATAATTTGGCAGTGGTCTGTAATTTTTAGGCAACTAACGGGATCTTATGAAAAAGCAGCATACCCTTTCTGCTGGCATAATGCAAATTTTCTTGGCTTTTGGGAACCCCCTCCATCAATCCAGCCGTTTACGTCTTCCTTCTACGGTTGGTTAGCCAGGAGTAAGAGCAAGCCTTGTTCTCGGGTAGGCAACTGCCGGTTATCTTTGTTTTTATAACCTACCGCTAGGTAGCGTTCGGGTGCAAAATCACGTAATTCACAAAACAGCGCTACATTTTAAAATCAAAAAAATGTACCGATTGAGAAATAAATTTTAGTTCATTCCGAAAGCCTCTTAGGTTCTATTAGGAGGATGGAAGGGTCGTGGCATGGATCCCCGAGTGACGGATTCTAAACGTTGTGGGTTCGATTCTTACCTGGGTCAGTTAATTTTCATTTCTCGGCGGCCGGGGAAAATGAATCTTGTCATTCCCACTGTGGTAAGTATGGAGAGTCAACCTCAAGGTAGCCGTCAGGGGTTGAAAATGTCATGAAATAATTATCAAATATTTATGTCTTAAACATTAAATCATTGCTATTTATGATAGTATTCAGCGAACCAAAATCTATTCATAACGTAAATGGGAAAGAATAACTTATTATGATCCCTTGGGCACTTCAGATAAAATATAAAGAAACATTTTGATATTTTTAATAAATACAAAACAGTATCTAGGTATAGCTTTTATATTTTCAGTACTAGACTCCTATACTCTTAATAAATGAGGAAACTGCCAATTAAGGCTCATCAGCACCAAACTACTAGATCTTGTAAAACAATCTAATCACTTATTCAGTAAATTCTTATGTTATTGTCTATTTTTTTTAATTTTTAGCTTGGTTATGAACCACATGTTAGGATCGAACTCAATAAACATAATTTTTTATTGCATATCCTGACCATTTTTCATGCTTACAATTTCAAAGTCAACTATATACCCATCTCTAAATAAGTAAATTTTTGATTCTTGGAAAATTATGAAGATTCAAAAACTGTGTGTTGAATAAACTATACTCGTCATATATTGCTTAAATAATAAATAAACATATTTCATTGTTTGATTTTTTATAGGTCTAATATATTGGGATATATCTAATGTGAGAGTCCTTGCTAGGGTGCAATAATTGGTAATAATTTACAAAAAGAAAATGTGATAATCAGTTATTTAAAAAATAATTTAAAAAGATAGATTTCTATTTTTTGGATTTGGTACACCTTACACATATTTTAAGCTCACAAGATCGATACCTATAGCTATATACATTGTTTTTTGATACTAATACTATTTTTAACGGCTTGGCTACAGCTGATACTAATGGATTGGAACTTGAGGATTGTTGTGAAGGATCGAGATAATAGAGTTATCTGTTTGTATAATACATTAAGGCCTCCCCTAGAGCTGCTAGAGAGCTGCTTGGAGTGCGTGAGGGAGTGCGTGCAGGAGTGCTGGCAGGAAGTACCGGAGGACAGGCCCGACATCAAGGCAGTCAGGAGCAAGCTCAGGCCCATGAGGAAGGGAATGTAAGTATTATAACTTCTGATATTATTACATCGAAACAACACCACATGTATTCAAGTTAATATTGATGATAGTTCAATACTGAACGATGTATTCATCTTGGGTACATTTAGGGTTGTTAGAATATCGGGCAAGTTCCTCTTTAAGGGGCAAGTTCTCTTTATCAATATCTATATCGTTCCTTCATATGGATATTAGTATAAAGTCGATTAAAAAATATCTATATAGCCAATGCCTTATTTATTGATATCAAAATGAATTTTTTTTTATATATTAACTAATATATGGTCGGTTTATTGGAAAAAGTCCTCAAGTGAATTTTCACAACCTAAAACAACTAAGAAATTTGATGATTTTTTCCTTCATGAAATCGAAAGATTGTACACTTGTTCTAACTATATTTCACATATAAACGGATTTGTGTAGTTTTGGTGTGTTTTTATCGATAAATAAGCCGAAAATTCACAAAAACCTTCTTAAAGTACAGCTTCAAAATAAATGTACTTAGTGATTAACCGACGATACGAGCTATTTTTTTTTCTTTAAGTATGGTAACTCCATTTTAGGATAAATGAAAATATTTAAGGGTTTGTATTTGAATTATGTATAAAATATGGTATATATTGATAGGCTCCTTTTGTGTTTTCTTAAATATTCTCCTTCTTTTTTTCTGGGAAGTTGATATTCTTCTGTTGATGATATTCTTTGTTATTTGGCAATGATTACTTCCAATTAACAACAATTGAATTTAATTGTTGCTTTATCAAAATTGCATGTTTACAAGTTTACGTTTCGGGATATTTATTCCTATCTTCAGAACCACAATCCCAATGATCTTGTGGATACATGGCTTAAAACTAATGTGCTACATCGTCAGTTTGTAATTCATGTTATAATAAATCTAGGTATATAACATCTAGAGCAACACCTGCCGAGGCCAGACACCCAATAATTAGTCTAAAAGCAAGATGTTGCTCTAGATATTATATACCTCTGATTTATTATAACATGAATTAGAAACTGACGATGAAGCGCATTAGTTTTAAGCCATGTATCCACAAGATCATTGGGATTGTGGTTCTGAAGATGGGAATAACTATTCCGAAACGTGAACTTGTAAACATACAATTTTGATAAAACAACTAATAAATTCCATTGTTGTTAATTGGAAGTAATCATTTCCAAATAACTTAAATATTAAATTGATTTAACTTTATAATGGGAATGAAAAAAAAAATTGAAATCAAATTTCCTTTGGAGGCAAGGCGGCCGAGTGGGCTAACGCGTTTGCAATACACACATCGCCTGGCAACCTGATAACCGGAAGATTACGAGCTCGAAGTAGGAGAGAAAAGAAAACAAAATCTTCCTTCTATACAAGGAAAAACATAAAAAATCTAAAATAATAGAAACTCTGATTACAATAAGCATCACCACGATGATAGTCTATTTTCCTTTTCTTTCTTTTTTTTATAGAAAGGGCCCGGTTGAAGATTACCAGATCCAACAGACATTTTAATTGAATACTAAATTAGTAGTACTATTTAAACATAAAATTATATTTACTGAAAAATGATTCTCAGGAAACCGAACATATTCGACAATATGATAGCCATGATGGAGAAATATGCTAACAACTTGGAGGCCCTTGTCGATGAGAGGACAGATCAGCTGGTCGAAGAGAAAAAAAAGACTGGTGAGACAATCACTATATCTATATTTTAATAATTAAAGAAATTAAATAATTTGTTAATTTGAATGAAGAATTTACGGCAGAATTGGCTAGCATTAAAAATATATATATATTGATTATTAAATATTACTATTAGAAATATAGTGAGCAAATAAAAAACTTTTTTTTTTTCTATTCTATATATTTAACGCTCCTTTTTCCTTTTATTCACTAAATATTTCTCATTATTTCATTTCAATTTGAAAGTTGTGGTATTACAGCTTTCTTTCATAACAAAAAAGACCTAGCAACACAAAAGTCCAAACACGTTCATAAAAACGTAACTAGTTTTACAGAAATTGGTGAGGTTCTATATCATTGTAACAATACACTTCAATGTGTCTTCTAAGAAACCCTATATAGCTCCAATCATCCGTTTAATCCTCCTCCATGATTGAACTGTAATTGCACCGCGACCTTCTCACATATATGAGCTACATAATCCTTACAATGTTCATAATCCTCACTTCCAGTGCTCCTTCAGCTCAGGTATTTCCACTAATCATTGTGAAACAGGACGATTTATGGATCAGTCTTGCTCTGTCTTTTAACTCACTAAAGCAGTTACCCTCTGCTTAAAGAGGAGAGAAGTTTAGATTGTATCCTTCGCTCATTAACTGTTCCATGACGGAGGATTTAGAGATTATGACTCATTGAAAAGTATCCAGATTCTCCAGAAATTCAACTGGTTCAATAATGAGTGAGTAATCATTAATCATTCAATTGCTAGAGTTCAAGATATAATATCTCATCGTTAGCTTTTCTTCAAGCTCCACTATCTTCCGATAACAATGAAACAACTTGATTTTTTTTTTCTAGCAATAGTTATGTACTTTATGTTTATAGTTGAAAACAGAGGTGTCTTCCCCACTCTCTAAATCAATCAATGTCGAATGAATCTTACCCCATCCTTCCCAAGATATTTCTTGCTCTACTTTTCTTAAAACAGAGCAAGCGCAAGTAGAATTTAAAAATCGTAGATTATACACAATTACACATCCTGCAGTCTGTTCTATGTTCCCCGTTGTCTTTTGTTTAGAAACTTTTTATATCAAAAAGTCGTAACCCTGTCGAAATGTACCCTCCTACAAATTTCGAAGCCCCGTCAAAATGCCCCCCCCTTCAAATATTTTGAAGGCCTAACTTGCACTAGAAAACCGTCTAATGGGTACCCCTGGTTGAAAAGTTTGTTTTGGAGTAGCAGACAGGAATAAAACACAAATAATAATTTAAAAAATATTTTATTTTGTGTCAATGTTTCGGCTCAAGTTTTCATGTGGAAAATTGCATTTTGTTTTAACAAGTTTTTTTATAAATAATTTTAAAATAATAGAAAGCAGCCCAATTTTTACTTTTATTTTAAAAATTTTTACAAATATTTTAAACAATTTTTTTCAACGAACTTATTATTTAGGTTAATATATCGTAATATATAGACAAAAAGAATTTTAATTTAATTATATGAAATGTACTTCCCATGTTTTGTGCGAATTATTCACAGACATGAATAAACCAAACTAACTAGAAATATCGTTTTCAATCTATTACAATGAAAAATAGTTAAAACTGAGATATAGTCCACCTTAAGAAGGTCGATAGAAGAGCTTCAATTTTGAAAATATTTATATGTGTGTATTAAAAAAAAAAACATATAAAAATAAAACAGTGGAAACAATGCCCGAGTTTCAATCTTACATTTTGGATAGAAAAATAAATGCAACTTCAGGCTGATGATAATCAGCAGAAAAAAATACTACTTTTAAAGGTAATATTTTTACTTACAAATATTGAATTAATGAAACTTTGCGGTTTTGAAAATAAGTTATTCTCTGGATTTTGCGCCCAGAACATGAGACTAGATCGCCCTTTGAATATGTATTGCTATATTATATTGCACATAGGTATCAAGTTTTAATATTGTCAAATGAAGCTATATATATATATATATATATATATCCTTATTTGCTTTTATATATATAAGCTGTATACATATATATATATATATATATATATATATATATATATATATATATATATATATATATATATATATATATATATATATATATATATATATATATGAGGGAGAGAGATGTTATTGGTAAAATATTAGTAAATATTATTATAACGTTGGCTCGCAGATGCCCTGCTGTACGAAATGCTGCCAAGGTGCGTAGCAGAGCAGCTAAAGAGGGGCCACAAAGTGGAAGCGGAGAGCTTTGACTGCGTCACCATCTACTTCAGCGATATCGTCGGCTTCACGGCGATGTCGGCCGAGAGCACTCCATTCCAGGTATCGGTCTCTTCCATACGATTTATCTTCTCAAGCGAGAAAAATGCCATTATCTCTAGTAATGTTCCGATGAATCAAAAGACTTTGTAGTTTTGATTTACTGTTACTGGCCAACTTTGAGGCCGACAGACTCGAGTTAAAAAAAGGCTTTTAGTTCTTTGTAACAAGAACTAATGCAAACACCATCTAAAACTACGTTTTCCGTTTCTTTTCTCGAATTTCTCTGAATTGCTGTGTTGTGATGGACTCCTCAGATAAAATACTAATACAAAAATCCCACACAGGATTTTTTCCCAAAATCTCCACCTCAGTTGACTGTTGCAGCTCAGTGAATAAACACTGTGGTACTAACCTCCAGGTCCCAAAAAAATTCACAAAAGAAAATTTCCCACCTACGTTGAGTGTGCTAGCTCTGTGAGTAAAGCACTGTGGTGCTAAACTCCAGGTCCCAAGTTTGATTCCCCAGTTCAAACACAGTTTTCATATTAGGTGAAGGGCAAGACTCAATATAGGAAAATTTCAGGTATATAAGTTATTTAAATCTCTGTAATACTTACAAGGTTTATTGTTACTATAATTTATAAATATTTTTATATAATACGCAACAAAAAAAAAAATAAAAAGCAACAATCCAGTGAAAATAAATGTTGAAATTAATTTTGAATTTAAAAGTGTGTTAAAATATTAAATATTAGTCTATTTTTTTATTAATTAGTGTAATAAAGTTTTCAGCTAATGGAATTATTAATTATCATAATGGATAAAGATGAAGGTTTTGTTCATATTCAAGAAGTTGCTTTAATTTTTAATTTTAATTATCCTTATTGCATTTCCACGCTATACAAAGAGCTATTTGTTTTTCAAATTATTATAATTAAATCTATAGAATCTTCCTTTATACTATTCACTATACTTTCATAACTCCAGCAATTTGAAACTCAGACAACAATTATTATAAAACTACTCCTTTTTCTTCTCTCTCTAATTAATGAAACCTCAGAAGGTTTCATTAATTAAGGTTTTTTTTTGTCTCCTATTATAATCCAAACTACTACCGTAGAAAGCCTTCTTCATACGATTCTTTCCCTTCTAATATTTCAATATTAAAATATATTTCATTTCTACTTGAAGATATGTAATGAAATTGATGCCCATGCTTGACATTTTAGTAATTATTAAATGTAACAACTTATAGGTGGTAGACTTCCTGAACGACCTATACACTTGCTTTGATTCCATCATAGAAGCTTACGATGTGTACAAAGTGGAGACCATAGGTGATGCTTACATGGTTGTATCTGGGCTTCCTGTAAGAAACTGTGACCAGCATGCTGCAGAGATTGCAACAATGTCCCTCGACCTTTTGAATGCAGTGGATAGGTTCAAAATTAGGCACAGGCCAAACGAAAAACTGAAGCTGCGAATTGGACTTCATTCTGGTAAGTTGATTTATAGATTGGTTACTACATTAGTAAAATACATCAGAGAAAGCAATATGAGTAAAAATTAAGAAATCATTTTTAATTGTGATAAGTCTATGAAATATTATGTGTTTATGAGGTCTCCATTTTGTGTCTGAAATGAAGGAAAAGTAAATAAAACAGTAGTTTAACTTAGTTGTTTTATTATACATTTGACTGATACTCGGCTGGAAAATTCTTTAGATGTTTTAAAATCAAGTCACAAATTATTGATTTTAAATAAATATGGATTGCATCAATCATTAGCTATACCTTAGGATCAACATATCTTAAAGATACAAAACCAAATTTCCCTGATCCAATTTTCCATCATTGCCTCTGTCTGAAGCCCAGTTATATCAAGTACCTTACAATGTTAATTTAGTTTTGCTGTTAAAATTAGCTACAAGTCATGACCAACGCCCAATGTCCAAATTCCAAGTGAATCATAAAAAAATATTGAATCTAACATGGTAATAACATAATAACTTTAAAACTAAATACCATTCTGGAAACTGTGATTTCATAAGTGTACAATAAGTGATTTCATATCTGTAATTTTCAGAAAGTTAGGAAAATGAATAAAATCACATGAAAACATGAAACCACTCAATTCCCTGTTACAGGAACCGTATGCGCTGGAGTAGTAGGCCTCAAAATGCCGAGGTATTGTCTTTTTGGAGATACTGTAAATACAGCTTCAAGGATGGAATCAAATGGACTGGGTAAGTTATCAAATTTAAGAAAACTATCATTATAAATAAATTGACAATGACAAAACAGTTCAGTTCCTTTTTCTCATCTGTTTTTCAACCAATTTTCCAACAATTTTATTTTATATTTTTGGTTTATTATTTTCAATAATGAACCATTTTGATCGACCAAAAAATTCAAAAACTTAACTCTCTCTCAAAATTTTAGGTTTTACGTTTCAGGATACGTAAAATTCGAAAAACGAATAATTTTTTTTTTTGTCGGTCCGCCGTCCGCCTATTTTCTCCGAAACCAATGAACTGATTTTTTTTTCAAATTTGGATATAAAATCAGAGGTCACTCGAGGATGATCCTCCTTCATCGACATTACTATTCGTCTTTTACTTTCAAAATGGCGGTTGCAAAAACCGGCGTTGCAATTGCCTGTAGCGCCTAAACGAATTTACCGTTAATTATTTCAATAAAACTTGGCTAAAGTTTTCTTCTTGATGCCCTTTAAATTTATTTGTATAACATACTTCAACGAAAAGAAGCTGGGAAAAAATTTACGAGGGATGGTAAAATTAGATTCTTAATAACTCAAAAAGTATACAATTTTTTGTCGATATTGTATGGTTATTTAAAAGTTTACGAAATTTCCTAAAAAAACACAAACAAATCGTTAAAATCGGACAATTTAGAGCAATGATATAGTATTTAGATATTTTTTATTTTCTACTTGAAAGGTTATATCCTATGGTTTGGTTTTTTAAAGTGATGCTATTTTTTTTTAGCAGATTATTAATGATGAAAAAAAAAGTTGTTTAGGCCGATAATAGGAATTACCTTTTATTTATTTTTCTTTCTAACTAGGAAGGTAAGGTTACTTTAGATGTATAATTGTTTGGATAGAAAAATAATAAAGCATTGTGAAATAATTTGCACCGTTTCTTGTTTAGTTGCTGTAGAGGTATTATCTAGTATTATCAATAAAAAAATTTTGAAAACAGTTTATATATACAAAAATGTAAATGTTAGTTTGTTGTAACTGCTAATGTAGAAAGTTCTACACTATTGCTTTGAAATTTCTACACTATTGCTTTGAAATTTCGTTACTAATCAAATTCAGAATTGTTTTCATATATATGTCATTACCAGTTGGCCCTTTGTTTCAAAATCGCAAACGAAAAATGTGTCAGAATAGACTATTGTACCAAAATGGCAGTAACAATTTTAATGAAACTTGCCTAAGCCATTTCTTTGAAACCATTTTAATATATGTACATAATATATTTTCCTGAAAAGAGGCTGAAATAAAGTAAAGGTGGATTTAGAATTTTATTTGCCAATAACTCAAAAAGTACATGACTTTCAGTTAACTAAACCTATCACTATTTAAAAACTTCCTGAATTTTTTACAAAATGAAAATAAAATAAAGTTTATCGAAATCAAAAAGAATCACGTTTAATAAGATATTCTTTTTGCATTTTTTTTTTTACATATTTTTAGATTTATGTTTTTAGAACAGTTCTAATATGACAAATGTATAATTTGGCTATTGCTATAGTATGAGTGCAATGTTGAAATAAACTTGAACCTTTTAATAATGATTATGGTCGAATTTTGATCACTAGTATTTTTTAATTATCTAAAATCGTTTATATATTTTGTATGGATATTTACCATGTATAACCATTTTGGATTCTTTAGCTACTTCAATTCTACTTGATCCAGGAATAAGTAAATTAATTTCTCTTCTATCAAGTTTTGTTATTCCAAAATAAATTTCTAATTATACCTAAATGGATGCGTAGTTTACTATACAACTTCCAGTGGGGCCTCATGTTCAAGTCTGGCTATGACAGATAATTTATTATTCTACTGTATCAGCTGTGGGATGATTCCAGGGTTGGGGACCCTCTTAGGTCAAATGCATACTTGATCCTTTAATGATTTAAAGGAAAAAGATATTGGGTGTGATTCTGACCAGATCATCTTGTAGCATAAATGCTGCTCAACAAACAGTACTCTTCATCAAGTATTGAGCCTAAGACCCATCATGGGTTATAGTGGTACAAGTTTTTCTGCCATTTTTTTTTCTGAATGTTTTCATAATTCCATTTAATCTAGTAAAAAAAAATGTTCATACGATTGTTATGAACATTAGCTGCACAATATTACAAATTATGTTAATATTATAAGATTCTTTTTCCTGTGTATGCTAAAAGATAGTAATCGGAAAGATGAGGGTTGAGTGGGGACACTTAGAATTTATAGGAAATGAGAAGGGAAGTAGCCTTGCTGCTTCGACTTCAAAACAGCTATCTTTGGCATCTCAGCCCATCTGTGTCTATTAAGGAAGTTGTAGGTAATAAGGCTTAGTTTTACTGGTGGAAAAAATTGAAAACAGATACTGGCAACTGTTGGCTAAACAAACACCCCTTCAGTTCAGAGTTACCTGTTCCACCAATCCTAGACCTATCACATAATATGTATTAGATAGAATATGGTACTTCCATATTGGTTGTTACCTAGTTATTGATCCTAAACTCGGAAAAAAATCCTAATATCTTATACAAATCCTCAAAGGCTATTGTTTTCTAAGAGTATTGGACTGCGTCTATAGGTCTGAATGAGGCCACAGTGTATTTATGCTGGAATTTAATTTTTAAAATGTATAATGTTTTATCATATATTTTTGGCTATTATGAATGAATAAAAATAAGTTCAGCCTCATTCTTCATTTTAAACATATTTAACATAGCATTAATCTCTGAAAATAGTGTTTCACATATAATTTAAATTTATGAATTCATTGCTATTAATGTAAAAAACATTTACTTAAAATCTTATGTATTTAATATATCTATGCAATTAATAAATTATATTGATCCCTCATTGGTAGCCCAGAAGATCCATTGTAGCGAAGAGACAAAGCAACTATTAGATAGACTGGGTGGTTACCATTTTGAAGAGCGGGGAATGATCAGAATGAAAGGCAAAGGAGAGGTGAAGACTTATTTTCTGACTGGTGAAGATCCAGTCTGGCGGGAAAGGAGGAGGCATGGTAATTATTTCATCAAACCTTTATTAAAATGTTCTTGTTGTTATATCACCAAAAAGTCTATCTACAAATTGGCTGTTTATTTATCAATTACTGTTTGTTTCTAATTTAGCATAACTTTTTTTAAGAACTTAATAAATAGAAGTTAAACTTTTACCATGAACCTAGAACTTTATTACAAAGAGATTCCTTAGCACACTTATTTTGTCTTTCATAGAATCTCATAAAATGGAATTTTTGAAAAAGTTTCAACCCCTGGTTTAAAGATTTGATTAGTTTCTCTTTATTTTTAATTATATGCTGCAATGAAATTGTGAAGGATATCAAGAAAGGAGAAATATGGGGATGGAAGAGAATGTAATGGAAGGATTAAAATTTTAAAAAATTTAAAAAAAACTATGTAATACAATATATTGGTAGCAATAATGTTCTTTCTTATAAATAATAATATTAAACTATTGACAGATATCATGATATATAAATTTGATTGATATTTAACTATTCCGGATGCATTACTTTAAAATAAAGCATTCTCAGGATAAGGTTTTCTTTATTAGGTTTACAAAGAGGAATCAGAAGTTCACTAAAGAACAAAATCCCAAGGGCAGCGAGTTTTGAATCTCCAAAGCGGTTACGGTTCGCTGCAAATCACGTTGATAGCAAAAGACTGGAAGTAATTACTGATAGCCCTGTAAAGAAGTCCTCCTTAGAAGTAAGTTTTCAGTTAATTATATTTCCAAGTTTGATTAAATTCATTTACTTATTAAATGATAAAAGCAAGTTTCTGTTTATATTTTCATATACAATTTCTAAATCATTTGCATGATTTGGTCAGATGACATTCACAGATAGGATTAAATTTACAGATTTTTAACCTACCTCATGTTGCAGATATCAAACTGTCATATACGGATTATTTTTCGATGACTAAAAGAAATATGTTAGATAAATGGTACCAGCGTTATCCACAGGTAGATTTTATAAGTCAAATGTGCCGCGAATTTTGGTCAAGCGTTAGTTTTTTTAATTAAATCTGTCAAAAGACATAGTAAAGAATTTTTTTACACTTAGACCAATCACGGATTATGCAAAGTATACTTTCATCGTGTTGGAGTCCTAAATTCTGCAAAATGTGATAAATGTAACCAAAATTAACCCTCCAACATATAATTTTAGAATGCCCTGCTTTTAAAAATCAAAGGAAAAAATTTCTAAATTTTCCAAATCCTTACAATAATGACAAGAAATTGTTAGAATGCTGAAGAAATAGTCAATGCCACACAGTACTTATATACAATAAATAAATATATTTAGATTAGAAATTATAAAGAATGGGAATACAACTAAATGATTTTATAATTTACTGCATAGGAAATTCCATTGTCAAAAAAAAAAAAAATAAAACTTTACAGATAGGATTATAAATCATATATATAAATTAAATTGTTGTAATCTTTGGAATAATTGTTAATTTACAACTACTATTCTAAGGACATAAAGTAAACTATTAATACCAACTAAAAAATACTAACATTTATATTTTTCAGTACCTGGATTTTTTTAATTATTTATGTTACTCCAGTAAAATAATAATTTTCTATTCTTATTCCCTTTAAAGGTTAATCGCTGTGAACACTTGAGTGTGTCCTGCCCTTGCATTGAAGAAGAAATCCGACCAACAGGACTTACCAGTGTTGATGCCACCAGCGATTCTGCTCTTTTGCTCCACGAACCAGACACCCCACTACTTACTGTTACCAAAGTATCTTAAGTATTTAACATTTTGTCTGTAAGATATAATGCAATAATTTTAAAGATAATCTATATTAATGTAAAAGGCTGAAGAAAAATAAAATAAATAAGCATTGTATGTGCTCATATGATAATGATGTTTAAAGTATTTATTTACTGGTGTTTATAAAATATCATTGTATCTAATGTTAAATTTTAATGTTATTAAATAAAGTTGTTTTGTTTATTTATTTTTTTTTATGCTAAAAATGCTAACATATTAATAATTGATTTTTATTTTGGTTACATTTTCATATTACTTGAATCTCATTGAAGGATCCTTCTATTTCACAGTATTCGTGAAAAATGCTCCAATATTTCAATATCTTGAATAAAATATAAGAAAAAAAAGAATAAAATAGAATTATTACAATTTTTATTTGAACATCTCATTCAGTATCAAACTATACTACATGGTAATTGAAATTATATTGATATAATAAAATTATTTAAGAAATATATTAAAGAAAAACAATTTTTTTTTTTTTTTTAGGAGAATAGAATAAGTAAATCTATTGACTTGGTAATATGACACTAATGTGAACATGAAACTACAAACTGGTAGCGCTTCAATTTCAGTATTAATAACTAGGGACCATTTTTTCAGACGTCTTAGAGTATATTTAGGGAAACTGGTTTAAAAAATAAAGGGACAGATAATGAGGAATTTCATACAACTATTAATAATCATGCAAAAGAAAAATCTAAATTTTCAACAGTTAATATTTTCCATTACAAATAAAGATATATTTGATTTTATCTAACGTAGCATCAATGTATCTTTTATTGAACTAAGCTTTTATTTAATATTATACATTTCCTTTAATTTTCTCGAACAATATTAGTGGAATTGGAGAGTCAGGGAAATGAGTTGTAACATTAGCATTGGATTGCTATGTATTCAAAGCTTCTTCTTCATCTAGGGGATTGAACTGTATCAGAATGACCAAATATGTTGTAGCTGAAGCTATGATCTGTCAACAATTAAACAATATTATACACATAAATTAGATAAAGAGTTTAAATTGAAAAATCATAATTCGTTATAAAATTTAGTTTTGAATAACACAGAACAATCAAAATAGTTTAAAATTAAAATTGTTTTAAATAGTTTCCTTTCTAATTTCAAGGACCCAAGCATTTTTCAAATATTTGTATATAATAAAGTGTGTTGAAAAACAGTTGAATTTCGAAGTTATGTTAAATAAAATCGATATTTTTTCCCATAGTTTGGATCTGTTATTTAAACAACTTCAATCAAACAACATTATCACACGATTGTTGTGAGAAAATCTTTAATTTTTTTTTAAATATCTGTTTTCTCTAATTTAAATTAAACAATTAATAAAAAATAACCCACACAGACATGAGTGGTACAGTTCAGAACTTTAAAGATTGGAAGATGGTGAGAGAACATATGAGATGCATCTATACCAGCATCCTTACTTAATTAGGCAGAAACATCTGAGGTATATGTATCCCCAATAGTCGCAGTTAATTTTTTTCATGTATTTTGTATTTTTAATATATATATATATTTTTTTTTTTGCTATTAGTTTCAGAAAATTGAAATACTGACAACCAATTTGTCACTGTCAATCATTTTTTTAGAAATATGTTGTTCATATTCGTTGTATTTTTTTTTTGTGTGTGTGCTGAAGGAGGGAGAGACATCTCTCACAGAAACCAGAAGGACCTCAGACCTTTTCATGTTAAATCAATACTTAACAGAAACATCTAGCAAGACTGGTTCGAATCCAGCCCGAGTAGGTTGAAATTTATTTTTTGCAGACCCATGGATTAAATATCAACCTTCCCACTCTAATTAGAATAGCTTTAGTTCAATAATCTCTCCCCCTACCTAAATTCTAGAAAATAGTGAGGTTGGAGGTAATTGAAAAAAAAATAATAGAAATATCAATTTTCAATTTATTATTTGAAGCTTTTTCTAGAGTTGATTATATTCTGAGAGATGTGGCTAAGAAGCCATTACTAATAGACAAGACCTATAGCAATATATCATACTTCATAGCATAAGCATATTATTTCTATACTATGTTTAATCTGTACTTTATTGATGACAGTATATATTTATGACTTAGGATAGGAAATAAATCAAAATCTTACCCAGTGAATAAGACTGTAGTCTAGTTTAAAGAACCCTTTCGCTGTGAAAGCGACCTCCCTCTGCATTGAGACATGTAAGCGCAACTTGTTCTGTCGAGAAACAAAAATTATATGCATACAATAGCTATGGAATCATCATAGTTAATACATGTAACTTAATGTTAATACATAATTAATATATGTAAAAATAAACAAAAATATACTCACATTCCTTAAGACTTCACTTCTTTTATCACTTCTCATAAGTTTATAGAGTGTAAGGTTGAATCCTCTCAACTTAAAAAAAAGCAACATAAAATATTTATCTATTTCCGTCATGGAAGGAGGAGAGACTTGGACATAAAACTTTCTTTAAAGAAAAATTAGATTTAGAAGCAATAATTCATTTTTTCTCATTTATAAATCACATTTTTAAGTCCAATAAATGGTTCTGAAGGGTAATAGATGCTAAAGTTGGAATGCAATGAGAATAGTGGTCTGTATTGATAAAAATTACTTTATTATTTCTTATTTATTAATTTTACAAATGTTAAATCTATTTTATTAATGTAAAAAAAATATAAAATATAAATAAATATAACAATAAAGGTGGCAACACTAGTTCAGACCAATGAGCAGCATAGGCATGCTTGGCTTGAGTATTTTTCTCTAGTGGTGTTCATTAGATTAACATTGGATCTCAACTGTTTGTCTGTTTTACACACTTTCCTGGTACTATGTGTTTAGCCAGTTCAGGGGACCTGGAACCTTTGATTTCAGCGTGGGCTTACACGCTCAGACAAACCTTATTAACACACATATTAACATATACAGTATTCCCACCCCATCCTCCCATCCCTCACACTATCAACAATTTATTACCTTTCGAATATAAAAAGGAAAGAAAATTTTAAAAGATCTAATCTGAAAGGGTTTTTTTTAGTTGTGTTTTATGGTGATTCCTTGATATAGTACCTTTTCCAACCCATAGTGGTGTATACCTTCACTCAATTTCCATGTATGAAGGTCATAACTGCGTTTTAATCAATATTATGCCGCACATGAGGTCATTACTTCCTCCCCAAATCTACACCAACCCCCCCCCCCCCTACTTCAGCCCCATGACACTAACCCACTATTCTCACATCCCCCCCTCCATCCCCTCATAACTTTCCTAAATCCTCATTATTAATCATCACCCCTGTCATCTTCCATCCCCTCCTACACACTCTCCACTCTTAGGGCAAGTTCAACCCACCCTCCCTTGATGCATGCGCCCTCAGGCCACTTCACCAGCACAAGCCCCTGTTTATACCAGATTTACCCCCGACCACTCCCTGCGCTCCTCAAACCTAAACCTTGTTGTCCGCCAGTCCCATAGGATAACGAATAACAAACTCAGCTAAATCACCCCCACACTGTCCGTAAATCGCAACTAGTACACCCACACAATCACCCCCCATCTACGCAATAATTATCAACATGTTGTATTTTTTTCTCTAGAAATATTCTCATCCCAAATCTGCCGGTCCCCCTTATACCCCCCATCCCATCCCCCACCCTAACCCTCAACCCCACAACTAAACCTTGTTGGTGATCTCCCTCAAGCAGGGTCGATCCCATTTGCCACAGCCGTCAGGTAACACCAGCAATGACCCTCCGTCTTCACCCCCCTAACCTCATATTAGTCTCCTCCTGAGCCCGATCCCCCCTGGAAACCATGACTCCCCCTCCCCCTCCCCAATAGGGCTAACCAAGCCGTTTCCCATCTGCGTAGCACGAAAGAAATGCCACGAGCTAACTCGAGCCAACACAACAACTGTTCTAACCCTGACGTCCCCTATCGCATGGTTTGTCTTGGACCCTCCCCCTAGCAGTAATCTCACTTCTTGCCCGAATAGCACGTGCCTAGCCATCTAGACCACATGTCTTTCCCCAGCTTCACTAGTCTCGTCGAGCCTGCGAGTCATCCCACCCCCCACCCCCCTGACCTGCGCATGCACTTTCACCCCTTTCCCCCGCCAGTAAGCAGGTAGGCCCCAGGCACTTTAACATCTCCGATCAGACCGCTTTAAATGGGGCGTTTTAACCATTAGTAAAGTAGTCCAACAACTAACCCTCCGAAGTAGGTTTTAGCAAAATACTTGATTCGTTGACGCCATTCCCATCTAATTTCCAAAACGGCCAGTTGGTGATCGACTTCGTTTAGACCCAATAAGATTTTGTTAATATGCCGCATCCTCTTGATGGAATTCATAACGGCGATCAGATACAAGACCCAAAAACAAAAACAAAACCACAAACCCACTATTATTTGCGTAAGTGTATTAATTAATAGAAATTTCACCCTTGTCTCTGGTATGAACAGATTGATGTTGAAATATACTGTAGAAAAACTCATCAAACAGGCCGTCAGAAAAGACCATATGCCTAATGGCATTGAAACGAAAAATTGACCATTTTTATACATACATGGAAAAATACCCATAAGACTCGAGATCAGGAAAATTATTTTTATAAAAATATCTTGGAAATAAATGTCGTTTAGTGACCTTAAACGTGGTCTAAAATCCATCTCGAGACCCACTGACCGACTGAACAAAGAAACCGGTCGAACATTTATCGCAGCTCTTAATCTTTCTATTCTCTTAGCAAAACTAAAAGGTTAACATATTAGATACTTTAACAACTTTTTGGTGCGTGCGAATGATTCATACAGTATATCGGCCATTGATCAAATTTAAACGTAATACGAAAATAAGTAAACGCATAATATATATACCATATTATCTTTACGCCATTAATGCATTTACAACATTAATTATCGCATTATAAATCAAGTATCCTAACTGTCCAAAATATCATAGGTAGTTAATATTGAGCAGCAAGCGCCATTGAATTGTCTTATTGTGTCTGAATGGAGGAAGTGAATTAGGCTGCATTCGACCAAACACAGAAGAAAGGCAGAAAGCTACTTCCAGAAATATTTTGAGCTGATAAATGGGACAATAGAATGGTAAAGTACTGTGAATCAGTGGCACTTCAAATAAGTGTTAGCAAAATACTTGATTTGTTTACACCAATTCCTTATAAGTTCCAAAATTAACAATTGGAATACGATTTCATTCAGAACCAAGAAGAATGAAGAATGTGCCTCTTTCTTAGGACGGCAATTGGCAAAAGATCTAATAACGAAACCACTAAATCATTATAATCTGCACAAGTGTATAGACTAATAAGAATTTTATTCTATCCTTTGTTATGAACAAATTAATGCAATAACCAAAAGAAAAACTTACCAAACATACTCCATCAGAAAAGACCAAATATGCATAAGGTATAGAAATGAAAGATTATTCATTACTCTATCTATATGAAAAAATAAAGACTCTCAAGAAAACCACATATCTTCGGCCGGACCATATCAACCCTCAAACAATTCAATCCTTTACGTTACCTCCTCCGACTTAAAACCCAGCAACTGCTACTCTTCCAGACTTTATCCCTTGTCTTTTCCCACTTTGAATACCGCTCTCTGGCGAACATTAAGCAAGACAACCGGTTTATGAACTCCTTAGTTAGATCGGGGTCTTCAGAAAGACACATATTGCCTGTATTATGTTGAGCTAAAGTGGCTCTACCCATCTCACAAATGTCATAATTTCCTTACATCCTTCTTATATCGGGTCATCAGAACTCAGTGCCCATCCTATATACCACAGAGCACTAATCTGCAGTTTAAATTACCCATCCAATCAGGACCCCTTCTACCCAATCTCGCCTTTTCTTCGTGCTAGTTAAACTCCCTCCCCCTCCCCCTCCCCGGCACCGGCACCTGTAACCGGTAACTCATACTTATTTTATCATATTATGTCGTGCCTTGTTTATTAGATTGCTGGTCAACATATTTCAAATTGTTACCAGAGTTCATACTGCTATTGTCCACATATTTATTGTTATCATTTTCATTTATTTATTTATTTTTTTAATGTAGGTTTGTTGTTTTAATTACTATGTAAATTTTCTTTTTCCTTTATGCAGAATTTTCATTTATTTTTTATTTTATTAACGTGTCCAGAAACACTGTTTTGGACTCTTTTTTGTGTTATGTTATTTAATTTTATTCTTAAGGTACTTTTTCCCAGAATATTTTTTTTTTCACTTTGTTTATAAAGAAATATTACACTCTGTCTCAATTAAGAAAATTTATAATTGTGTTCAGTGAGCACATCCACAGTCGATATACAATAAATAGAAATAAATTAAAAAGCAAAATAATATAACTAAAACTAAATGAATATATAAAAAACAAAAACAACTTAACTAATCAAAATAACAATTTAGATAAAAAAATACTTTTACAAAATATTTACAAAATTCATTCATTCAGGGAAACTCTGAGCTAAGTCTTTTCCTCCACTAGTGGAAGGGAAGGTAGGACTCTAGGAGATCCCAATGCCTCTCACTCAGCTGCATTACTGGTATTAAGGACCAGTAAAGGCTGAGCTGAGTCCCAGAATAATAAACAAATTTTTTTCATTTCATGCTATATAATAAGAAAATCATTCCAACAAAAATATATTGGGAAAAAATTTCAAATATAGGAATTAACCTGAATATGATCTAGAATCCATTAGGAATGCTAAAGAACTTGTCGGACAGCTGTAATCTCTGACCTTCTCTGACCTTTAAGCATACTTAAGAAATGAATTATTAGTTACATTAATGCAAATTTTATTGCACGAGGTAACTTGACAATATTTCAATATTGTCTTGAGGGTATTTTGTTTGAACAAATTCAACATTGAATTTGAGAAGTGATCTTACTTTTATATTAATTTAGGGCCATCTGTACACATAATATTATTGAAAATCTGTATGTTTACTTGATTTTTACATTCCTACAGCATTCATTCATTAACATAATTATAAAGTAATGATATAAAGAATTTTGCACAGCAGTTTTGTTAAGTCTTTTCTGGGATCGCTAGCTGTTCAGTTAGTTCCCATGGTCGATTAGACACTTCTGTTCTGCTCAGGTACGAAGATCTGATTAATACAGGTTGGAGAATCTCTTCTTCGTTCACAGTTTGGATTAATCATGATTGCAATTTGGAGATATTAAAAAAAAAGAACCTGATTACTTGATTATACAATTGTAATCTTATTCACAGCAATGATTTACAATCATAATCATGAATGTGATTACTATTATCATTATTTATCAACTATTTTTTATATTAATAGTAATCTCAATGTCCTTGTACTGTTAAGCTATGATGTACCCATCTGGTAAAATGGTATTTGTTTATTATTTTTTTTAAATCCATAATAATCCACCAACAGACATGGCATTCATAAATATGTAGTAATTTCAAAAGCAAAAAAATACATAAACTTGTTTCTTTTCCATTTTATTTATTTTCAAAACATTTAACAAACTTTCAAACTGTCTAATTATCTAAATCTACATCAAAGTCGTTTTAACTCATTTACTAAACAAAGAATATGGAACCAAATAAGTTATCTTTCTAAATTTCTAATTACCTTTCAAGATTTCTTAATAAGATGCAGTGTCGGCCTCAGGGCCTAAAAACCCGGGCAATTATCCCGCCTCTTTTTGGAAATAAAAAAGTTACAATGCGTACAAGAATGATTAATTTTAGTCTATTAATAAATTAATTAAATTAGAGACATATTGAATGTAATAGAATTTAATATAAAACAATTAATATAACGCAATTTAACTAATCAACTAATATTTTGGAAGGAGATGATATCATAGTCTGCTGGTACCTAATGCCTAAGGCCGGCACTGATAAGATGTTCATATTATAGAGAGAATGAAAATTTGAATATCAATAGTAACTTCTTTACAAACTAGTTTAAACCATAAATGACCCTTTCTGTAAGTTTACTTATTTCATTGTTTACTATTTCAAAATAAATGTAAATAAACAATAGTTATACAAACAATGTAATGTAATGTACACCTTTATTGGAAGTGAGTAAAAAGGATTTAATAAATTAATGTTGAACAATTAAAAGGCAAGCTAATCAAGTTCTACTAGTGCAGGGAAAATAAAATGGCTGCTTTGTAGTTTCCCAAGAAGGAAAATCCCAAAGAGGAGAGGGACAAAGGTTTTTGTTTTGACAAGCAGGTGTGCGACTGCAGTGAAGAGAAGATAGGAGAAGTGATCCTGGCTCCAGTAGGAAAAATCCAGTAATAGATTTACCTTCTTAGAAGTTGTTTGGCAGGAAGACTAGTTCTTTGGAATCACAAAAGAGAGGATATTCCACGGAGCTTGAGTTGAGTAGAAGATAGTGTCACCATTTTGGAAGTTGTGTTTGACACTACTTTGGAAAGTGTTTGAAGACAAATGAATTCAGTGCAACAAAGGAAGAAACAGTGCATATAAAAAAAAGGCTAGCTTGCCAATTCATACTTGACTTTATTTTAAAATCAGTGTTTAATTTTAGTATAAATAGTGTAAATAATAATAGTTTGTCTGAGTTGATCTGATTGTCAGTAACTCACATCTGAGATAAATAAATATATTAATACTCTCATAATTTTGTTTATTATTACATAACCTCTTATTTATTTAGGAAGTATTCCAATGGTAAAAAGTGAGCTTCGGAGGTAATATTATTATTATTTGTCAAATATAAGAGGGATGTTACAATAAATTAAAACGTAAATTCAGAAACTACCTAGATTTATATCCTTTTGTAAATTTGCTTTCTTAATTATCAATTCTAATTTCTTGTTAATATATGATCATCAGTCTCTGTTATCAACAATATGAACTTGCTTTGATGGGACAAGCCACTCTGTTCTTTAGATCCAAAAACCAGATCCTCTGTCACTTACTGTTACCAAAGTATCTAGGGTATTCAACATTCTATCTTTAAAATATAATGTAATAATTTTAAAGATTGTCTGAATAAATGCAAAAAGCTGAAGGAAGAAAAAATAAAAAAACTCTATGTGAAACGATATAATATTGTTTTTAAATATCTATTTACCAACTTAATAATGTAAATTTTAATAATTATAAACAGAGTTTTTCTTTTTTTTATTATTTCCTTATATCATAAAAATAAAAAAAAATAATAGCAATAATTTTTCTAATGGATGTAACAAACAACAAATAAGTTATGTTATAAAACTAGAAGTAAATTATATTATGAAATTGTACTGATTTGTAATACACTTTTAGAATCGTCCAAAAAATATTATAACGTGGAAAGACATACTATTTTTTTATTATTAATTTTACATTGAGAAATACTTTATTTACAATTAGTTTTGCATTATAGGGGTTGCACTTGTTTAAAATGTCCATTAACACACATCATACTGATAAATTCTTATTGGATATAAAATAAATACAACTAGTAAGTAAATGAAATACAATGTAACTATTATTAATACAAATAATACTACATAGCAGTTACTACATCACTAATGACAGTGAAAAATTATAGTTTGGTAGTATTAAAATTTTAATGATCCTGAGCCATTTTTAGAAGCTATTGAAAACATCTTTTGATAGATAAGGAAGTTAGATAAGTTATGATCTTTTAAGGATTTTAGTAATATATTAGGAACAGACAAGTTCATATAACTATAAAATAATCACTCATAAAGATGCAAAACTATCAACAGCTAATAACTATCATTTCAATAAATATATTCCCTTTAAATTTACTCATAATCGAATGGAATTGTGGTGTTAACGTCTAATTTTAGTATGTCTATAGCTGATTCTTCATCTGGGGAAGTGAACTGTATTAGAATAACCAAGTACGTTGCAGCTGAAGCAAGCATCTGTCAACAATTTATTATAATATAAATGAACATCAGGGTTTTGAGAGATATAAAACTTAAAAAAATTTAAAAAAAAATACAATCCGCCAACTCAAGGAAAATAAGTGTTAGGTCTACTAGTGAATATTCATGTACACTATGTGTACAAAGCAAAGAAATATATAAAGGTAAAACCTGAATAAATAAATAAAAATATTTTGCTTTTATTATTTTTCTCTTATTTTTGAAAGTAAAATATTTTACTACTGGTATATGTACATCAGTAGCAAAATAAATAGATAAATTAAATAATGACAAAATAAGTAAGCAACCATGAAAAAGAAAGTTATAGAAAAGTAAAATAAAATAAATTGTCTTGAACACATTCATACCTATGTAAAATATTTATTTTTTGACTATGAAATTCTAAACTAAGCTTTGTCTTCACAAGTAGAGAAGGGCTATAGGAAATATCAGCGCTTTTCTTGCAGTTAAATGTCTGAGTTACAGACACACAGGACTTTAGTGGAGAAGCTGACCATTGCCAGAACTCTAATAAGATGGGTTTTTAAAAATAAGCAATTATCAATTTATGAAATTTACCAATTAAGAGAAAAAAATTTATTTTTTATTTAGAAAAAACACATTTTCAAGAGTGATACAGGCTGTAAGAAATAGTACCAAAAAGTCATTACTTATAAATAAAACATGAATATTATTATTTTATTTTTTTTTATTCATTGTCTTGAAACAGATGATCAAGTAAAATTTTACCCATTGTATAAGAGTGTAGTCCAGTTTAAAGAATCCTTTGGCAGTAAAAACGACCTCCCTTTGCATTGAAATGTGCAGGCGTAACTTGCTCTGTTGAGAAACAAAGGTGATATTCATTCAATAGCCACATAATTAGTTAATTTAATAATATCTATAAACTTAAAACAATAATACACTCACATTTTGTAAAACTTCATTTCTTTTATCACTCATCATAAGTTTATATAGTGTAAGGTTGAATCCTCTCAACTAAAAATAAAAAATAAATTTTAATTGCATTAAACATATCATAACCATAAAATTGTGTAGGTCCACAAATAACAAAAATTGAGTATTTATTTTTATTAAAATTGTCAGTTTTTAATAGAGAATGAATGAGGTAGTACTTGGAACAAATACATATCTTAAGTTTTAAATTAATTGAATAAAGTCTATGAGCGAAAATGATACGATGAATATGCTAAAAACGATAGTAATATAGGTCATAACATTTTTTTTTTTTTTATAAATTAACATTCAGGAGAGTTTTGTTTTTAATGATTAATTTAATCATAGACAGCAATTGTTAACACATGACTGGTAAATCTATATTATATATTTTTTTTTTGTTAAACTCAAAACAAAGAATGTAAGGAAAATGTCTAAACTAAACTAATTCTAGTCATTAATTTCAATTTTAAGGTTCTTCTCTTCACTTCTGATTTTATTTTTTACTGTCCACCTACTTACACATTGAAATAATGTTTTTCATTTCCTAATCTTACCTTTTGTTAGATTTTTCCCAATTATTTATCTTTAATTATTACTATTTTATACTTATTTATCTATCCATCATGTATTCACATTGTAATATTTCAAAAATTATTTTTTCACTTGGTTATTTCATATCTTTATCAATGTTATTCTTTATATTTTCTGAAATCGCTACAAATGCCTCTTAAATGAAAAAACAGCAGAAAGTAATCAATGGATTATCTGAGAAAGAAAACAAGATGTGCTTATTATAACAGATCAAATATAAGTCAGGGTACTGCATAACTCTGAAATCAGAAAGGTACTCCATTCCGAAAGAGCATGTCTTTACTTAGAGAATTTATGTTACTAATAAATTTCAAAAAATTGAGGTATATATCTTCCATTTGTAAAGTATGTATTAATTCTCTTCAAAAAGGCGCTCTGTGTAAAAATGGTCTCTATATTTTTGGTGTTGCCTTTTTCCGTAAAATTAAAGAAACAATAATTTGTAAAATTCGCTTTATTTTATCTCCTTATTGACATTTGATTAAATTGTAGAAATGTATTTGACAGTATACACAGTTAGAATTTGAATTTAGTAGTATGGACTCTAATTACAGCCATATCCTCAAAAGTTATAATTTTTTATAAAATTTTATCAAACTTAGATAGTTTTGTTTTAAAATAGTCTATCTGAAATAACTGACCTTCATAGAAATTCCAGAGGTAGTTGATACGATATGCCAAACAGTGTGCAAAGAAATAGTACTCCAACAAATAGTCGATCCTATCAGATTTGCGTTAAGCCCTTTTTGACAAACTGCGGTCAGTACTAAATAAAGCGGGATAAAAACGCCATTGAAACAGGCAGAAATTATACAAGTTATAATCCAAGCATAGGAACCGTCTAAAATGATGCAGATATCGCATAGTTTGTCTTGAGCATGCGATAGTGTGACCAACTTCTTATCGGAAATGGAGAAATGTCTCGTCAAGACAATGTCATTGAGCGCTAGACAGATCTCGTCCAACCTAAGCGTTATCTGATCTGCCAAGGAAGTGAACTGTGCTGAACACAACCAAATACTAACGGCGGGTAGAAACAAAGGCACTTTCATGAATCTACAGAGGCTGATTAAGGGCGAGTTCACGGGGTACAGTATTGCGACCATTAAGCCCACAAAGTAAGTTTTGGCAAAATATTTAGCTTTTTGACGCCAGTCCCTTCTGATTTCCAAGATGGCCAGTTGGCGGTCGACTTCGTTCAGACCCAATAAGATTCTATTAATATGTCGCATCCTCAGAACGGAATTCGTAACGGCAACCATATACAAGACCCACAAACAAAAACAAAACCATAAGGCGACTATTAACTGCGTAAGAGTATCAGCAAGTAGAAGTTTTACCCTCGACTCTGGTATGAACAGATTTATGTGGAAAAATACCGTGCAAAAGGTCATCAAACATGCCATCAGGAAGGACCATATGCATAATGGTATAGAAGCGAAAAATTGGCCATTTCTATATCTACATGGGAAAATACCGACAAATCTCGACAATAAGAAAATTATTTTTATAAAAATATCTTGGAAAAAAATTTCGTGTGACTCTGAATGAGATCTAGAATCCATTAGGAAACCGACTGAGTAACTGAATAAGGAAACTTGTCAAACAGTTATCGCAGCTATTAATCTCTCTGTCCTTTTAAAGTAACTAAGAGATGGATTATTGGATACATTAAAAACGATACTAATTTTAGCCTTCATTGAAACTAGTAAAATAAAGAATTACACGCCGCCAGGTATAGAGCCGTACAGCGTAATTACTAACTCTGTACTACGCATTCAGTCACTGTTTTCACCCAAATAGAGTTGTTAGTCACACCATTGGCGGGTGACTATAAACCGTATAGATTTATAGCATACCGATTCAGACACCACAGCGATTTCGGACCAATGGGGAATTTAAGTAGCTTGAAACCCATAATATTCATCAAACGCATGCTTGGCAAGAATTTCATTATTTAATAAAGCTCTTTTAAAAAATAAACGGCCTTCTCATAAGGACATTAAACATTTTTAGATGTTCATTCTAAATTTTTAAAAATCGATAAAAGGATTAGGTCATCTTCTCGTATATGATTGTATTAATGTTTTTTACAACCGGTTTCAGTCATTAGACCACCTTCAAGCTAATTTATGACGTTCCTCATCTCCTGCTTGTCAAATGAGGTAAGTGCTTGGATTCATGATAAATTTTACAAATATTTCTTACTCTTTCAACTATGAAAAATAGCATGGAAAGGTACTTCAAATTTAGAAGCCTTATAACTAACTATTGTGCTATCAATTTAAAATCTATATTTTATTAGCATAATTTTTTTGTTCGCAGGTGATCTCCTACCTTGCCATTCCTGGCAGAAAAGGGACAGAGGGAAGAGTTGCTGTAAAGGTACAATCAAACCTATTCTAACCAGTGTGGTAATGTTAATATTCATTCCGTGAGTCAACAGCGAAATAAATTTCAACCCACCCAGGCAGGATTCAAAACGGCGCACAGAGCCTGCTGGATATTGGAGGGAAAATAAAAGTCATAATTTAGAAGTTTGACAACAGTGACACAATAATCGTTCCCCCGCCAGGCATATTAATTTTTAACATAATTGTCGCATTAATAATTCCTTTATATGAAATTATATTTGATGGAAGGAAAATCATATTTTTTATTTTTAGAGCTGGTTTGCTTGTATTTTTTAATTAAACTTAACAGTTTGTACAGGGGACTCTAGTGAGTCCTAAGACAGATGAAACATCAGTTATTAAAAATATATAGAATTATAAATGTCCTAATTACAGAGGCATATCACTTCTTACGGTTGCCTATAAGATAATGACTAATATTTTGCTAAGTCGGAAATATCCGGATTGTGAGAACAAAATAGGCGATTATCAAGCAGGATTCAGGAGAGGAAAGATTAGGATAGACCAGGTTTTGATCCTAAAACAAGTACTCGAAAAACGATGGGAAGTTGATCAGAGTCTTCGGGTGGGGCGTTAGAAAAAAAAAATATATATATATTTTTATATATATATATATATATGTATATATATATATATATATATAACTTATATATAATATATACATATAATATATATAAATATATAACCTTTTAAAATAATTAATTTTAGCCTATAAATAAAGCAACCATATTAGAGAAATATTGAATGAAAAAAAAAATTCATACAAGAAACTGTTCGACATTTTCGACTTCTCCAGCACTTACTAGACAAGCATTTTAAACTTTCTATATATTGCAAAAGATTCATATACATGACTATAATAAGGCCAATCTGGAATTACGGAATTCAGCTTTGGGGCTCCACTAACACTTACTTTGTCACAAAAAAAATCATTCATAACGACCTTAACGTAACATTTGTTTCCGATTTAGCCCAATCCAGATACCTATCCTTCCATAACAAACTTCAAAACCACCGGAACACTCTCGTTTCAAACCTTGCTTCCTCTTCGATACCTGATAACTCTCCAAGGCGTCTGAAAAGAAGATGGCCTCGTGATCTACTTATGTAAATATATTATTAGAGTGCTACCAATGGGTAGATCTCACCAAGCGTTTTCATGTGGTTGTATTATTACAATGTGCACATTTACTGGATGTATTTTTACATTTATATAGTTGTAAATCTTATGAATAAATAAAAAAAATCATAATATAAAACAGCTTAAGAAATAAATTAAATTTTTTATGGGGAAGGGGAAGATGACGTCTTAACTCGGGTGAGGAGGGCGCCGCATGTCTAAGGCCATCACTGAGATCAGGAGGTACACGCCTTATTTGTCGACTTCAAAGCAACCTATGATTCTGTGGACAGAAACTGTGTTTGGAAGTTCATGACTGAGCTAGGTGTTTTCGGTAAGTTACTGAGATTGACGAATGATCCTAAATGCAGGTTACTAATACAAGAAGAAGTATCTGAAGCATTTGAAGTTTTGGAGACAACGGGTTTGAGTGAGGGAGATGGACTCTCGCCGATGCTGTTCAACTTAACCCTAGAGAAAGTGACTAGAACAACAGCAAGTCAAGATCTAAGGGTGCAAGTCGGAATGAAACATAAAATCCTAGCATATCCGGATGATAAAGCTGTCCTTGAAAGCAATCAAGAGGGTATTGAGAGACTTTATTAAGAGAAGCAGAGCAATTCATGCAGAGCAATCTGACTACGAGCATATGAAGATAAAACAAATACAACTCCATCCTAATAGCGTTATCAGCATGGACTCTGTCATTCCCGAAAGTAGACAGATTCAAATACCTCCGCTCCACAATTACCTCAATAAATGGTCAACTAACAGAGATAGACCAGCGGATAACAAGTGCGAACAAAACTTTCTTCTCTCTTTCAAGGGAACCAAAATCCATGGTAATCTAAAACCAAGGGTGTGCAACGCCGCGGTAAAGCCAATTTTGCTTTACGGCTATTGAACCTGGGCTATAAACGGCACCCTAGAAAGCAGAATTAAAATATTCAAAAGAGAAGTCCTCCGTACGATAACGGGACCTATCTGGGATCAGAACCTTAACACATGGAGATGAAGGAACAATAAATTACTGTTAAAAGAAATAGGTCAGTAATATCTCACAATATGAAGGCAAGGAGGTTAAGATGGGTGGGGCATGTAGCTCGAAGCAATAAATCAGGATGCCTTTACACAACAATGAATGCCCGAAAAGTAAGTAAAAGAGCAGGCTGTTAAGCATTACTTCGTGAAGGGAGAATGGCTGTATACCATCTCATTTTCTCAGGATACCTCCTGGCTCACCTTTTCTTCTCTCATTCGTCAGTCTTTTGAATTTTTTTTTTTTTACTACAGTCAAAGATGAAAGAAGAGAGCCCAGGATATTCCCTTATCAACTGAACCATGGACCATCCAAAGGGTACTGAGATGGTCTGAGAGGGCATGTTCTATGAGGCCTAGGTTAAGGATTATTTTGTGGTTATCCAGACCTTCAACATCTGATAAAAATACCACATAAGACTTCTAAATGGTTATTTCATAGTGGATGTTAGTTTGGAAACGGTCAAAAGTGGCCTACAGAAGCTAGGTTACATCCTTGGAAAGCAGCCAATGAGATGGTATACAGCCATTCTCCCTTCAGGAAGTAATGCTTAACAGCCTGCTCTTTTACTTACTTTTCGGGCATTCATTGTTGTGTAAAGGCATCCTGATGACTGCAGTAAATAATATCTGCACTTCCTAGAGCTCACATGAATTCCATTTAGGTCACCTACTAAATGAATGTGCATATCTAAAATTTTATGCCAATAAAAAGACAAAAAACAACATTCATGAGATGTGTACTAATGAATTATCATAGTTCAACTCGCTTGAAATATAGCAAGCACATTACACTAATCTTTTAGAGAATAGTAGGGAGTAGTTAAAGGTACATTATTCTCTTCATATTATAACAAAAATTTTACCTTAGGGTACTAGTAATTTGAAACAGAAAAATCTAAGTACACCAATGTCTAGTATGTCACCAATAAAAACCAAGAAACAAATTACTGAGGTAACAAAGTTTTATTTGCACATAACCTAAAAAATTTATAATTCATAAAAATCATTTAAAAGAAAATTGAATTCTCCATGAAACAAAAAAAAAAATTATAGGACCTGTATTAACAAATATGTAGTATATTTTAATTTCTACCCATGTTATTAAAGTACATAAAATACATTGTGAAGCTTTTTGTTCACATTCTAGTGTTATTTTCAAATAATTTGAAAACTATACTTCTCGGCTATATTCTAAGAATGCGAAGGCTAAAAACATTAGTGAGGGTTACAGAGTGCCCAGTTCTCAACCTCAACCTTGTGGGTTCAATTCCAGCCGGAGTCAGTTAATATTTATTTCTTAGCTACAACCTCTAAGTAGCCATCCAGGGTTGACAAAGATCCAGTTACCCGACTAGTTCTACATGTAACAATAGCAAAACCAGTGCCACAACATGGTGGATTGTTCGACCTTGGAGACATGGCACCCAAAGAGGGAAGCTACATCGTATGAGTAGGCATACCGCATATATTTTAAATAATTATATCAAAAAAATACACTGATAATTATCTTTAACTGAATATATTATCGTAATCTGGTCACTTTAACAAAAGTGCAACTGATAATTTAAAATATCAACCTATACTAGCCAAAAGTCTAACCTAAAATGTGATAATGTTCCTCTCTTCCACCCAAAATTTTGTCCACTTAAGTACATCTTCAATACATATTATAATAGTTTATATTGTTCTAACATTATAATAGTTTATATTGTTCTAACATAACACCATTTACCTGTATGAAGAGGGTGTCAGCTATACCTCCATTATCAATTTCGAGAGCTTTATTTTTTTGACCAGGATAGCAGTAAAAAAATGTGTTTTTTTAACTGCCACCAAGAACCATCTTTACGCTCATGTTAAATTTTTTTTTTTTAAATAAATATAGAATTGACTTCAGGTTTATTATCCAATATGGGATTAATGTATGGTTATTTTATGGTGTCAGTTGGGTAGGTGTAACCAAGTAACTTTGAATTTGAAATTGTACTATACTATACTATACACCTTCAAAACAAATAACAATAAGGGAAAATGCAGGAAAAAAAATCTAAAAATGTTTGTTAGGCAACTTTATTTGCTTAGTTTATTTTTTTTGAGCCAAGCTAATTATTGTGTAAAATCTTTTATCAAACATGTTTCTTAACAAGGTGATAAATATAACAAAACAACAGATATAAATAATAATGTTCTAATTTAACAATTTTAAAAAGTAATTATTTTTCATCTTTTAGATCCAAAATAGTTTTCACATTAATAATTTTCTCAAAATTATATTTATTGCCTTATACTAAATACATATAAACTATAAAAACACAAATTGCCTACAATGAGACTATAAAGACTGTGGAGATTGCAGTGGGTATAATCTACTGAGAGACTAATTCTTCAGCAAACTCGTCTTGCAGTTCAGGACTTCAAGGGGATTTCGAAAATAAATATATTCATTCTAGCTACAACCTTCCGTTTGATTAACTATTACAAAAGCCACTAAAAAAATAATTCATCTCGTCGAGTCCTACAAGCTAGTGGAATGCGTACAAATATATATATTGCTACAGTAAACTATATCCTCAGACAATCCATCCACAACAATTTCAAAGGAAAGGGGTTAACGGAGGGAGAGTCTCATAAAAACAATTATACGAGCATGCAACTACAAAATCACTACTAAATCGTCGATAATGGCCCACTCAAAGCATCAGCCAAGGGGCCATTCAACTCTAATGCAGGCCGCGCTCCGAGGAGCAGTCAGTGCAAACATAAACGCACGCAGCCTACCTCTTCTATAACCTAAGTATTGTCTTGTGAGCCTTATCATATAAGGATCGTATGAGCGATTTACACTGAAAGCGTCATTTGAATTTGTGCACATAAGCACATACACAACCCAAAGTAACATGAAATTACCAAAGAAAAATGTAGAAAACAATAACATTAAAAACAACAACTAGTTGACAATTGAGCGTTCGACGTTTACGTATTAAGACGAGGATCACAATATAAATTATTAATAATAGTAAAACAAAAAATAAACAATGAAAATTCAACAAAGCATTGTAAATATTTAATTATTACAGTCTCCTTTTGTCAAACATGACGGCATAATGCAAGGATTTTTACATTATCCTGTATTTTTTTATTTTATCAAGAAAATTTTTAATTTACTTTTTTTTACTAAAAAAAGAAAGAAAAAGAAAAATTTCCAGATTAATACCTCAAAACGAATTTCATCATCTAAAAACAAATTCTACTAAACAAAAAAACTATATCTAAACTACATCTCATTCACAATATACTCTTCACGCGCTGATAACAATCTTGATCTTGAATGAAAGAGCAAGAACATCGACAATTATCTAAAATAATACTAAATCCAGTATACCGTTTGTTCGGGGAAAATTGCCAATGAACAAGAATTTTCACTTAGCATAAAATATGTATCTTTTTTGGTTTATGTAACTTTAAGAGTTTCCAAGAGCATTCACAGGTACAGAATGAGATGCCACCAAAGAATTTCCTGTACAATAGTTTACGGGATAGATTTGGTGATTGTGTTGAACAGCCTCTTTCCCCACCACGACTCCAGGTCAAACGGCTTGAAGTCTGAAACAGTATAATAAAAATTCAAAAGATGATTTATAATGTTTATATAATCCACAACTTACTCAAGACAGACTTAAATATAAAATAATTACATTAAGTAAAAAAAAAAAGTCCTTTGAATAGACCAAGGAAAATAAGCATACCCTGATTAATTAATTAACTTATATAGCTTCCACTTAGCGATATCAATAGGACATTAAGTATATAATAATTATATTTGTTAATTACAAACAAATTTGGTTTTGACCTTCTTTCAATCCGACCTCAGCAAATCACTATTTATTACATTATTATAGTTCTATCATGATAACTACGAGGAGTATAAATCACATTTTCTATATTTTATTTATTTAATTTTTACCATTTAATTTATATCTATCATCTGTACTCATACAGCTTTAATGGCAATATACAATTTACTTATTTAATCCAGTCCTCTTTATTACCGCTGAGCAGCGAGGTTCCTTCTTATAGAGCTTGATCCAAGAATCACTATCCTGGGCCAGCTGTTTTCTCCTACTACACTCCACTCTATTCCTCTCCTGTCAAAGGCTTCTTTAATTCCTTCTTCTCATCTTTTTTTTGGTCTCGCCTGTGGCCGCCTTCCCTCCACTTTGACATCGTAGGTAACCCTGGCAACTCTGTTTTCAGCCATTCGCGAGACATGTCCAAACCACTTAAGTTGGTTTTCTTGGATTATTTCCTCTGCAGGCCTCAGGTCCAGATTAGCTCTTATGGTCACATTCCTAACGTGATCTCTTCTCGTTTTCCCCTATATTTTCCTTAAATATCGCATTTCTATAGCTTGGATTCGGCTTTTGTACTTAGAAGTGATGGTCCAAGACTAGCTTGCATATGTTAATGAAGGGAGGAAGGTATTCCTGAAGACAATCTTCTTAGTGGCCTTTGAGACTTCCTTCTTGTCCAAGAAGACTGACTTGAGGGAGTAGAAGCATTTTCCTGCCGTCTTAATTCTTTCTTTTATGTCTCCATCAACCCATCCGTACTCGTTGAGGTGAGCACCCAGGTATTTAAAATCCATTACTTGCTCCAGGTGGATTCCATTCAGCCAAACGATCCGGTCTCCTCGGTCCCTTCTTCTCCCAATCCTCATAAATTTTGTTTTGGAGATGTTAATTTCCATGATTATATTCCTTAACTTAGCTTGAAGAATCTTGAGGTTAAACTGGAGATTACGGCAGTCATTTCCGAATAGCACCATATTGTCAGCAAAAGCAAGCACTGTACACTGGATGCGCTGTAGGTTCCTATATCCGAGGTGGTATGGCCTCATTTTCTATTTTGCTTGTTTTAGGGCAGAGTCCAGCACTAGTATAAACAAGAGGGGGCTAAGGCTGCATCCCTGTTTGATTCCTTGATTTGTTGAGAATTCTTTTGATGTATGGTTGCACATTTTGACAACATTTTTCTGGGTTTCATATAGACTTAGGATGGCTTTTCTCATTCCTATATTAATGCCATTTTGTTCCAATGCTCATGATGTGTCTGCTTTATGCATCCTGTCGAATGTTTTATTTAGGTCTGCAAAACAAGCGAAGACCTCTGCTCTTCTCCATAATCTTCTCGGATATTTGTCTCATCGTGAATATCAGATCTTGTGTACTCCTGTTAGGCTGGAAATCATATTGTTCTTCCCCTATCTTTTGTTCTATGAGGCTTCTCAGCCGCTTTTTAAGCACCTTGGAATAAACTTTGTAGGAGATGCAGAATAGGGATATGCCTCGATGGTTCCGACATTCACGGTTATCTGCTTTTTTGAAAATTGGGATTATGATGGAGACTTCCCAGTCCTTTGGGATAACTTCCTTTTTCCAAATGATGTTAAGGAGGTGCTGGAACAGTTCGATTCCTTTTAAACCCATATATTTCAACATTTCTAGTGGAATGCAGTCTATACCAGCTTAATGAGCTAATAGCCTTGGTAACTTCTTCTTCTCCAATGAAGTCATCTTCTTTCCAGATGTCTTCTTTGTTGCAGGTCTGTTGTTTCGCTTTCATTTCCTCCCCGTTATATGGCAGTGATTCCTTAAAATTCATGATTCCGCCCACCTATTCATAATGTTTTCTGGCCTACTCAGGATGTCTCCATTTTGTTCTTGACGTGCTTCAGTACTGGTTCTTTCTGCTTTCTCATGCTCCTGAGGCTTTGGTCGAAAAGTTTCTGGTTTTCCTTATAATTACTTTCCAACTTTTTTCTAAACTCTTCCCAGAACTTTTTCTTTCCTCTCTTCACGGCCTCTTTCACTTTCTGTTCCTTGTATGCAGTGTATGCCACACCTGACTTGGTTTGCAGGTATCTCTTCCATAGAGTTTTCTTCTGTTTGGGTTTCCCTTTAATTTCCTCATTCCACCAAGCAGTTTTCTTTGATCTATGTCCCAGCTTGCTTTTTCCACATGCCAACTACGCTGTCTCCAATATTATTATCTTAATTGCCGACTAAGATTCTTCTACGTTGTCACTGCCCCAATTGTATCTTGCTCTATTCACTTTTTCTTCGATCAAGTACTGGTATGCCTGTATCACCTCTGGCTCCCTGAGTTTAAAATATTTTATTTTGAACTTATTTGTCCGGTTTGATGGTCCCGGTGTGGTTGCAGAGTTAATGAGGACTATATCCATTATAAGTAGCCGATGATCGCTACCTATCTCATAGCCTATTATGTCTACTATGTGTATTCTTTGTTCTCATTGTATTAGGTAATAGTTGATAATAGACCTTTCATTTTCGACTTGGTTCCTCTCTTGTATACTTGTGAATCTTTTTGTGTGGGAAGAAGCTGTTTCCAACCAGTATATCATTTGCAAGGCAAGGTTAAGAATTCTTTTGCCATTGTCGTTACAACTTTCCTCACCATCCGGTCCCAAAGCGCCACCCTATTTCATCGAGTCCTTCCCTATTCTTCCATTCAGGTCTCCCATTATTGGTATGCCTTTGCATATATCGATCTCATGTTGGACAGAGTCCAAAAATGCTTCCTTTTCAAGACTAGTGGCATTATCATTTGGTCCGTATGATATGAGTAGAGAGTATGAGACCCCTCCGCTAAATACTTCCACTCGCATGAGTCTGTCACTAAAAGCCTTAAAGTCCTTTAAACAGTGAGCCAAGTTTTGGTGAAATAAGCATGCCACTTCGCTCTTTCCATATTCTCCTTTATTGTCTCCGACATATAATAATATGTGATATTTTATCTTCTGTTCTCCTTTGCCTTTCTTCTTAGTCTCTGTTATCCCTAGGATGGCTATCCTCGCTCTTTTCTTCTCTTCAACCAATTTTACTTCTTTCCCATTTAAGCCTATAACGTTCCATGTGCCCAATCATGCGATCCGTTTTCCACGCAGTGTCAGTTGCCATAAAATCTGATCGCTCTATTTCTTTCTGTACTTTTGATTGGTGATGCACAATTACAAAGACATTAAAAAAAAATAATATTAATATTATGGATATAAACTAGAAAATAAAAAAGATGGAAGAAACAGAAAATGTGACTTACTATACCTTACTTATCATGTTAAAAATTGTGAACAAATCAATGAAAGAACTTTTTTGCAGTACATTATAGTACATATTCGAGTAAGATGTTTAATTTATTTAAGCTGTATATTTTGCTGGCATGTTAAAGCATTTCAATTACAGAAGCTCGAAAAGAGAACCTGTAGAAAATGTTGTTTACCTAAGTTATTTTTTTTTTTTTTTTTAACCATTGAGTAAGTGAGTAAAAATTGGATACGTAGATATTCTACTACCAGGACTAACAGCAAAAAATTTTTTTTTTGAAACATCATCTAAGAGAGGACTCCAACCAAGGGGAACAAATCAACCAAAGTGCAGATGGACCCTTTATTGAGCTAGCTAGAAAAGTGTCGATAGAAAATGGATGCTGCCCACAGAATTAATAATTTTATTATTTTAATAGGCTTGCTAAAAATAATTTATTTACATTGAACCCTTAGTGTCTAAGCTACCCATCCTTTCCAATATTGAACACAACTGTTCTCTTGTCACCATCCCTTGATATGAAAACAGTTGGTTTTCATTGGCAATAATACAAAATTAAATTCATTAAGGTTAGATAATCTCAAATCATTCACATAGAAAACTTTTTTTTGTTTATTAATTTGTATGACTCATAAAAAAATAATAAAACAAACAATATGAGCATAATTAATAAATAAACCTATTTTTAAAATGAATAATAAAGTAGTATTAGAAAAAGATGTCACATAATTACATAATAATAAATGGTACTTTACAAAAAAAATACAATAATCTATAGCACAAAACTATATTTATGAAAGATTTAATTGTATTAAAATTACATACAAAGAAAATCAGTTTCACATTTTTTTAAAATTAATTAAATTTAATCAGCATTGAAAATGCAGAATTAGTGATATTCCGTTTAAAAAAACACATTAATAATGCTTAATATAATAATTTTAAGTTCACAGCACATTACCCACCAAGACAATGAAAAAGTACACAGATACACTAATTGGAAGCCAACATTTTCAAGGTGACCTCTTTCTTACTAACAGTTTATTTAACTACTTTTGGTGATCACTATTAATTCTCTTTCTTTAACACTGATATTGTGATAAGGTAAAGTTTAATTTACAGAAAGAAAATATAAAAAAAGTTTCTCAATATAAATGAAAGAACAACATTCTTAATGTTTGCTTTAATTTTGAGACTTTATTTTTGATTTGGCACGGAGTTATAAATGTGCAGCAAACAAGTGAAACAAATTCAAAGCATTTAAAAAAAATAAAATAATTAAAAGATGGTTAGTTAATTTATTTCAATAAACTTGATGGTAATAAATTAAAAACATAAAATGATATTACAAAAAAAGAAGTTATGGGTATATACGTATCCTTACATTTTCAGAAACAAATATCTGCTTGAAAACCATTTATATGGATTATTTGTTTAACTAAAGGTCCAACAACATAAAACTTGAATCTGATAATTGAATTCAAATAAATAGCAACAATCAGATTTGACTTTACTTAGCCATAACTGGTTACAGTTTTAGAACCTTAAGTAGTTTGAAACCAAAACACAACTCAATGAGTATATTTTGAATTAGATAAAGGTCATTTTAGAGTGAACAGTTTGAAAAATATTTTATCATATTCAGTTAATAATTATTTTACAGTATAAACCTACCTTTCAGATCGAGATTCGGTTCGTTGCACTTATAATAAACTACCTTAGCTGCGTCTATAATAAAAAATAAAAATATATACACATTGCTACTATAATAATGAAAATTTATAAACATTAAAAAGGTAGCAATACTTCTACATACTCTGATTTTGTTTCTGCTCCGAGGCCTCTTCTTCACCTTCTTTGCAAACTGATGTCCATGCTGCATAGGAAATTTATAAATTAAAATCAAGAACATTTGAATACATAAATACTTATGAGTTTCTCTAAGAAATTAAATAAAATACTTCAAGATTGTTTACAACCAAATAGTAGAAAATCTTGGATACGTACAATCATGTATAAATCTGATAATTTCTTCATGTTGTGGTGTAATGGCTTCTTGTTGTGCACGAAAAGAATGTGACTTTTTACCATTTACAGGCTGAAAGACTGGTTTGGGAAGGCTAAAAAGTAAGTTTAGGGACAAAAAATGTATTAATAAACTTACTACAATTATAATAATGAATCAGAAAAATAATTTATTCATATTTTAATTACACCAAAAACAAATAATTATGATTTACAAATCAATAGTAAGCTATATTTATATGCATTGTGAAGAGAAACATCTGAAATATGCACCTACCTTAAGATATCACCGTTGTCTTCCTGATTTTTTTTCAAGTCTCTTAAATTATCAAGATTTTGAGAAATACCTGAAGAATATAAGAATTATAAAGGTTAATCAAACCTGCCAAAAAGGGAAAAATTATATAAATATGAAACAAAGCAATCTTCTAACCTCTCCTCGTTTTGGCTACGATTTTACTGGGCCCTTTAGAAACAGTGTACATTTTATGGGTAGAATACTTTTAATAAACCACTTATTACTTAAATAATTAATAGAAAACAATAATATGTCGTTCTTGCAATTGTTTCAAAAGAACCGGTAATCTGTACAGGAGTTCGTTCCTGAATATTTCTAAAATCAACTGAAGCCAGACTAACCTTTTTAATGCAACCTCTGATTATTACGTAACCTTCCGCCAGCAAGGTTTCAACATTTGTTTTAAAAAGTTGGATTAATTATATTTTGTTTTATTTAGTCCAGCTTCAGTATTTATAACCAGAAAAATAAAATCTATTTGAATGAAAAATGAAGGAAGGTACTTAAGAAAATTTACTATAAATAGTTAATTAAATATTCAAGTGACAAAAAAATTTGATATTGTATCAATTTCATTTTAAACAGAAATATGTGCAGGTTTATCGAATGCCACAATTTGGCATAGCTCTATATTATTTTAACTTCATTATTACTACCAAGGTGATATTTTTTTTCAATTCGTCAACAGTAGGTGAAACAAAATATGTATGAGTAGCTAAGAATATTTGATTTTGATTTGACCGAATTTACTTTTTTATTAGAACTAAAGCGCTTCTTATAAGCTTGGTAGCCTACCAATTTTAGCCTTTAAAATGAGGGAGCGCATAGCATGGAAGTTGTCACTCAAGAATGTTTGTCCCTTCAAGTCTATTGGCTTTAACTGGATAGACCGAGAAGGAACTTCTGTACAATATGGAGTCAATTGACTGTCAAGAGGAGATGTTCTGATCAAATTTTGTCATCTTCATTGTTTTGCTAAGTTTCACCTTTTCAGTACTTAATCCCCGCGAGCAGGGGAAAACTTAATGGCTCCATTGGTAGGCTACGTCACTAGAGGTCCGAACTTATAAATCTTCACTCTGTGCCGCCATCTCCTGGCAAACGAACTGGCTTAAACATTGATGATAATACTATGGAATCATTTCCAATCATACATAATAAAGTATATCTTAATCGAATTTTAGCAATAATATTATCTTTGTAACATTTTTTTACACTGTATAAATTCGTGTTGAAATATATGTAATGCAAGCTGAATTGAATACTAATAAAGTGAAAGTTGAATAATGTAATAGATCTGACATTATTCAATTATCCAAGTCTGCGTAATATTTCTCCCTTACCTCCCATCCTACACTATTAGTCCAATTTCTAAGAATGTTATATGTTTAACTATGTAGAATATCTTTTTACAGAGACGTAACCAGTCGTTCTAGATGACTTCAGGGAATATCCAATTAGGTATATGAATCTTTCAAATCCTTTCCAACCGTATGGTAAAGATGAGATTGGGAACCGAATTCTAGAGTAGTTGAAATAACTGGACAATCAATGGCTGATGGATAGATAAATATTCTGGTCATCGCCTAGACAATAGGATGTACGTGTTTCCTTGGAATAAAAACATTTGTTACATAGAACTTCCATGTTATCGGTTAACTTAATGAATGTTTATAAAGTTATTTGAAAAAGATTATGTGATAATACTTATCAATTTATTTTCAATTAAATGAAATCACTATTCAGCTACTAGTTTACTTACCAATGATAATAATATTCACCATATGATCATAATCAAAATGTAGTTTATTATTTTGGGGATAATAGATCGCCAAAATACTACCTCAAAAGCAATGTAAACCAGGATTGCTGGTGCCGTTAATGGACGAGAGCTCATGGAATCCAAACATCAGAGCAACTGTTTATTTTATAGGACTCGCATACTCATTCCTTGGTGTAGCAATTGTTATGGATATCTTCATGTCTTCCATAGAGTATATCGTCAGCAAGAGGAAGAAGATGTATAGTAAGAATATAAATTATTTCTTTCAAATACAAACCCCTTAACAACTTATAATTTTAAATATTCTTTGAGATTAGCGATAATTCAGCGTGACTTGACAATTTCTTCGAACTGAAAAGTCCTTAACAAAGAATTCCTTGTTTCAAAAATATTGGGAAGCTGGAATACCAGATGAAAAGTGGGAAGTGTAAGTGACAGTTGTGATTCAAAATACCCCAGAGGATGTAATTTCTTTGCTATTTCGTCTGTTGCGCTATTGCTATGTCGCCTAGGTATCATTCACCTAAAGAGCATTACTGCTTAAGCAGTTACTCCAAAATCCACCTGATTAAACAGTTTAACCACTTTTGACCATGCTGAGACTTGCCAATACTCTGAGACATCTAAATCACCTCATCAGTTTTTTTCTCTATCTCATAATAAGTCATTACGTTTTATTCCGCTTTTCAATCATTAAAAAATTAAAATTGTTATTGTAATAAAACTGTAGTTAAAAAATATTTTCAATAAAAGTTCATGTAGGTTAGGTTACGAGTTGTCTTAGACGATCGACAACATGGTTATTACGCCCTTGATGTATGATGTTATTATTTGTAACTTATCTCTCTGAATGCAAAAAAAAAAAATCTTTTTTGTATTTCTTTAATTGGTGTTATTCTGAGGTACAATTGTGTTTGTTTTATAATATTTTCTATTGAATTTACTGAGTCTTTTAATTCTATTTCTCTACAACGAGGTATTTTGTTTTTTACAAAGGCTTGATGTAGTAATGTACAATCTTCTATTATATGCTTTATGGTTAGGTATCATCATGTACTTACCGAGTTCATGTACTTGCCAATTCAACTAGACGTTATTAACCAATCAGGACGGGCCCCTTCATGCTATTATGAGCTAACGTTTTTAAAACGGTTACCACACTATTTTGTTTACAATAAAAATTATTTTGGACATTGTTATTAACAGGGATTGAGGTATACTGAGTGTCTCAATTCTTAATGGCCAAAATATGAGGTTTGATTCCAGATCAAATTTTCAGCAAAAATGTTCATTTGATGCATGTTCTGATTCTGAACGGAAAAGGAGAAAAGAGCAATTTTGTATAAAAAGCGATTTCACGAAAACTGTTCATGACAATTAAATTCTAAGTAAACCATCGTTGAGTAATCAGTGATTAAATTTATTGATGTCAATAATAAAAGGGAGTTTCAGAAAGTATAATAATGCAAAGCCTACCATTATGCTTAATTATTTCACGAATCGAGAACACAGCGATATGCTGCTCGGATATGGGTAACTGCAGAAGTACAGCGACCGTATTAGACCTCTTGAAAGTATCTTTTATCATTGACCTTAGTAAATTTAATCACTGTTTTTTTCAAACCAATTGTGTCTACTTTAGGGTGATGTACTTGAACTTTAATTATCTTGAATAGTTTTTTAACAAATCTTTCATATTCAATAAAAAACGTGACCACCGCAAACACACAAAATGGGTCTTAACTCCTCTTTCATTCGGAATAGGCTTATGCATCAAATGGATTTTTGTGTTGAAATCTTTGTTTAGAATCACCTTACAGCGTTTGGCCATTGTGAACTGTGACACCCTTCGTTTTCTGTGAGGCTGTGACGACCGAGCGTGCTTAAGCGCAAACTTTAACATTTTCTAGTCCACCGATGTCGGTTCGAATTCGACCTGGGCTGGTTAACATTTATTTCGTGACGATCCCGAACTTCTCACTCTGGTCAGAATAGGTTTGGTTTTACCTGTTCAACACATCCCTTTCACTGCAGAAATGCCCTTCTCACTCCGAATAAAAAAATAAATATATGAAATATCCGCTTTCCGTTAGTGAAAAAGATATTGTTCGACATTTGTTTATCTCTTGAGCTCACTAATGGCAATGGCTTTTATCTACATAGATAATTATAGTACATAATACATACATCTTTGAGAATCCTCAAGGAATTAATTTACATTTTCTTTCAATAAGTTGTTTAAAAATTTTATTTTAATATTTTTAGTACTAGTTTAGTACTAGGCCCGTGCGAAAAATTCCCACAGCATATTATTTTTAAATGCCTAATAATCAAGAAAAAAAATTATGCAACGTATCAAAAGATAAAAAAATCAATTGTTACTTTAAAGATAAATATAAACGACAAAGGAAACAAAAATTATTTTAAATCTTAATTAATGTTTGAAACCAACATGGTTACAAATTTTAATAAGTATCTTTGCTAAAAATTGATTTCGATTTCGGAGATTTTTTTTTTCTTTTTGCAAGGAATTTAGTAATCTTTTATATAATCATGGGCATAACCAAGGAAAAATACTTAATTATTTAGTTATTCGCAAATAAAGTGTGTTTTCTTTCATAACTTGTTTGCCTGAATTTTCTAGTTGATTGGACTATTTTGCCCGTCTAAAGGAGAAGGAAGCCTTTGAAATGGGTGGCTCAATCATGAGATTTGGTGAAGAATTAAGGATGATATGGCTTGCAGATCAATAAAACCATCGATAAATAATATTCTCCTCTCTCGATCATAGAGGCCTCAAGTCGACGAAATGAGACATATATTCAATGACAGTACTACAATTAACGTAAGGTTGTGTAGATGCGAATCCTATGGCTTACGTTTTCTCGAAAATAGTACATTTTTAAGCTTAAAAACACAGGATCCGATAGTTCCGGAGGACCTATCCGGGTCTTGCTGTACGCATCAAAATCTTCAAGGTTCAGTTTGTCCCGTATCGATCTACAAACCTACCGCCGTTCCTGTATTGAAGCCTAGCAAAATGTTTGTATCGACTTTATTTATTTTAGAAAGAAAAACAAAAGTGGAGAATACGAATCCCCGTGAAATTCTGAATCCAACGGTACCCCATTCATGGTATTTGAGCCTGACAAGAACTTATATTTGGTACGAAACCGAAATCGAGCCTTACTGTAATAATATCTGTGTGAATGTGGATGGATATATTTTTTTAAAATGTTGAAGATTTCGCATTTTTGGCATTACTATAGCTTTAGGTAATTTTGAAATCTTTAAAGAGTTCACCATAATTCAGTTAAAGGCCATAAAAATAATCCAAAATATTAATGATTCCATGAAACGCATGTGCATTTAAATATAGTTGCACTATATTTCTTATATTTGGGTTAGCGTCTTTACGTACTCCAACTGGGGTTAGAAAGACGTTTATTCAAGAAAACCTTAAAAATAAAAAGATTATTCATATTCAATTGAAAGTCTTTGCAGCCTTACGAGAAGACGTGGCGGAGAAGCTGCAGAAGAAAATATGGGACGCCGTTGTTGCTAACCTGACCCTCCTCTGTTTGGGAACTTCGGCTCCTGAAGTTTTCCTCTCCATCATCGAAGTGGTCGGCCATAACTTCGAATTGGGCTACATCGGCCCAGGAGCGATCGTCGGGTCGGCATCGGTCAACCTTCTCATCATCGCCTTTTGTAATTTTGCTCTCGACGATGGTGAAGTCGCAAGCATACAGAAGTACGCGGTAATATTAACTAACTATTCAGCAATGTTACTCTATTATTTATGTTTTCGCGTAGATCCAAATAATTTATGAAAAGTATAAAGTTGTAAACAACTTATGTAAACAACTAAGTTATAAGTTATGAAGCTCACAAGTCATTGCCATGTATTTTTACATGTACATGTATTTTTAAACCACAATATTTTTGAAGAACTTTTTGTTCATTCCGAGACAAACTGGCAGTGCTGGATCTAACTCCCTCTATACCAATAACAACTATAAGGGGAGGAGAAATAAATCCCAGATAAACATGTTAATAAATAATTCTGATAATTGGAGATAGAACCTTATATATTGTCGATTTTCGTTGATTGTCTTGTGTGATGAAGTTTCCAATCTTTCCATTCTGTCATAGTCAGTCTTCTTATCAGTTCTTTGTTAGAATGAACCATTGGAAAGAATACAATATTATTTAAAGTTTAGACCTACATCCATTTACTTAATTTGATTTTTTTTTAATATAAAACCTAAACAATATTTTTTACAAATTTGAACTAAATTTAGGGAACTTAAATTTAAACAACTATGATAGTTGAGAAATGAGACGATCAGAGGAATCATGAATAATGAATAATTCAATGTGAAACTGTTGCACTGTGTGCTTTGAGCCACATAATCCCCTTTTATCTGATCCCATATCCTGATCATTCATTCCACTCATTTTCAACTAATAAATGTTTCAAGTGAATAAAACAAATAATATAATACAAATAATATAAAATAAATTTAAAAAATCGAGGTCGACCATTTCATGATTTACAAAGCTTTCCTGAAGTAGTACTCAGAAAAGCATTAGTAGTGAACTAAAGTTAACTTCTTGCTGTTTAAGAATTAGTTTCTTTTAAGTAATACCGAAATATCTTTCATATAATAATATTTAGGTATAAGTGAACACTTTATTAAGAAAATGTGCATGTTTGATCTCTTGAAGTGTCTTGTGTTTCCAGGTCTTCTCCTTTACGGGCTTGTTCAGCGTGTTTTCTTTCCTTTGGATCTACATAATCTTGGCCATCTCATCAAGAGGAATCGTGGAGCTATGGGAGGCCTGTCTTACTTTTACTTTTTACCCGATACTTGTTGCAGGAGCATATATTTTGAACAAAAAAATTCAGTTACGGGCTCCATTTGTTAATTTTTGGAGGGGTGACGAAGGTATCTATAAAGAATTTAATTGGATCATTTGAAAATTATAAAACTAAGGTTTTCAGCCGACAATGGGAAGAATCAATAGATTAACCGACTTGCCGAGATAGATTAATCCAGTTATAGAGAACGATTAATATTTATTATTACTGCTTCATTTCCTGTGGTTGTTAGAATGAGGTTAAAAATTATTCTTAAAAAATAACTAATTTAATACATGAACGATTTTTAGAACTTGAACTTTAGAAACAACCTCTTGAGTTTTATTTATTAGATAATATATGCATACATATATACTGATGACCTAAACTCCCACTTTATATCGGTTTCCACCTCTTCGTTACCATCCCCTTCCGGCTTTTCTCCAGAGGTACCTTTTAACGACAATAATTTTTATTTTTCCGACATTTCTCCCACAGACCTTATTACCGTTATAATGAAATCCCGTTCCAACTCCGTAGGCCCAGATGGCATTCATATCAAACTAATAAAATTATGTCTCCCTGAAATCCTCCCAGCACTCCTTTTCATCTACAATTTCTCCCTGCAGAATTCAATATTCCCGACCTCTTGGAAAAAAGCCATTGTCCTTCCTTTAAACAAAAAGCCTAATCCATCCTCTCCCGAAGATTTCCGCCCAATATCAATCCTTTCCAATCTTTCTAAACCCCTAGAAAAGTTAGTGCAATCCCAAGTTTCCAACTTCCTTGAACAATCCAACCAACTCGATCCTCTCCAATCTGGCTTCCGTCCTGGCTACTCTACACAATCTGCTCTGATTAAAATTACTAGTGATATCCAGACTGCAATAGATGACAAAAAACTAACCATACTTATACTTCTTGATTTTTCTAAAGCTTTCGATTCCATTATCCATTCCATCCTTTTCAACAAACTAAAATCATTATCCTTCTCCAAGAGTTCCATCTCTTGGTTCCAGTCTTTCCTCTCACAACGAACCCAAGCAGTTTCCATACCTAATCAACCTCTATCTGCCTACCTTCCTTTATCCTCAGGAGTTGCACAGGGTTCAAGCATGTCTCCTCTTCTTTTCAGTTCTTATATTAATGACCTAAATAATACAATTATCCATTGATCCCACCTCCTTTATGCCGACGATTCTCAAATCTATTTATCCTTTTCTCCCGCTGAGTTATTGGTGGCATTTGCCAAAATTCAAGAAGATTTAGATCGAATTAATGCCTGGGCCAACTTAAATGGATTAAGGCTAAATGCTGCCAAAACTCAGGCCATTCTCATTGGTTCCAAGCCCCTTCTTAGATCTCACACCAACTTTCCCTCACTCTATCTAAACAACCACCCCATCACCTTCTATCCCTTTGTTAAAAATTTAGGCTTTCTCATAGATCAAACCCTTTCCTGGAATCACCATATCTCTCATATATCCCGCCGTGCAATTTCTACCCTCAAACTATTCCATCACTTCCGCCATCTTCTACCCCAAAATACCCGTAGACTCATAGTTTCCTCTCTCATCTTTCCCCACTTTGACTACAGCTGTGTGGTGTACGATAGCCTCTCGGTGGAACTGCGTGATAGACTCAAAAGACTTATGAATTGCTTCGTAAGATTTGTAATCGGAACCCCGAGACGCTCCCGTGTCTCCCACCACTACACTGAGTTAGGGTAGCTCTTCCCCTCCTTAAGAAGACAATATTTCCTTGGCACTTTCCTTTATCAAATCATTACCGATCATCGTCCTTCTTATGCCTACAACCTTCTCCAATTTAAGTCCTCAATCCATTCACTCACTACAAGATCCCGACCCTCTGACCTATACATCCCTTCTCATAGATCTGCCTCATTCCAAAATTCCTTTATAGCCCGCTCTGTCAACTTTTGGAATTCCCTCCCGATCAAAATTCGACATGCCCCTTCCCTGTACACATTCAAAAACCTCCTATTCCAATTCCTGTTCCAAAAACAGTCAGATACCAGCTAACGATTAATATTATATATGTATTGTGTAGCAATCATATAATCATAACACTTGGTAAGAGATAGTACATGCATTTCCTACTATCGACGTAGGAATTTCAATACATACATTTTTTTGTATTTTTTTTTTATTCAATTATAAGTAACTGTTTATTTTCATATATATATTCAAGTAAAGTTTTTTTTTTATGAAATGAACTCATTGTATCTCTTTTTCGTTCTCCATTTCTCAAAGTGTATGTTTATGTTGTTCAACCCTTAAATATAATTTTGTTCATAGTTCAAATGATTCGTTCATAGTTTTAATTGTTTTATTCATAATTTTAAATGCTCTGTACATAGTTTTATCTGTATTTTATATAGCTTGTGCACCTAAGGTTTTCTTTACTTTTTATTTTATTTTATCAATTTTATTTATTGTTTCAACGTTCAGGCCAGTAATATTCTATTATTTTGTACATTATTGTTATTCTGAAGGGACTTAGTCCCAGAATAAAGTTTTTTTTTCTATCTATCTATCTATCTACATATATACACTTTACATATTCATTATACTTCAATACTAACCTATTATACTTTATTACGTACTAATAAGACTTCAGTATTAACCTATTGTACTTCATTCCTAACCTATGAGAAATCATTACTAACTTATCAAAACTCTTTACACTATCATTTCCTGTCACTTGAACTCATCGCTGTGCCAACAATACGATGATAGATGACCCTGATCGAGATTCGCTTTGGAATCTCATGCCGTCTACCTTAAACGTTTTAGAGCCAATCTCCCCAGACAAAAGTGTTGGGAGTAGTGAAATATTTTTTTTAATTGCTTAACAATGTTAATTAAAAGCTAGCAGTATTTTAGTTGGACTCAGACTTGAATAGTATTTCAATTAATGTATTTTAAAATAAAAAATCAATTTTTTTAAATTTTGTATTTTAAGAAGTAAAATATAAAATAGATCGTATATAACTGTATTTTCTTTTTAAATTACAAAATACAATACAAAATAATATACAAAATATTTTATTTGACATTTTAAATTCACAAAATAAATTACCAAATAGAGTGGGTTCCTTGTATTATATGCTGATCACCCACCAGAAAGTACTTTGTATTTGTATTCTTGTAATTAAAATATAAAATACTTTTAGTATTTTGAATTTGAGATACATTTTCTGAAAACAATTTAAATACATTGTAATTAAAATGCACTTAATTTTACAAAAACAAAGTAAACTGTATTTTAAACACTGTATTTTAAAATAAATTTTATCCAGCTCTGGTTAGAACTACGTGGTTGTACTACAAATTGAACTAAATTAATTGTTAGGTTCCAAATCAAACGATGTTCTAATCGTTAACTCACTAGTTCATGTAGACAAACGTATTTATCTCGTTTTTGTGGTTAGAAAGGTTAAGGAGATGGTTATGGCTTTTCGATCGAGTAACTCATTCACGGTAATATTATTCGACGAGGGGCTGAACCAGTTGCTTTTTTTTTTATAGAATGCATGATGACCACGTATTCACCAGTTACCGAAAAGGTTCGATGCTTCCAGGAACTTATACAATCTCGTACAAAATTTACCACCACGACAGGTATGTTAAGATTAGGGACAACTTCAAGAAACAGAAACTTCTACAGAGAGGGGATGCCTTCAGGGATTAGTCTAAGAATGACTGCTACCAAGACAAAAGCCATCTTCCTTACGTGCAAGAGTGGCATAAAATGCCTTATAATGATCCTTGCTTTTGAGATAACGTCCTCAGTGAGAGGCAGAAAAGCAAATGAAACCAGTGAACATACAATGAAACAAACAACGCCCGTGTTCGAAACATACAATGAAACATACAAATGAAACTGAATATACATAATAAATCATATAATTAAATTATAAGGATGTAAATAGTTGTTAAATATTAATTGAAATTGGTTTATACCTAATGAAACCTCCCATTAAACGATTGTTCTTTATTTGTTTAATGATAAAATTTTTCAATATTTGAATCCGCCATAAATATTGAATTTAAAGTATATGAAGTACATATATATAGCCCTATCACACTGCGCTGCGGTAGAAGATGGAAGAGAGACCAAGAAGAAGTATAGCTATTTCGTTGAAGAATACCTAATGTTCGCTTATTTATATCTGTTGTACTATTATAGTCTATGATTACAATAAATCTGATTCAATCTGTGAAATTTACCAAGTTTAAGCTAAAATTTACCCAGTTTTTAGCAATGGGTAAATCGAGTTCTTTCTGTCTCTATTTGCTTTTTCAGAACCTATTTGAATGAGGTAATAAAAAATAATTTACATGTCAAGAGATATTATACTCTTAAAGTGATTATGTGATTGGATTTTGACTATAAGGTATTTTATGAACTAATTTGTAATAATAAGATGCTACAAACGTACATGAGTTTTGATAAATTGAGTTGGTCAGGTGAGAAGGAGATTGCTGAGGCGACGTTTTTTAAGGACGGTGTCTTGGACAAACAAAGCCTTGTTATGTTCTTGAAGGAAATAAAGAGCTACCCAGGAATTACAATGAAGGAAGCGGCCATACTCGCTGCAGCTAAGTATGTTTGCCTGTTTTGGTTTTGAGTTGTTTTGTTTGAATAACTTTTCTAGTAAGTTTTGGATAATTGTGCTCAGTAGCTTATGTAATTTTTAAGATACTTGAGTTTTCGAGTAATGTTTATAAAAATGTTTGACTTGAAAATTATCATCCTTTATTTAAATCGGGATCTATGATCTCCGCAAACTTCCAAATGGTAATTTTCAATAACCATCGGACCTTGATAAGCTTTGATTATATCGCTGCTTTCGACTTCCGCTAGCTAAGCTCACATAAGAGGAATGAGCAAACCTCCTACCCACTGTTTGGCCGTAGGGGCCAAATCCATTCCATGGCGAGGGATATCACTGACTTTCTCGATAATATCTCTAATGTATTGGCAATTTAATTTTATTTGGTTGGACTTTACAGTGTTTATGTCAACAAAACACCTAAATACACCTATTCTGTAATAGTCTCAACCCCGTTTCAATAATTGCTAGTCATTTAAAACCTTAAAACTAATAAATAAGGTAAAGAATGGGAAAGGTAAAAAAAGAGACAAAGTAATTGGAAAATTGGATAACAAAAGAATAAATTACTTTAATTATGAATCGAGAGATTACATTTTACAAATAATCGAAACTATACAAAATCATGACATATAAACTATACAAAAATTATGATCATATGTACATATGTAAATAATACAGAAATTTTCCTAAAAAAAAAATTAATAATATTAATAAAGAAAAAAAGGGGAAAGAACTTCGAAATTAATTATTTGAGAAAAACAACAAATTAAATTTATAGTGACATACGACTGGGAACTAATAAATATAATGTGAAGTAGAAATTAATTATATGTAAGCAATGTCTATTATCTGCACTCCAAAAAAAAAAAAATGAACTGGTCATTCTGGCTAGAAAATTTATGGTGGAGCGTCCAAATTATGGCGGTGTTCTATTGTAAAAGGTTTGATTCCGTAATAAATAAAAAATAATTGGGCCTGATTTTACCGGATTTACTGTTGGAGGTGAATATCTTCTTATTCCAGCTGGCACCTAAAGAACGTAGACCCACCGACGACGAAGATATACAGCAAAGTAACCACTGGCTTAAGTAAATACAAATCATTGTAGACACTGACTATATTAAAGGGAGACGCTTACTCAACTATCTGACTTCTAGATGGCTAGAGAAAAAAGACTCTCGATCTCCATTCATAGATCCCAGCTCGTAGTGGGAGGGAGAGGGGTAACATTCATTAGTCCATTAGACAGGTGATTGTTATTTTATTTGTAACAAAGTAAGGAGCATTCAGGATTTTGGATTGTAAAGATTAGATACGAGAGGAATTTGATGCCTTGGTGGAGCCCCATAGCTGAACTCCCTAAGTCCGAATAGGCCTTATCATAGTCATGTATATGAATATTTTGTAATTAATTGGAAGGATAGAGCGTTTGTCTAGTAAGTGTTGAAGTAGTCGGAAATGTCTAGCGGTTTCTTGTCGTTTCAATCTTGTAGGGGGATTCCAAATGAGACGTTTGTCCAGGTGGAGTTCTAGATAACGGATTTATTCAAGAGCGATAAGTGAGGTATTGTTAAAGGATACTGTAGGACAGGAAGTCATTGGTTTAAGACGAAGGATAAAGGTAATTTGATAGGATTTATTGGAATTCATTTTAGTTCTCTAGTTTTGACACCATTCTTCAAGGTTTGTGATTTGTGATTGATGAGTTTGGGACACATTTGATGGGTTGTTATTAAATGATAGGATACATGTGTCATCGACATACGCGGTGATGACAGTGTTGGGATGGGTTGAGATGTCAGATGTATAGACTGTGCAAAGGATAGAACCTAGAATACTGCCTTGGGGTACACCTGAAGAGGGACGTATAGACATTGTTGTAACTTACTTTGAATTATCTATCAGTAAGGTAGGAACGGATAATGAGGAAGAATGTATAAAGCTAAAAGTGTTAGATGAAAAGGACGAGTTAAAAGGATTACAGAAGTTGATTGAATGGCATCAGTTGGAATGGAAGGAATAAAGGAATGGGATAAAGATTTATGTATAAGGATGCAATAACCGGCGTGGGAAGTGATGTCTTTGTGGTCAGATTTATAGGTGATGTAGTCACGTATGTAGAAATGTGTCCGTTGAGTGAAGTGAGTTTCTGTCAGGAGGGCAATGTCAATATAATTGTCATGGAGAAATATGTCTAGTTCGTCATGGTGGTTTTGTAGTCCATTAGCGTTCCATAAGAGGATACTTAGAAGCTTTATATTCATCGAGGGAGGTTAAACGGGATTTCAGAAAGGAGTCTTGTGAGAAGAGTTTGAGTGGTTTGATAGTCTGTTGAAGATCTATCAGGAATGATGATAGAATAGAGTTGATGTCGGATGATGTTTGGCTGGGAAGCGGAATCTGGTAATTTATGCGGGTTGCGATTATTAGGTTGCGATGGGTAATTTATGCGACTAGGATTGTTGGGTTGGGAATGGGCCTGACGTGGAGTACTAGGAGTAGAATCTAAATTCTGTTGGACTTGTGGTGGGTGGTTCACCTTGAGATCAGGAACGAATGGAGCTGGGTGTGGATGCTCTATCGGGAGTTTGACCCTTAAGGGTACATGATTTGCTGACGAGGAGATTGAGGTTGAGGTTGAGTATTAGAACTTTTTGGCTTGGATTGAGACATCTGAGACGGCTGACGTTGAGGCTGCTTCTTTCTTACTGATGAAAGACCGGTAGTAAGAATTTCTGGGATTCTGATGTGGATTGTCCTTAACTGTAGAGATGGATGGATAGTTGCTGTTGAATGGCGAGGAAAGGTGAAGTTGGCAAAGCTGGGAAAATATTTTGATATTCAATTTCGGATGCTTCATGGCAAGTTTTCTGAGTAGGCCCAAGGCTTTTCGCCGCTAAGTTACGTTATCTCTGTTTGTGGATATTTTAATATATCTCAGAACCTCTATAGCTCGCAGGGTGGGCCTCGCCACAAAGTGCATATGTCGTAGGCTCATCACTTGGCTTCTGGCAAGTGTCTGAAGTGGCAAGAAGCCGACACATTTAACTCATCTGGCATCCTGATGGCAATAGGAGTACGTTTTGACACTTAGTGCACTGTACTATTAGCGGCTTCTGTCTTGATTCCTTACATCGGACTGTTGAGTAAACTAAACCTTGAACCTGAAATATTTCAGTATTAGTTCTTGATGGTTCCAAATCTATAAAGAATAACTGTAGTGGATACCTTTCCATAGGAGGTAGTACGTTATGTGCATGACGTTATGACCGATTTCTTCCAGGATTGTTTTGATGACAGATATGGGAGTGGTTGAATGTAAACCTCTCAGGACCATTCGATACGTCTTCTCTTGTTTTAATTGGTAACAATGGAAGTCGTAGTTTTTGGAAGTTAAATGGTTAATAAATATTTTATAATTTTTTCTAGAGTTTGTGTTGATTTTAACGTCGTTGATTCTAGAGAAACAGCGGAAACTTGGCTGACCGATTAGATCAGCAAATTCATGACCGAACGACATGAACTTCTCAATTTTTGAGGCAAAAATAGGTTGTGGCTCGAGGTGAAAAAAATCATTGAGCCCCGGAATCTTGTTTAATGAGATATTATCTAGAGTAGAATTCTTGCTGGTTGAGGTATTTGGTGCAGTTGGCTCTGATTGTGTGGTATTAGATTTGCTCCTAGTTTTAGGTGGAGATTTTCCTTGTTCTGCTTGCTTATTAGATTTGTTCGCCTTTTTTTATTTTTTTCTTATTAGGTGAATTTCTTCGCGATTCGGGATCTGAGTTTTGGAGACGCTTTTGGAGGGTACGTCTTTTCAAACATTGCGAGTTGGTCTTGCTGGTTTCTGAAAACGGTGTCTCGCCTTCCAAATATTCACAGGATGTGTTCTCATCCATATTCATGATAAGTGTGAGAGAGAGAAAAAAATTATAAACCTAAATATTAAAATGAAAATTTATGAGCTAATTTCTTAAGCACTAAACTATTTACAAAATTATATACAGATATAAAATAAAATATAAAATAATTCATTTCCGCTAAAAAATAAGATAAAAGAGTCTCAAGAAAAAAATATATATAAAAAAAAATCAGTTTGGATTCGAAATGTAAACAAAACCAATCAATGTCTGCGTACACAGAGCCGAGTCTTGATCGTGAACTTATCGCAGATAAGGTAAAACCCACAAGAGAATTACAGACCACTTGGGCTAACCAAACGAGCACTAAGATATAACTGTTTCATTGTAGAGGGCGGGGTGGCCGAATGGGATAACGCGTGTGTACAGACAGTACTGCGAGTTGTCTGGCAACCATATTACCCAATTTGTGAGATTAAAAAAAGGATGAGTTCGCGTCCCGGTGCCGGAGGGGATTTTAAATTCCCCGCCCTATATGGGCCGGGGAAAACTCGTATAGACTAAAAGGCATGGTAGGGAAAAACGAAAAAAAAAACTGTTAATAAATAGCAACTCACCTGAAAATATGTGAACATAAAAATGTAAAACTGTTTGGTGTATATAGTCACTGTTGATAAAGTTTAACAAAAGAATTTTAAATAATAATCACATTACAAAATAACAAAGACAGAGCGACGTGAAAGTTGAACTGCACCATTGCTACCTGTCTTAAGAAATGTTGTACTTGGATTTTACAATTTTCATGAAATATGAAACATAAAAAAAAAAGTTTAACGAATCATTCAATGACTTTTTCTAATATTGACATTTTAGCTTAGATGAGAAAGAAATAGTTTATTGTCAATAACATGGCTTCCAAATCTGCACAATAACATAGCTTCCAGAGATGGCTATATGCGTAATCGGCACCTGAGTGCAACGGATCATTATTAGTCGATGATTCGGTCACCTACGTCTACTTTCGGCTACACTCGGCCATTCTCAGCATTTCATTTATAGAGCGATGATAAGATCTTATGTCATCACAGTATAATAATATTTGTTAAATAGTACATAGATTGCTCTAACTATTTCACATTTGGTGAAAAGTTTGAAATTTTACAGTTATATATAATAATATTCAACAACTAAAACAGAAGCTGAATGTTACCATTAGTTAGTTCTTTACTGATTAATATGACCATTCACTTAATTTTAATCGTCTGTGTCAATAGCACTTTAACTTTTTATCATAAGTAATTAGTTATACCACTTGTTTATCAATTTCTTGTTAGTAATGATGTGAAAAATAAACTTTAGGCTCGTAGAATCAGAGCCGCACTCGTTTCTTTGGTACAGGATGGGCGGGGTAAGGGAGCTCTCTTCAGGAAGGCCACTGCAGCAAAGGCTGAATAAGCATCTCAAAGAGGTAATTCAAATTAACTTGATTCAAAAGTAGTACTTTAAGTTATGGGACCTTCGTAAATTGGCCTGTTTTATTCTTTTAGGTTTTAAAAATCGCTATTGATGCTAAGGTGGGAAGGGAGTCGTCTATGGCTGACATCAGACTTTCCACCCCAGACAACGTGAGTGCAGTAGTGGAGTTCGCAACGCCTACTGTAGCCGTTACAGAAAATGCTGGCAGATTCCCAATATTTCTTAGTAGGCGTGGTAACGTTAATACCGTAGTCTCAGTAAGGTTTGCAGCAACGAAGTTTATATTCACTTATGAAAATAAATTTAAAGTAAACTATGTCTAAGTTTACGTATTATATGTTTAAGACCTTGCAAGCTGGTGTATCTTGCAGTTCAAACTCAATCTATGATTGCATTATCGAAACAATAGACACTGTACCGAGATAAAAATTCTGGTGCGCGCATCACACAGCTTTCACTTACCGCTGTAAATAACCTACTGAAAGTTAATTTTAAATAACTTGTTTTTGGTGGGAATAGGCGAATAGCCTTCCGTTTACATATCGGGGAACTTAGGTTATTTACACAATTGAATATTAAAACAAATCCCCGGCACTGGATATAGACTTTAGAGGGTGTTTAACTGTCGTTGGGAATTCGGGAATCTAATACCTTTTTTTTTTTTTTTTTCTTTTTTTTTTCTTTTTCTTATGCCAGTCGTTGGTCATTTGGCCATCCGACATCTTACTGCCCAGTATAATTTAGACTTTCTGATATGTATATTTGAAAATATTTTGTCTCTTATGTCCCTCAAGGCAGGACATGCGTCTAGATGGTCTACATCCATTGTTCCTAGATGACACAATTTACAGGTAGGATCCTCAGCGACGCCTATCGACTCCCAAGCAGCCATCCTTGCGGTCACAAGCACGAATGAATGTTTATCGAGTGCTATATTGGAATGTAAATCCCTCCTCTCTAATACCTTTTGTGACATTGAGTGAGAAGAAACAACAAGAATATATATTTTTGAAATGTGGGACTTGGTAAATACACTTTGAATGAATTGACTCACCTGGTTTGTTATTCTTCAATCGTGAGGCATATAGGACAACTAAATAAAATGACTTTCACTCTTGTATAATAAAAAAAATTATTTTATAACTATAATAAATGAATGTATAAAAGTCTTATAACTGTAGCCTTGATATTCTTGGTCTTCAATGTAGTAGGCCTCTCTTCCCAGATGACTTCCTCTCGCCTCCGTCCTTTTGCCTCAAGTGGCTGGCGTCTCCTTCCAGCTTCTCCTTCGATTGTTTATCGATATGAGATTTTCCAATGAGCAATTGGTCCACTGCACAATTGAGTACAATTCACAGTGCAACTTCACATTCCTATATATCATATATTCCTTCTCATACCCTCACACACTGTCTCATAAAGGAGTAAATACAGGGGGCTATGTACTACACCGCTCTACTTTGAATAGAAATTATTTTCTGTCCGTGTTGGGCTATTATAAAATTTTTGAATTGTAATTTTAACTGATCTAAAGCTAAAACATTACAGCTAGCAAATCATGAATACAAAAAAAAAACAATTATTGTATGACAAAAAGTTACAAGAAGTTTTTGAAGCGCATTTCTAATGCAACTAAACTTTAAACAGCATATTTTTAAATTTCGGTCATATTCATCAATACAAAGATTCATTTAGACCATCAAAATAACATAGACCCTATTTATTAAATCGATTTTAGGCAATAAAAACCTTATAACAGCATAATTTAAATCATGTAACTCCTGTCTCTGAACTCTATAGATTATGATAGATTTGAAAGATCGTATATTTAATTATGAATAAGTTTGAATCGAACTAAATAATAACAATTATAGTTTTTAAATTATTGTATTAAATTTATATCACTTTTAACATGTATTGGAACTTCTTATTTTTTACCCAGAGAAAGTTGACCAAAATACAGTTACTTGCTTTTAAATACAATATAGATAGGTCAGAAGTCGTCAAATTAATTGGAAGTGATGTGATTTCACAAATGGACAATTTTTTTTTAATAAATTGACGATGTATAATTAATTATTTAAATATAATATGAGATCTAGAATTATTAAACTACTATTAAATGTATTTAAGGTTATGTTTTAACATATGTTTTAAACATCCATGAAATATCTTTATATTTCACTTCTTCTTTCACACAATTACAATGATATAGTTTATTAAACAATGTTTGGTGCCTTTGACCAAAGCCTTGATTTGGTGGATTTTACATATATTTTTTTTAAACTCAAAAATAATTTGAAATATTACATTTAGTTAAAAAATTACATGTAATTTCCATGGAAACATGTGATTTCGGTTAAACAATATTAGTTTTCACAAATTATTATTTATAATGTTTCGTCAATCTCCATTACCTTTTATGACTTTCTATATTAGATATTGTTTTTTTCTAAAATTCTTCGCTTTCCAACGATATATTATACGTATAGCTTCTGACTATTTCCGGAGATTCATTTTCGACCTAAATAAACATTTTTTTTCCATTATTCAATTATCAAACTCTTTCATACTTTATATTTAGACATTTTTATTGCGACTTTGAATTTAAGGTATTTTAGAGGAAGACATATTGAACATTTGGCATTTAAGCCCCATAAGGCGACATCAAAATTGTTAGTAGTTTTTTGAGAAAATCGTAAAAATAATATAAAGTACCACTTCCAGTTTGCCAATTTTGACAAAATAGTTGCTGTAACATCCCAGGATTATGCAAACCTTAAATACACAATTTCAGTTTCGCACAACTTTTCGTTATTTAGGTAGGCTGTTCATATACATACAAACAGGCAGACCATTTTGTAGGACTTGGTTATTTGGACTCAGAGGACCTCAAACTCGTGCATTTTTGCTGAAAAGTCAGATTCGAAACTTTTCATGACATATATGTGAATGAATGTAAAAATAGACTAGGATTATGTCTAGCACAGAAATAAAAATGATAGCAATCACTTTGGAAACAGTTTAAAATATCACGATTTCTATATAATAGATCTTCCATGTTCACTGACGTTTTGAGAAAGAAAGAGTGCACACATTTCTTACGCTGGTCATGTATATTTCGAACAAGTAGGTCATAGCAAGGGGTTTTGTTCTATTTCTAATTTCTGAATAATCTTATCTTAAAGTGTTCAAAATTTACTCGTAGATTTTAAGAATGTTTAATGCAACAAAAAGTCAATAAAATAACTTTATCTCATTATTACAAAAAAAATTATGTTGAACAGAAATAGATTTTTTTAAAAATATTATTCCTGAAACATTCAACATAATTATGTTTTGAAAATATAATCAACTTTTTTTGAGGGTAGTTATTTAAAAGAAATGGCGATGGTCACGTCAGGTTTGTTGGACCATCCTGGGATCTTTGGTGACGAACATCAACAACCAACTCAATTAAAACAGTTAACTAAACGGCAACAAAATAATTTTATGATGTCGATTTTGTAAGACCACCGTTTAGTTTATTGCAAAACGTCTCTAAGCAGATTTCTGATGGAGCTAAACTTATACTAAAACTAGTAGACCCATGCGAAAAATTCGCACAGCATATTGTTATCAAATGCCAAATTAATCATAAATTATCAATTGTTACTTTATCGATAAATATAATTGACAAAATAAACAAAAATCAATTTAAATCTTCATTAATGTTTGGAACCAACATGTTTACAAATTTCAATAAGCTGTACCTTTTCTAAAAATTGTCCGATTCCGATAATTTTTTTTCCATTTATAGGGAATTTAGTATTTTTTTTATATAATCATTGGCATAACCAAGAAAAAAGTGTGTAATTTTTTAATTATTCGCAAATAAAGTTTGTTTTCTTTCATAACTTGTTTGCCTGAATTTTCGGGGTGATTGGACTATTTTGCCCGCCTGAAGGAGAAGGAAGCCTTCGAAATTGGTGACTCAATCTTGAGATTTGGTGAAGAATTAACGATGATATGGCTTGCCGATCAAAACCACCGTCGATAAATAATATAAACTCCTCCTCTCTCGATCATTGAGAGCTCAAGTCGACGAAATGAGACATGTATTCAATGACAGTACTACAATCAACGTAAAGTTGTGTGGATTCGAATCCTATGCCTTGCGTTATCTCGAAAATAGCACGTTTTTGGCCTTAAAAACGCAGGATCCGATAGTTCCAGAGGAATCAAAATCTTCAAGGTCTAATTTGTCCCGTAACGGTCAACAGATCTACCGCCGTTCCAGTATTGAAGCCTAGCAAAATGTTTGTATCGACTTTATTTATTTTAGGAAGAAAAACGAAAGTGGAGAATACGATTCGCTAACCCCCCGTGAAATTCTGAATCCAACGGTATCCCATTCATGGTATTTGAGCATGGCAGGAGCTTATATGTGGTACAAAACCGATTTCGAGCCTTACTGTAATAATATATGTGGGGATTATGTTTCTATGAATTTCGACCTTATTTATTGATGCACAGTAAGTAGTAACAAAATGACACAAATCCTATTATATATCCGAAATAGTCAGATGTTTCAATAGTTTTTTTTTTTTTTTGGAAGAGAGAAACTTAAAAAATAGAGTGATTTGATTTTATTGAATATCTTTTGCAATTAACCATGATATGCTTAATCAGCTATATTTTATTATATATTAGGTATATTTTGAACTGCTTCCAAGAAACAAGGCGTTTTAGTAAATTAGTTTGAACAACTTGAAATATGATGAATCAATAACAGAACCAGGATGCTATAACAAAACAGAATATATTGATTGGTACTTATTGACTGACCAATGTACTAGGCGAATTATCCTTATGATAACTAATATTTATTACTAGTTATGAATATATAGTGAGTGTGTAGATTATAACCAATATATTGAGATACATCAGTTTCATCATTCAGAGTTCAATCCATGGACGGGAGAGCAAAGCACGGAGAAGATTACGATCAGGTGAATGAAATAATCCAGTTTAGTAAGAAGCAAATACTTGCTGAGGTTCGAATGATTTCATGTAATTCTTTCATTATGGTTCACCATTTTCTGTTGTTAATCATACCATTTTCCCCAGGTCAATATAAAAATCATAAACGAAAGGAAGTACGAACCGACTGAGGAGTTTTTCCTACGCCTAACTGCAATTTACTCAGCAAGTTCTACAGTGAAGATAGGACCTTTGTCCATCATGGAGATCAAGATTATTCACGATGAAAGTGGGTATTAGTATTTCATCCGAGTCTAAAAATAATCGATTATCAACAAAATATACTTTCTCTAATCTATTGTAAAAAACCTAATCCATATCTCACATGCACTATCTATTCGAAGGAAGTTTTGAATATTGATTTTCGCATGATTATCATGATCCTGAAAACATTTTTTCTCCCATAAATAGGCCTGCAGAGTAAAGTCAAATACGACTATAATCCAGATAACTTCACAAAGAATCTGGTAAGGTGCAAGTATGCCTATCTCCCCAAGGTTGATGGTGCAAGAACCAACCTGTCACCCTCCTCCCAAGATACTTTATTCCTCACCTTTTCTTAAAAACAGAAGAAGCTAATATAAGAATAAGAATTAGAAAAATCGTAGATCATATACAATTATATGCTGCGGTCTGTTTTATGTTTCTCCTATTGTCCAAAAATTCATAACCTCGTCAAATTTGCCCCTCCCTCCCCCATAAATTCTAAAACCCGTCAAAATATGCCCCTTTCAAAGATTCGACCACACAGATTTTACTTAACACTCCATGTTGAGTAGAAACAGGTGCTTTAAAATGTAGGAAAGTAAAATTTATAGTCATAATTATTTACCATAAAAAACATTATGGATTGGTACAAAATATTAATGGAAATATAGATTAACGGAATCAGGTTATAATAATTGCTCACTACTAGATCCATTTCAAAAAGTATTAAACTTAATAAGGTGTTAAAATTTTATATTAAATTAATACTTTATTAGTGCTATGTTAAATTAATATGATCTATTTGAAAAATTCTGAACTTTATCCACAACATCTAACTCGAAACAAGTTTAAAAAAGAATTAATTTTAGTTTTCATTTCTTCAGAAAAGTAATTTTTAATAGTAAAATAAGAGCAGATCCACAACAATTCATGAATTTATTATTATTTTTTTTAAATTATGTGTAAGCGATACTAATACGGACAGTTAACTAACAATAAATACAATTAAAAAAAAAACATATACATGAGTAGTTTAAATGGAGGAGTGTCGGGCGCCCTTGGCTGTTTCCGCTTTAACAGTTTCTGTCCTGGACTAACCCTTATTTCTTCATTAATACTTATCTAATTCGTATATATATTATTTTTGACAATCTTCAACACTATTTACAATGTTAAATGATCGATTATTTTAAATAAACTAAATCAAAGCTACTTTAAAATATCTGGTGTGTCCACTCACACGACTTTCCTGCCTATTTCAAAAAAGTTTTTATATCTTTACATATGTTCATGAAGAAACAAAAAATAATTGAACTAGATACATTTTCCTGAAAATTGATCAAACATAAGATTTGAGTACGATTTATTTGATAAACTAAAGCAATGCAAACCGGCTTAAGGTAGATCAGTGTAAAAATTTCATACTTCCTAATATTGCAGATCAAAACCTTTTTGCCATAGCTTAGCATTGTCAAACATTGATTTCTGTTAAAAGTAGAGGAAATAGTGAAGATTATGTGATGCAGGTAGACGATTTTCTTACTTTCACTTAGTCATCTTTATTCTCTCAGTCACCCCTTTTCGACACCACGATATGAAACCGTAATCTTACATTGGAAATTGAATAGCTGTAACTTCGTTAATAATTGTCCAAAATGAACGATTTTTATATGTCTTTGTAGGGAATTTCATTACCTCATTACATACCGACTGAGGAGCTCTGAAACGTATTGATCCGTTTTATTCTAAATTTTACCGCATAATATATACTTAGGGACTTAAGTGGACGGGGTGGCCGAATGGGCTAACGCGTGTGCATTGCACCGCCGTTGCCCGGCACCTGATACATAACACTTTGATAAAAATATAGTCACGAGTTCGCGTCCCGGTGCCCGGAGGAGTTTTTAAATCCCCGCCCACATTCCCTGGATCGGGAAAACCCCCGTATAGCCTTAAAGGCGAGGGAGAGAAGGACAAAAGAAAAAAAAAAAAAGTTAGGGACTTAGGCCTCATTAAATTTTTCTTTTCTTTATAAATTTTTTCCTGAATTTTTTCGGGAATTTAGTCTCTATACGAAAATTGAAAGGACAGGGGTTAGAACATTATAGGATAGTTTCATGAAAATCGTTAGAGCCGTTTTTGCGCTACAGTCTATAGAAAAACATGTTTTTCATTTATTGCGCGCAAGCTATTGTTCCATGCGCAATAAATGCCCCGAATTTCTGTCGCAGGCATCAGTAGTCACAACCCTACAAAATAAAAAAAAAAGCAACAGAATCGGTTCAGTAGTTTCCGAGAAAATCTTTGCACAGACAGACAGACAAACCAATGGCTAAAAATGTGTTTTTCGGACTCAGGGAGCTATGAAACGTATAGATCCGTCGAAAACCGCATGTTGGAAATTTGACCCGATTTCCTTAACTAGTATACTTTCCTTAACTAGTATACTTAGGAAAGTAAAAAGAAATTTTGAAAATTCAGTATTTTATCTCTGTTAGCGAACATCAATGAGGGTAAGAACTATCTTATATTCTAAAAAACATTATTATACATTGGCATAACGAGTTTAATCAATATTGTTGGAGCCATTTTTAGAAAAGCGTAAAAAGTTGTAGGATATAAAGTAGCACTTCCAGATAGACGAAGTTGCCAGTTGAAGAAATGTCAACCAATTTCGTACCACTTTTCGTTTTAGAAGAATTCTGTTCACATACATATACTATTTTGAGGAAATTTGAGTACTTGTGAGTTACCCGGTGGTTACGGACTGTTATCCGCGATTGTTTATAACTTGAACACTGATAATTCCTATATTTTTATTTATATTTACGGAAATTGAAATTGACAAAAAGAAATGTAATAATAACAAAACACTTTTATTTTACAACATTTTATTTATTTTGTGAGACAAAATAGCTTAAAGCTATTTAAAATAGGGAGAACGGATCCTCTTCTCTTTGGACCCGCCGCCACAAAAATTCAAAATAATATGAATCCGGATGATGCCTCGCAGTTCCTCGATGTTTTTTTATTCCTCCACTTAGCTGAGCTCCATAATCACATTTTCTTAAAAACAGAAGAAGCTAATGTAAAGTAAAATTAGAAAAATCGTAGATCATATAGAATTACTTTGTTGCGGTTTGTTTTATGTTTCTCCCTTTGTCCGAAAATTCATAACCTCGTCAAATTTGCCCTCCTCATAAATTTAAAAACCCGTCAAAATATGCCCCTCTCAAAGTTTCGACCACACAAATTTTACTACTACTGTTGAGTATTGAGTGTTGAGTATGGACCCCAATCGAAGGATTGGGTATGGACCCCAATTATTTTTAATACATTCTGATACAGTTGTTGCTTTTTAATCTTTTTATTTTAACAATGAAACACTCGTCTGTTTCTCGTCAAACTCCGCCAAACATCCATTGTTCAGAGAGCAATCTCTGTACACGATTTTTATCTTTTAGAAAAATGATTTTCGTCTATTTCATTTCAACTATTCATTATTCATGTTGAAGTTATTCATTCTAATAAGTCGCAGATTTCAACCACCTTTCTATAAGACCTCCAATTATTCTACTTGAACGTAGAAGTAACTAAGCACAGACGAGTGATAAGAAGAGATAAGAACTTTGTTATTTGGACTCAAGGGACCCTTAAACATCAAGGCCTTAGAAAATTTTTCTCGATCGCTAACACTTTATCTTACTATATATTTCATACATAGCTAAGTGAAAGTAAGACAAATTGAAGCTTGACTATCCCCAAACCGTTCTTCCTATTACAAAACTATAAAATGGTACTCCAAAATCCAATATTTTGCTTACAACCTGGAGAAAAAACCTTGCCGACCCTCTTAATAACACCGATAAGATCTCCGTTTCTTGTAATTTACTTTTAGTTTATTAGAAACAACACAAACTAGTCTTTAGAAAGTTTGGAAAGTTGGTGACTTAATCAACAAAATAACTTAACTAAACACAAGCCCCATGTAAAGAAATTACTGTTTATTTTAATTTCATTTCATGACTAAGACAATTATTTTCTAAAACTATAATGTAACTATTAAGAATTGTACAACTTTACTCAAATTTTGTTAAGCTCATCTAAGCCAACTATTGACACTGTGTAAGTTCATTTACCATAATAATGAGAAATAAATTTAAAACTGAAAACATGCCTTTCAGGCCCAGGAGTAATCCAGTTTGAGAAAAGAGGATACGTGGTGGATGAATCTGTGGGATTGGTCACTTTATTCTTGGAGAGGTTCCTCGGTGCCGATGGTGAGGTGGGGGTAAGGTGGCGGACCTTCGATGACACTGCCATAAGCGGCATAGATTACGAAGGAGGTGAAGGACTGGTCAAGTTCCTGCACGGTGAGGTATCAATCATTTTTTCAAGCCGTACAGTAAAATTACAGAACCTCCTCATAACAAAACGGTTGTAAACCTGGCTTAGCAATACTTCCTGATGATTGATTTAGAGAGATCCACTGCCTTTTGCGTTTTGAGTTATCATAAAAGACCCATTTTTTTCATCTCCGAAAAAGCGCTTCTGTATTGTGCTGTTGAAGCAATAAGTTTCCCAATCCGCTGCAAATGTTCTTGGATGGTCGACCAAGTTGATTAAGACTTTTTGATCACACTTAATTGATCGAATCTCTGACACGGATTGGCTTCCACTCCCGCCCTTAACACGCCATTGTCTAACTTGTTGGTCTTCATGATCGATACGAGTCGGTACGATCAAAATTACCGTATTTGAACTTGCAAAACCACCTTTGGCATTTACGAACACCTAATGCATTTGGATAAACATCGCGAATGTTTTGGGTAGCAACTAATATATTACTAACATTATGAAACCCAAAAACCAGGCATGTGCCTCTTCTGGTATTTGGCTAGCCATTCCACCAAAAATTGCAAAACAAAAAATTACTTATTCCCAGCAAAACAAGTTACTATAACTTTAGAATGTTTTTCCACGCTCTAGATGTACTCAATCAGCTGAAAATGGTAATAATAGTAACATGCACAGAAAAGACATTACTTTTCGGTCCTCCTAACATTATAAGCGCAAAGTTCAACGATCTTACGTTCTTCATAAGAAGCCTAAAATTTCTTTCGGATCTTTTAATCAACTGTAGATGTGTATGGTCAAGATCGATTTCGGTCGACATGAAGAAGGATTTCCAATAAATAAATTTAAAAAGCTTAGGATGACTTGATAACTAAAACTCATAATTTATAGTTGTTTTTTTTTTCGATTGAAGTATCAAAGTAAATGAAAAAAAAATCAAGATGATGGCTCTTTGAAAAGTCAAGCTATTCAGCATTTGACTGGAAGTATAAGATGGGAAAAGACTTTTCCTGCATTAAACTTAACTTCCCGTCGACCAAATCTTCGTCAGTCCTTCTTTAATTTGTATAATCTGAACGTGCCCACTGTAACTCCTTCCCAAAAATTAGGCTCTTTCCAAACACATATTTCAAATATTTTATGATATCATTAAAATTAGCCATTTGGCATGCCTAGGTAAAGAGGTTCTTTATGATCCGGATAATCGATACGATGACGGAAGAGAAAGACGTTCGATTCAATGTGGACCTATATGATCCTCTGGATGGAGCAGTTCTGGGGGACAACAAGAGGACGACGGTTATAATAACCGATGATGACAGTATTGTTTGTTTTCTGTTTTCTTTAGTATATTTATTCATTTATCTCACATTAAATATATGGTGATCATTTTTTAGCGTAATATTAAAATATATATATATTTTAATATTTCGCGCAAAATGAATATATATATATATATATATATACGCTTCATTGATTAACATTTAGTTTTATTACGAACGGAACATAGACGAATTGTTTACTTGATTGCCTCACGATAAAGTAATTATTATCTGAGAATCAAATCGTATAAGTAGTATTCAAACAAGAGCCGCCTCAATTATCAGTATCGATTTAAACATTAGTTCAAGCGTGCTACCTCTGGTTTGATTTTAAATCTCTGTGGTTGGCTGGCAGCTTCCCAGTATCACTGTGTCTGCTTGATATTTAAGTACAAATATAGTTCATAAGAACTGCAATTAACATTTCTCCAGAATTAAGATTGATTTTTTATCTTTCAAACAACAGGAGTTTTATGTATCAAGTACCCAAAAAACAAAGATCCGTAATAAAATGTGACGTGAAAAGGCCGTTTGTGTTGGAAAGGAGCCTTGACTGTTTAGGTGTACTTTTAAACACTCATAATACTATTCTCGGTACTTGGTTATTCTGTTTAGTATGGAATACATTCAGCAGAAGAATGAAGATCATTAATGATTACAACAAGAAGACTGCACCTCATGGGACTTGTCGCATAGTCTTAGGAGAAATGGAAGCTAAAATTGGGCAAGATGTTTATTGATACTCAATAATCTTTGCACCAACTACAATTATCCACTACAAGATTATCACCAGTAAAAATGGCAGTATTATACCTCGGATTTCTGAATTTCGATTGCAAAGAATATAGCACTTTTTTTTCCTTGTTTCAAATTATATGTGTACATATCGAGCTACACATCGACTTAAAGTAGTTATAAATATGTGTTTAAATATCCAAGCTCGAAATCCTCACATTTCTGGAGATCCTGGTTACTCGAAATCTTGAACTGGATACCTGAACATAATATAAAATCAAAATTTTATCATGTTTCATGCGATTTTCTTTTCTTGCGGAGGCTAAATAGATTAACAGAGGCGTTTATTGATTAAGATGAAAATCGTTTACCAAGAAATAGTGGTTGTCTAACTTCATAAGGTTGTCCTTTTCAAGCATTGCTGTAGCACTCATTAGAGCATCACGTGTGTTCTTTATAAGTTCACTCAGGTTGGTTAGATAATACTGTAAGGAATCACCATTAATATATTAACGGCTTACAAAACGAGATTAGCAAAGATCTCAAAAATTGTCATTTCACAGTGACCGGTGACAATCTACAGCACAAAAGTCAGTTTGAAATTATAATTTTTGGAATCATTGATTGATCACCTACTCACATTGATTGAAAGTTATGTAAATATTTACACTCTTCTAAAATGTATGCCTCTATTTTACTACCATCAAACTAAGCCAGAGCGGTAATCTATTTCAGATATCTGGGACTACTTAGACAACGTGATGACCCTCACTAAGATGAAAATGGAGCAATTTTCACTACACAAACGAAACTGGTGCAAACAGATCAAGGAGGCTATGATGGTCAACGGAGGTGTAGAACCGGCTACCAACATGGACTTTTTTCTGCACTTCCTGTGCTTCTTCTGGAAGGTATTTCGATCTTATAGGAGTAGTCCAATAACTCAGTACAGACCCGCCTTTAAAAATAACATTTTTTCTAAAATCTTCAGGTAACGTTCTCATTAATACCCCCTCCAGGTATTATGGGTGGATGGCTACAGTTTTTCACCTCAATGTTCATGATAGGCGTCATGGCGACCCTTATTGGAGACATGGCTGCCATTTTTGGTTGTGTCGCGGGCATAGAGGACACTTTAACAGGTATTATATTTTAATTATGACATGCTATATTTTATATGCAGCTGCATAAGTTCAAGTGCATATCAAGCAAATGTGCTCTCATTCGTTATGTCTTCTTATTCCACGATAATTATTTATATTGTTAGCAGATATGTAGGGAAAAGTTTATTTGGAATATTATTATTCATGTCGTTATGTATGGTATGGATCGTCTGGCTAGTTCTTGTTTTGTTTTTTTAATTTGGTATATATGTCCCAGTATAGTCCAAGATGACGTACCTGAATTTTTTAGGGAACTGGCTTGTCTATTGTTACAACAGGACACGAAATCTTACGAAGGGAGGAGCTAACATGACTTGACTAACTGCTGCTTCTTATAATTTTTCATTCATTGGATTAGAATTGATGCGATAGTAGGATCTTTGTGGGAAGAAAATATTGCAGTGACGCCAGTGAAACTATAAATGACGGTGCTGGAGTGCTCAAGGATATCAGATCTGTAGAGACAGAACAAAAGACTTAAGACACAAAGAACAGAGGACTTACAACACTACCTTGTAGTACGCCCGGAAGTTGAGGGGAAAAAAATGAGAAATAGAGGAATCAACAGAAATAAAAAAGAACCTGTCAAGGAAGAACAATTAAAGGATCAGAAAGTAAGTAGAAGAAATTTGCGGTTTATTTTCTCTATAATCCATTGTGCCTGACGCATATCGATACATAGGAAAATCGCTGAGCTATATTTTATTCTTGAAGACAACTGAGATAGCGACCACTATAAGATGGCACTGTTGTACCGTGATATGGTACGGACGAAAGCCAAATTGGTACTTCAATATTTTTTTTTTTTTTTTTTTTTATTATTTCAATGGAATTTACAACTGTATTACATAGAGAATACAATAAGTAAACGAGAAATTTGTAACATGGCATGTACAACATCAAGAGAAACTACCCATTGGTAGAACTCAAATTAAAGTTCTATATTAGAAGATCCCGAGGCCATCTTCTTTTCAGACGCCTCGGAGGGTTATCAGGGATCGAGGAGGAAGCAAGGTTTGAAACGAGAGGATTCGGATGATTCTGCAGTTTGTTATGGAAGGAAAGGTATCTGGATTGGGCCAGATCGGAAACATATGGAACATTAAGGTCTTTATGGATGATTTTATTTGTGACAAAGTAAGGAGCGTTGAGGATTTTACGAAGGATTTTGGATTGTAAGGATTGGATACGAGAGGAATTCGATGGTTTAGTGGAGCCCCAAAGCTCAATTCCGTAAGTCCAAATAGGTCTTATTATTGTCATATATACGAGTCGTTTATAATTGATTGAAAGCTTAGATCGTTTGTCTAGTAAGTGCTGCAGTAGTCGAAAACGTCGGGCGGTTTCTAGTCGTTTCAGTCTGGTATGGGGGTTCCAAGTGAGTCGTTTGTCAAGGTGGAGTCCTAAGTAGCGGATTTGCTCAACAGGAATAAGTGGAGTATTATTGAAGGATACTGTAGGACAAGAGGTCATAGGTTTACGACGGAGGGTAAAAGTGATTTGATGGGATTTGTTGGAATTTATTTTTATTCTCCAATTTTTACACCATTCTTCAAGGCTTGTGATATGTGATTGAAGAGTTTGGGATGCAATTAAAGGATCGTTATTAACTGATAGGATACACGTGTCATCGGCATAGGTGGTGATGACAGTGTTGGATTGGGTTGGGATGTCAGCTGTATAAACTGTGTAAAGGATAGGACCTAGGATACTACCTTGAGGAACACCGGCAGACTGAGTAAAAAGAGATGTATCCCATCCTAGACTCTAAACACATTATCCCAGATCACCAATTTGGATTCCGCACATCCCACTCCACTATTCAGCAATACCATCTTGTGGTAGATGTAGTCTCCTCTGCATTGGAGCGCGGAATGTACTGCACGGGAGTCTTTCTCGACGTTGAACAGGCGTTTGATAGAGTCTGGCATCCGGGACTGATGTACAAACTCCGTGAATTCCTACCACCTACATACTTCCTCATTATACGTTCCTACCTTACTGACAGATACTTCAAAGTCAATCATAACAATGCTTATTGACTTTGAAGTATCTGTCAGTAAGGTAGGAACGTATAATGAGGAAGTATGTAGGTGGTAGGAATTCACGGAGTTTGTACATCAGTCCCGGATGCCAGACTCTATCAAACGCCTGTTCAACGTCGAGAAAGACTCCCGTGCAGTACATTCCGCGCTCCAATGCAGAGGAGACTACATCTACCACACGATGGCATTGCTGAATAGTGGAGTGGGATGTGCGGAATCCAAATTGGTGATCTGGGATAATGTGTTTAGAGTCTAGGATGGGATACAGGCGTTTTAAAATGAGTTTTTCCAGGATTTTGCCCATAATGGGTAAAAGGGAGATAGGACGGTAAGAGGATGGGTGTTCTGGCGGCTTTGTGGGTTTAGGTATCATTTTGACAATGGATAGTTTCCAAGAGTCAGGAAAATATGTGGTGCGGAGTACAGCATTAAATATATAGGTTAGGAACAATATGGCTTTTTTAGGAAGACATTTTAGGATCTGGGAGGTGATTAGGTCATGGCCAGGAGCTTTGCGAGAAGGTAATCTATTAATGATATTGGATATTTCTGAAGGATGAAATGCTTTAGGTGGAGGAGTCAATTGGAGTGGGGTATCCAATTCTGCTTCAATAAACTCAAGGTGGGTTGGATTAAGGATGTCTGGGTGTGGATTAAATGTTTTTGAGAGGTGTTGAGCAAATATTTGAGATTTTTCATCATCAGATCTGGACCAGGTTTGGGTTTCAGTAATAAGTGGGTGGTTAAAATCTTTGAATTTAAGGAGTTTTTTAGTGGTCAACCATAGTGATTTGTCACAAGTAGTAAGTTTTTCTGTCATGTTATGTAAATTTTGAACTTTGTATTTTCTAATTTCAGCTTTTAGTTGGTTAGTTAATTTGTTGTAATATGTCTTATCTGATGGATATCTAGTCCTGTGCCACTTCGATCTTGCTCTGCGTTTTTCCCTTAATAAGATACGAATATGCTGCGGCAAATTTGTCTGTTGGGAGTTGTCAGTTTTATTGGTAGATGTATTATTCTTTATTTTGTCACTTATAGATGTAGTAAGTTCTTTTATGGCTGTGTCAATATCACGTTTCGTCTTAAGTGGAATATTTAGGTCCAATTTATTTTCCAGGTCTTTACGAAAATTGTCCCAGTTTACTCGTCCTGTAATCAGTGTAGGAGAGGACGAGGGCTTAGGAGCGAAGGTTGTGTGTAATGAAAGCAGAACTGAAGAATGATCTGAGGAGAGGTCATCCAGGGATTTTATTGTGACATGGGAAGAGGAAATTTGGGAGGTGACAAATATGTCGAGGATATCAGGGCGTTTTTTGAGGGATGTTGGCCAATAGGTAGGATTCATAGGAGAGAGGACAGAGTAACTATTCGAAGTTGAGACAGAAGATAGTATGTTACCACGGTACTTCAATATAACTAACTGATTTTCTAGGATCCACTTTATCCCAAGAAGAAATAGTTTCTTGAATATTTTTTCCATCATAGGTCGAGTGCAATAGGAAGAGATAAGGAGATAAGATGAGGGAAGTAATTTTTCATCTTATCAGTCGGTGGGTTTAGAAAGTTTTTGAATAATTTTTATTACAGAAAGTTTATAAAGGAGAGAGAAATGAGATGTGCGTAAGATAGCATTAGAGATGTGAGTGAGGAAGAGAATGGCTTTTCGAGGGAGATGGTGAGGGATGAAGGGAGTAATTATATCATAGCCAGAAGCTTTTTTGTTTAAAATTTTCTTGTGAATTTCTGTTGAATGAAATGCTGGGAAAGGTATTGTCAAGGGTAGTGGTATTGTCAAGACGCCTATGATACCGATAGTGAGTGTATTGTCCTTAATATTATTTGTTCCAAATACCAAAGTATACTGTTTTGTGAATTCGTCAGATTTTTCTTTTGCCTGTTATGTTCCATATATTGTCTGTACGTTGGAGAGGATATTGAACATATTTTTTCTTCAGTATACGTCTTGCAATTGTCCACATTGACCCATTCCTATTGTTTATAGAATTTAGGTATTTTTTTTTTTTAATATTGACAGTTCTTGTTGAAGGTTTCGGATTGGTCTGTATGATGGGTATCTGGTTCATTGGCATAAAGTTCTACTTCTACATTATATAATAATACTGTGTTATATTACACATTCTTTGAAGTCGTTGATAGTATTGTCAAATTCTGTGTCAATAGGTTCTTATTGTGCCGGCTATAGTCCTTGTTCCTAGCGACGCCAGTTCGAATCCTGCGTAGAAAGAATTGACTTTTATTTCGTGGCGGACCCAAGGAATGAAACTCGGCTCTCCCACCCTGGTTAGAATAGATTTGGTTGCACCTCTAGGACAACACCCCTCCTTCCTCCCCCCATAGGCCAGAAATGGTGGGTAGGAGATTATCCTATAAAAAAAAAATTATTGTCTAATTCGTAAGCTGGAGTAATGGAAGTATTTACTAAAAGGTTGCTGTTCAAGTAATTTTTAAAGTCATCCCTGTTTATGTAGCTATTAATTAGTGTCGTTGATAACTCCCTCTGGAATGTAACTAAAAAAATCCTTAAATTCCAATCCATTTCCCACTCCCTCCGCCGTAATGATGGTTCCTGGGCTTCGTCAGATGAGAATAGAGCAGAAGAGTTTGCTAAACATCTATCGTACACATTCACTCCTCATCCTGAACTCCATCCCTCCCATACTGCTGAAGTTAAAGAATTCCTCTCTTCACCGATTCCTCTCTCCTTACTTCCTACAGCCATCAATCCCTCTGAGGTTAAATTCCTTTTAAAGAACCTAAAACCTCGCAAATCTCCAGGACACGATCTCCTTACTTCCCAGATATTCAGACAACTTCCCAAAAAAGCAATTATATTCCTTACATACCTATTCAACTGTTACATACCAATGACCCCGCACAACCCACTTTCCTCTGGGAAAACACTCCATAATTATCCTCTTTCCTAAACTAGGTAAACCTGTTAATCATACATCATCCTAAAGACCGATAAGCTAACTTCCGATCCTTTCCAAAATCTTTGAGAAAATCCTTCTCAAACGCATCCTACCCATACTCGAATCCCACAATATCCCATCCCATCAGTTTAGATTCCGCTCAAGACACTCCACTGTCCAACAAGGCCTTCGCGTTGTGGACCACATATCCTCTGCGCTTGAAAACAACCAATATTGCACTGGTGCCTTTCCGGACGTAGCTCAAGCTTTCGACCGGGTGTGGCACGATGGCTTGCTTTTCAAGCTCAAAACCCATTTATCTCAACCCTTGTACCTAGTCCTCAAATCTTACCTTTCAATTCGCTCCTCTCAAGTCCGCTGCGGCACTGAACTCTCCAAACATTATCCAATTGAGGCTGGTGTTCCACAAGGTAGTGTCTTGGGCCCAGTTCTCTACATCCTTTTCACCGCTGACATCCCTTCAAGTCCTGATACCTTCCTAGCAACATTTGCTGATGATACTGCCATCCTATCCTCCCACTCGGATCCTCTAATAGCGTCCCGGAACCTGCGAAGACACCTCTCCTTCATTGAGCAGTGGTGCAACAACTGGCGCATCAAAATTAATGAATCAAAATGCAAACATATAACTTTCACTCTTCGACGCAGATCCTGTCCGCCAATCCTTTTTAATTCAATTCCTCTTCCCTACTCAGACACAGTCCGATACCTTGCCTTCCTTCTGGACAAAAGACTGACGTGGAACCCACATACGAGACTTAAAAGACAAGAGCTTAACCGACGATTTGGTCAGCTATATAGACTACTAAACAGAGCATCTCATCTCTCAACAGAAAACAAATTATTAATCTACAAGACCATACTGAAACCTGTCTGGACCTACGGACTTGAACTGTGGGGGACAACTAAATCATCGAATATCAAACGCATCCAATCCTTCCAGTCCAAAGTCCTTGGAACAATAATCAAAGCTCCATATTATGTCACGAACAAGACCCTACATCATGACCGTAACATCCCATATGTCCATGACATCATCCCATCCAGATTCTCCAACTTTCACCAGAACCTCATTCATCATCCCAATCCTCTAGCGCAATCCCTATCCAGCTCCAAGCATCCATTCCATCCCCCTCGAAGGTTGAAACGGCAGAGGCCTCGAGATCTTTTGTAAATATGCCTTTGGAGTCCTGGCATTGGCCAGCTTCTCCACTCATGTCCTGAGCATCTGTGGCTCTAGTGGCCTCTTTTAGTCTCCACTGGCTTCTAATACTAGTGATGCGGCTGGAAAAGTGGCGCTGGGATCTTCCGGAGTCTTGTTTTGTCTTCCACGTATGGGGGAAAAAGCCTGGCTCGAAGATTCTTGGGCGAATGTATATATTGTATATAGTTATGATTGTTTTTAGAAGTTTTTATTTTACTTTATTTGTTTATTTTTTTTCTTTTTATTCACGTTCTTCATCAGTATTATTTATTTACTTCTTATATTTGTATTTATTTCTTTATTATTTGTATATATTGTATGAATGAGAACTTTTAGCCCTAATGCTTATAGTCCTCCACCAGTGGCTAATTGTATTATTATTCAATAAATAGATTATAACTGTAAAAAAAAAAATTAATTAGTATCGAGTGCTTAGTTTTAAAGAAAGGGTGTTTCGATAGTTAGAAAAATTGGGCTATGGTTAGATGATAGGTCGAAAATAAAGGAAACGTTGGAGAGTGGAAGTGGTAAGGAGTTTGTAACAAATAAATCAAGAATATCAGGGGCTTTTAAAAGATATATAGACCAATAAGTAGGTTGAGATGGAGAAATTTGGAGTAGGTTTTACGTGCTTGTAAGTCGAGAGTACCATTTTAAGTTCTTAGCATTGAAGTCTCTACCTACTAAGAAATGATTTGCGATATATAAAAAATTACCTATGTGCACCTATTGAGCATACTGTTAATTGTTTTGTGACTGATTTCATACTATAAACAGGGTAATACTGCTCTCAGTTGAGTAGTGTTTTAAAAGCCTTCTCTGCAGTGCATCCCAGTTTTTTTTTTTTTTTTTTTTTTTGTTCTTCCCTACCTCGCCTTTTAGGCTATACGGGATTTTTCCGGGCCGGGGGGTGAGGGCGGGGAATTTAAAATCCCCTCCGGCACCGGGACGCGAACTCATCGGGACGCGTACTTTTTATATCATCTCAAATCTCTGTTATCCGGTTGCCAGGCAACTAGCGGTGCTGTGCACACACTTTAGCCTATTCGGCCACCCCGCCCCCTAAGTGCATCCCACTTGTCCACATCCACTCAGGGACATTAATTGGAAGTTGCAGTAAAATGAAATTAACAAAATAAGTAGTGACATCATTCACAGATATTCCTCCATCAAACTCTTTACGCATGTACCGAGCCCCCCAATATTGTACATATTATTTATATTTTTTTACATTGTAAATTTGGATGTTTGAGGCAGTTTCGCTCTCTCATTTTCTTATCGATATAGCTGATTCTTCGCCTCTCACCACTTCGTTCTTGCTTTTTATGTCTTTGATTTTGTTCCAATGTTCATATTTTCATAAATTGGTGAACAACTTTTCCGCGGTCGTGTATTGTTGTCAAGAAAATGGTAATCTGTGCCAATTTCTTGAACACGACAAATTGCAATAAGATTACCATCCACAATATACAGTAGAGCCAGTCCTCCAGAGTAGATTGTACCTCTGGAGTGCATTGAAGGAAGCACAAATTGTGAAAAAAAGCACAACTACCCATCCCATGTTCTCAGTAAATTTATCGGAGCCTACGATCGCTATAAATATAGAAACGAGACTTGTCTGTGAAGAAAACAGCATTCTAATTTGTATACTCATGTAGGCGCGCGCTGCACCATCGTCTGCTGACCTGCTGGCGATGCACTGTTGCTACAGGTCCTCTTGTTAAACAAACTTCTCACCAACGAGTACGTATGGGCCTTGGCAGAATACTAACACTCTATTTAGTCCCTATCGAGCAATATGAAAACGTTTACTTCTTATATTAATATTGCATCCATTGGTGTCGTAATGGGCTGAAATTCACTATCAGGTCTTCTATGGGTATTTCCGGTTTTTCTGAATCGGGTCAAAGCACGGGAGAGTACAATCTGGGAGAAACCAACTGCAGCAGCGATATCCACTTTTCGGTGCCCATGCCCGCTCATCCTCAGGGTAATATTACGAACCGCTGGTTCAATACGGTGTATTTTTTTCATTAAACAGAATATTACGGGATTAAAATTGAGAAAACTGGAAAATAACTGTTGTTTTCCAAAATGCGTTTTCTTCGTGTTGGCTATTCTTTAGATAATAATATATTACAAATAAAGAATACTTGTTGTTTACTTTTTATGTTTACCAACAAATAAGAGAATCCTCAAAGAACAAAAAAAAAAATATTTTAATTAAAACGAATGAAATAAGCATTATATGGAAATATCTCGATTAATTTTTCAGCACATGTGGAAGTCCAATTAAAATGTGTCAGCTTTACTTACTGATGTAAAACCGTTATGAGGATTTTTCTTAGAAATCGTTGGTGTTCTGTCTATAATTATGTTTTAACAGAGGAACTTTAATAATTTTAGGAAACCAGAGATCTTAAGAAAAGTCATAATAACAGTAATTATAAATTAGTTTATTATTATGTTGAATAAAAAGTACGAAAAATTCGAAATTTTTATTATTTTTTTAGTCAAACACTAAATATTTTTCTATTTCCTGCAGTCCATTACATAACTCCAGTAAACACTCCGTTAAGTAAACACTCAATATAACAATGTATTGCAAAGTGAAGTTTAAACTTAAATGGAGCAGGAAGGTACTAAATGTTACTTCCTTTGCTAGCCTTGCTGTTGGTTGGAATAGGAACATCATTACCTGACATCTTTGCCTGCTTGATTGTGTTGAGGCACAAAAAATCTGTGGACGAGGTGATTGGCAACATCAACGGTACCTGTTCTGTCAACTTGTTCGTCGGCCTCGGCGTTCCGTGGACAATGGCAGCCACCCATCATCAGATTCAGGTATTGTTGGAAAATTTAGATAAAAATAACATTTTTCAGAAATAAATTTACCAAACAAAAATAGCATTGATAGACCATCAACGAGAATTACTTATTGCTCATATTTCTGCTTCTGATTAAAACTTTACATGAATAAGAGTCTAACTTTCAGAACCCTAATTACACTTGCCGACGATGCAGATGTATGAGTTTAATCATATTTCAAGAAGGGGCTTAGAGCTTTACAGAGAAAACCTTTTGCCTATTTCAAAAAGTTAAAGGACTCACAAAAGAAGGAAGGGGGTGATTTACCGGTCTGGAACAAATATTCGAACAATAATAAAGTATAGAGAGGAAATAGAGAGAAATTGAGTTGACAATTTTTTTTGGATGCGTTAAGGGAGTGTGAGAGAGTTTCTCGGAAAAACAAACTGGAGGGTCTGCTAAGGAGAGTTCTTGGGGAAAAGAGGTCTAGTGCAGAGGTCAGATGGTATTACTTCTACCAGTAATATGAGCCTTTCAGTTGACAGAAGTCCTATTTCAACATTTTCGAGTAAAGCCATTTTGGTAATATTTCTAGTTGGAAAATTTATAATATCTATACAGACAGTGTATAGATATACTGAGTAAGTTGACTCCAGAGTAAGTTGTTGCAGTGATCGAAACTGTGAATAAATGTATACGTTTCCTTAATAAATTACTAAATTAACTTGAAATATTACGAAAATTAATAATAAAAAATGTTGATATTGGAATTAGCCATTCTGTCAACCGAAAGATTTATATAATATAGGAGAAGTAGGAAGCAGTGGCTTAGTTTAGAACGTACAGCAAGAGGACAATAGCGGTACCGGGGACACGAAGAAGGCAATAGCTGAAGACTCAACCATATTCTATAAGCAATGAAGTGAAAATACTCATTTAAAACCTACTCTGTGATATGTAAATCTGTGATGGCAATCTATAATATAATTGAATATTCAATATTAGTATATCAGGAGACTCAATGCGTATCCCGTATCGCTCCGGTCTTCATATGTAGGACTTCTCTCTCATATCTTTCAATACATTTTTCTAGGGTACTGGTTAGGATCCTGGTTTCGCGAAATATAATAGAAATATATTAAATACAGTACCCATAGCTGCCGGTTCTGGATCCCCATTCACTTAGAATATCGGAAAGCCATAATCATAGCATAATGTAATAGAAAAAACATAGGCTATTGGTCGTACATAGACTATTTTATTGGCCGCATTGGTAAAATAGTAATTTATAACATATATATTAGTATTATGTTCTAAAACATAATTAATTTCTGTTTTCCACACCTTGTTTGATATGTACAGGGAGACTACTTCAAGGTACCATGTGAGCATTTTGCTGGAGTCATGGCTCTGTTCAGTACTTGTTACCTCATAACCTTCATTAGCTTGGTCATCCGTAGGCACTTGAAGTTCTTTGGTTACGCAGAAATAGGAGGATCGAAGAAGGCAAGATTCATTACGGCAACTTTCTTTATTCTCCTCTACGCTACGTGCATTGCACTCTCCACTTGCATCATAAATGGATATTTGACTTTCCAACTCACATAAGAATCTGTATAAATGTATATGTTAAATAATAATGTCTTTTTACTTATTTAAGATGTTATTATTTATATTTAACAAAATATAAATAAGAAACGATTAAACTCGATATAATAAGTTAAATAATTTCAAAGGAAGGAGATGGTCCGGGGTGGCGTTCATAAATAGGCTGAATAGTAGCAAAACTATTTTATTAAAAGCCAACGTTTCGACCCGACTTTGCAGGTCTTCTTCAGGGCTAGAACGGACAAGATACAAAAAGATAGAGAATTGTGGAAGTTACATAATATTATATGACAAAAATTATAAACAATATGAATAAGCTTATTAAAATTATAAACAGTAAGTACATTAAAATATAAACTGAGTAAGCTAAGTAACAAGATCCTAAACCTCCCCCCTTCCCTCTTTATACTTCTAAGTTAGTTCTGAAATGTATGGTATCTTATTTCTATATTCACATTTTACTTCTATGTACATTTTACTTCTTCTATTTTTGTCTTTATTCACATTGTACCCTTTATCAATAATCTCTTAATTCTATTTTATATGTATTTGTATATATCTATAATTTAATATTTCATAGATATAGTATTTTTCTCTTGTATCCATCCATAGCTTCAAATTTTAGGTACTCTAATTTTCTATGTTTTTCCCCATTTCCCAAACAAGTCAGCCAATTCCCCAATACCTGCCTTTATCCTGATTTTCCAGATCTAAGTGTAACTCGTAGCTGAACACACCTGTAAGTCTCTAGTTTTATCCTTCTAATTTTATTTACTTATTTATTTATTTTTTGGTTTTCTTTTTTCTTTTCTTTCTCCACATTCATTTATGTCTATTATTTCATATTATATCCTTTTTCCTTTTCTTTCAATCTCTCCTGTAGATCTGTAGAAGTATATTCACACTACAACTATTGTTACCATATATTTACTTCAGTTTAGGATCTTGTTACTCAGCTTACTCTGTTTATATTTCAATGTACTTACTGTTTATAATATTAATAAGCTTATTCACATTGTTTATAATTTTTTTCAAAATATTATGTAACTTCCACAATTCTGTCTTTTTGTATCTTGTCCGTTGTAGGCCTGGAGAAGACCTGCTTGGCTTTTAATAAAACAGTTTTGCCATTATTCAGCCTATTTATGACCGCCACCCCGGACCATCTCCTTCCTTTATAATACAACTATTAAATATTCAATTAAATAATTTTACATCAAAAACAGGAGCAATGAGAAATAAGTCGCTGTCCGGATCCGGTTCTAATTCCGGATTAGCATCCTTAATTTCTCTATTGATTCTGTCTTCCCGTCCACCTCATATTGGGAAGCTTCACAATGCTTCCTAGATCTACTCAAATATAGAAAATATATTTTGAATTAAATTAGTAATATATTATCCATATTTATTATAATAATTATATTAGCAATGGAATGAAATTTTTAAAACATTTGTACCAAGAAAAACTATAAAATAAAGTTAATTATATAATTCGGAAACCTCAAATATATATTGATTATAAAGATAATATTAAAACTTTTTGATGAAAAGTTAAAGGTCTTAAAGGAAAATGAGGCAAAAGCATAAGACATGTGAGAATGCATTTCTATGGCGCGATATTTGTAGAGTAAATAGCAAGCTCTGAACAATCGATTCCCCAATATATGTGAACAAGATAATGAACAAGACTAGGATTTAGACTCAATGTGGGAAGATTTTAAACTGATCATAGAGAGACTCAAGCTTGTGAAACCAGCAGGAAGGGACAACATATTTCCTGAATTCATAAGGTACTGCAGAAACGTTCACAGAAGTTTTATGAGGTGAAAAAAATTCCTAAGGAATGTGATACATTATTATACTCTTTTACATCAGTGTACTTGTTTACCAAACTCTCTTTTGCTACGAGCCAATATCTTATCCTCTCCCCTCCCCCCCCCCCACTCCAACAAAATATATATCTCGATTTTTGAAAAGAAGCTGAGGCCATTAGTCTGGATCTGGAACAAATCTGGAAAATGAGCAAGCAGCTTTACACCCTGGACGCAAAACCCAAGAAGATATCTTCGCTGTAAGATTGGTAATCGAGAGAGCTATGGATTGGAATAAAGCTGCGTTTGACTCAGTGCCAATGGAAGAAATATAGAAAGTCCTGAGGGTAAAGAACATGCCGAATGGTTTGTTACTCACAGTAAAATCAACACAACACATTGTGAGAATTAATGGCCTGGAGTCAAAGATATCCCCAATGGAAAAAGGAGTAAAGTAGAAGGATATCCTCAGTACTCTACCGTTCATCATTTTTATGGACGAAATAACAAACGTTTGGAAGTGAAAAACAGCAAAAGCAGTGATTGGTCGTTGGAACATGAGATCTATACAAGTAATGGTATATGCTGACGACATTGTCCTTATAGCTGACCATACAAATAATCTCAAGCAAATCCAGTAGATTGGGAAGCAAAACTGGAAAGGAAGGGCACGAATATTAATGGCAGAATTATTACGAGAGCCCGAACGAATACACATAAGTGCTATGACGAGGATCTTGAATCCGTAAATGAGTTCTCCTACCTTAAAACTATGATCAGCGGAAATACAGAATTCCATCTATCCAGAATACCCCTCAGAATAGAAAAAGTTAATACTATATACTAATTCCATTAGCAAGGTGATAGTAGGAAAGAGAGAGATCTATAAAGACGTTAAAATCTATATGTTCAAGGCCTTACATATGCTTGCTCTGCTGTATGGAGCAGAGAGCCGGGTATTCCTGAACAACAAATGGAGCCGAATAACTGCAACAGAAAGGAAATACTTGCGCGGAATGGCTTCAAAAACCTGCAGGGATAGGATCAGGAATGGAACTGTTAGGGAAGAACTAAACATCCCTTCCATGAAAGAGTCGCTGGAGAAGAGACATGATGGTAAGGGCATCTGTACAGGATAAGTCCTGATTGTGACCCACTCAAGTTTATGGAGGCGAGACCAGTATGCATTCGACCTAAAGAAAGATCTAGTCTTACCTATAATAGCTATATTTCCAAGTTGAAAAAGCGAGAGGAAAGATATTGCAGAAGATGAAGACTCTAGCAAGAGACAGCTAGATACAATAAAATAGTATTCTAGGTACGATTAACTTAACTCAACGCTGAAAAGAGGCACAAGGAAAAAGTCAAAAAAGAAGAAGAAACTTTAATGCCATATAACAGATCGAAATAAATGTAAACAGTTCAGCAAACAAAAAAATAAAGAATCAAATAACTGATAAGTTTTAAAAATTCATTATAAATTTCGAAAACTATATGTGAGTACGGATCCGCATAGGATATTTTGATGTGGTAAATAATAACAAGACTTTCTAAACAAGTATTCGCAACTTAAGCCTTCGTTTAGTTAATAATACCAGTGAGATGGAATTTCTTGCAAAGTATGATAATTACATAAAACAATTAATAACAAGAGTAGCAATCCATATTGAATAAATAAATATGTTCATTGATATTCACATTTATTTAAGGATAATGCACAAATTAAAATTTGATATTCATACAATTAGTTTATACTGATACATTTTTTTTTTTTTGACAATATAACAATTTTTTTCATAACTGAAATTTTAAAGCAGATTTGTGTAAATAATTTCAAGGTCTTCACTTTTTTTTATTGTATCATCGTTATATTTTTAGAAAAGTACAATTTTATATTAAACATCTTTTATTTTTATTTATTAAACATTTTTTTATTTACATGTTTTTATTTCTTTTGTACCTACCACCTAAATAGTTTAAATGTAGTGTTATTTACTAAATAATATTTAGCTGATCGTGAGCTGATAACCTGGATGTTTTGCTCCAAGGTATCGAAATAAACATCCTCATAGTTTGGGCTGAATAGACGAGAATATTTGAGTGGTGATTTTCAGATTAGATAGTTTGACGATATAAATATCGAAATAAACATACTCATACGTTGGGCTGAATAGATGAAGATATATATATACATATTTATATATATATATATATATATATATATATATATATATTTTTTTTTAAACTTATTTATTGAAAAATATTACAATCTGTCTCTAGGACATTTATAATAGAGTTCACAGATCACATTCACACTCTATGTACAATAAATAAAATAAAATATATATATATATATATATATATATATATATATAATATATCGTCAAACTATCTAATCTGAAAATCATCACTCAACTATCCTTGTTAAAACATACAGGTTTTCGGAGCCCGATCAACTAAATAACACTACTTTTAAACTATTTAGGTGGAACTTACAAAAAAACTATATATATATATATATATATATATATATATATATATATATATATATATATATATATATATATATAAGACGGTTTTATTAATCGTCTTATTATTATAATTATTACTTATAGTACATATATCATACAATTAAATATTACATACATTTATTTTTATGTGCATTAATGATTAATATAGAATTCCAAACTTCTTATTAGCAAGGGTCGTCATGGATTTGAAATTGTATGATGATGAATAGAAGTGTTACAGTTGTTGACATCACCTAAAGATTTAAAATAAAATATCATAAATGTAGTAATAGATAGATAGATTGAAAAAAATCTGTATTTTGTGAGTGTCAATCACAGGAGTCTAGGTGGAAAATTAACACGTTAGACAATAATAATAAACAATTAATAAATAGGTAACAACATAAAACAGATCTTAAATAATTTTCACAGAAACATGTAATATTTGATTTTTTTTAAAAGTGACTTCTTATCTTTTATAAATGTAAGGATTTATTAATTATGCGATTTTATAACTTTTTAAGAAACCAATTTTATTTGTTAGGTTAAGCTTTGAAGATTATTATGTATATATATATATATATATATATATATATATATATATATATATATATATATATATATATATATATATATATATATAGATATATATTTAGGGGCCGGGGGTAGCCGTACGGGCTAAGGCTCTTGCAATAGGTAATCAAAGTTAAGCAACGCCGCGCGTGGTAAGTACTTGGATGGATGATCGCTCGATTCGCATGACCGTAAATGAAAGTTACTTATGCCCAAAAAAAAAAAATGTTATTATTTATATTCCATTAATATGAATAGGCGTAATAAATAAAATCGGTTGTTAATACGAATAAGGTTGACTCAAAAGAAAAAAAATTGCCTTTTTGAGATATGTTGACTGAAGTTTCTTCGAGTTTTTGTCTTTGAATGACTATTCCAACCATTGTGGATTGAAAGGACAGAAAGTTTTAATTCGATTTATATATTTTAAGTATATGAAACGTAAAATACTTAATTGTGATGGTGGATTAATGTTTTTATTTTTGCTCGGTTACAAACGTTCACAATTGAAAGTAATAAACTAAAGATTGACCGGAACTCTTTTAGTTTTAATGACTCATTAAATTATTACTCCAATACATGTTGGTAATATAACACAAACATACCGAAAAGAAGAGAGAATGGTCTAGAAGAAATTTACGTTTTTTTGATGATTTCACAAGTTCTCGTCTCTCCAAATGTACGTTTACCATATCCTGAAACAAAATGAAAAATGTCATATTAGGCATAACTGATCCATGTATTTAGAGTGATCTTTATTGATTACAAACATTTTCTTAGCATATTCAGATCTAACAAAACAAAATAGTTGCTATTCATATCTTGAATTTGGGCTGAACTGTAATTCCTATATTTTATCCATTTTTTGGAATGAATGAATGAATGAAAAAATAATTTTATTCAGGGACTACAGTTCCCTAAGAATAATAACAGTATTACAAATTTATGGGTATTATTTTGGCTTAATTTTTTTTTTTTTATTTTAATGAAATTCACAACTGTATTACATGAAAAATACAACAAGTAAATGTGACATTAGTAACATGACATGTACAACATGAAGAGAAACTACCCATTAGTAGAACTCAAATTAAATTTCTATATTAGAAGGTCCCGAGGCCATCTTGTTTTCAGACGCCTCGGAGAGTTATCAGGGAAGCAAGGTTTGAAACGAGTTGGATTCGGATGGTTGTGCAGTTTGTTATGAAAGGATGGGTATCTGGATTGGGCCAAATTGGAAACATATGGAACGTTAAGGTCTTTATGGATAATTTTATTTGTGACAAAGTAAGGAGCGCTGAGGATTTCACGAAGGATTTTGGATTGTAAGGATTGGATACGAGAGAAATTCGATGGTATAGTGGAGCCCCAGAGCTCAATTTCGTAAGTCCGAATAGGTCTTATTATTGTCATATACATGAGTCGTTTATAATTGATTGAAAGCTTAGAACGCTTGTCTAGTAAGTGCTGCATTAGTCGAAAACGTCGGATAGTTCTTGTCGTTTCAGTCTGGTATGGGGGGTTTCAAGTGAGTCGTTTGTCCAGGTGGAGTGCTAGGTATTGGATTTGTTCAACAGGGATAAGTGGGCTATTGTTGAAGGATACTGTAGGACAGGAAGTCATAAGTTTACGACGAAGAGTGAAGGTAATTTGATGGGATTCATTGGAATTTATTTTAATCCTCCAGTTTCGACACCATTTTTCAAGACTTGTGATGTGTGATTGAAGAGTTTGGGATGCAATAGATGGATCGTTATTAACTGATAGGATACACGTGTCATCGGCATAGGTGGTGATGACATTGTTGGATTGGGTAGGGATATCAGCTGTATAAACTGTGTAAAGGATAGGACCTAGGATACTACCCTGAGGAATACCGGCAAACTAAGTAAAAATAGATGAATAAGCATTGTTATGATTGTTTTTGAAGTATCTGTCAGTAAGGTAGGAACGGATAATGAGGAAGTATGTAGGTGGTAGGAATTTACGGAGTTTGTACATCAGTCCCGGATGCCAGCCTCTATCAAACGCCTGTTCAACGTCTAGAAAGACTCCCGTGCAGTACATTCCCCACTCCAATGCAGAGGAGACTTGGCATTGCTGAATAGTGGAGTGGGATGTGCGTAATCCAAATTGGTGATCTAGGATAATGTGTTTAGAGTCTAGGATGGGATCCAGGCGTTTCAAGATGAGGTTTTCCAGGATTTTGCCCATAATGAGTAAAACAGAGATAGGACGGTAAGAGAATGGGTGTTCTGGCGGCTAGGCTTAAAATAATAAAAATACAAGCTAATATACTGCTTATTGTTATTGCAGTTGTGCAAAAGTTGATATTACACAGTATGCAAATACAAGTCATTTTACATATTAGCGGAAGTTTTAATGTGGAGTAGGTGGTGGAATAATAGTTGTTTGAAGGAATTTGTGGACGAGGATTGACGTACGGAGGTAGGAAGAGGGTTCTAAATGGAGGCAGCAAGAATGACGAAGGATTTGTTGAAGGAAGTAGTGTTATGGGAGGGAATATATAAATCTATAGGTTGAGAAATAGTAGTGCGAGAGTGGATAGAGAAGCGTAGAGTAAGAAGTTCCAGGATGTAGGGAGGGTTTTTGGTTCTGAGGACTTAAAAAAGGAAATCATCAAGGAGGAATTGTCAGTGGTTTTTTTATGGTCTCTGTTGTGATATGTATTGATAGATATATTATATGAAGGGATGATCAACATAATAATGAACTATTACAATAGCATAAACTGCTTACAAATTGAAGTGAACTACTTTAAAAAAAATTCTGATATGGCTAACTTTCAAAAACTTTAATGCAGCTGTTGATAATTTGTTTAAATTCAAAAATGAAAATCTCAAAGAATTTTGAAAGGAATAGTATTTTTTTTTGGAAGTAAGAAAAATCCGATTTAAATTTTAGAAAATGTGTTGCAATATATTAATTTTCAATCGAGTTTAGTAGGGTATAATTAATAAGCCTATATAATTAATTAGTAGGGTGAACGAATAAGCCGATTCATAAGTTTCATTTCTTCTTCTACTGAATAAGATTCATCCATCTTTGCACCTTGAGGAGGAACATTCTCATCAAGAAAAATATTTTTTTCCATAACAACCTTAAAGCATTATTGAATTATAGCAACTACATTTTTCGATTACTCGATATCCCTGCCCGGACCGATATCGAAGATCTTCTGCATGGCCTCAATAGCTCCGCCTCATATTCATCATCTTGAAAAGTACGACAGACGCACTTGATGTCCTTGGTATGCTTCAACATTCTTACCCAGGTGTCTCGGTCTCTCTCAAGTGACAGTAAAAGGGCATACGCAGCCAAATCTACAGTTAAATTGTCACCTATCTTTCACCTGGTCTTCCATTGTCCATTCTTAATAGGTGGCCCACCCATTCTTTTTGTACTTATACTAATTCTGAGATTCTTAGATCGCAAGAAATTTTCAGAATTTCACGTTTTTATCTTTGAAGCCACTCTCCATTCTCTGTTGGACCCAGCACAAGTCTTAACAATTTCCGCTCGAAAATGTCCATTTTGTTTGTTGTTTTACCATTTAACACCCACTCCTCACATGCGTGGGTCGCAATAATGTTTTATATAGTGTAATCTGTGTTGTGCGATTGGTCAATCAACTCTTTAGGAGATTCATGGTAGAGTAAGATGCTTTATTGGCAGCGAAAATAAGAACTTTGATGTCCTCTTTCTCATCCAAGGCCACATTTATTCGGCTCCCAAGGTTTATAGAACTTGTGAGATTTTCAAAGGAACTGCTGTCGATCAATTACATGTTCTGCTTCAAATTCTTTCTCGTATTTACCATTATTTGAATTTGTAATATACCTGTATTAATCGGCTGGTTTCGTTTTCTCCACACTCGACTCCATGACTAATTTCAATGACGATGAAGAAATAATTTCAATTTATCAATAAATAATAAATAACGCCTTTTCTCTACTGTCCATTTAAGAAGTTCTCGAGCGAATAGGTGGCACCCATGCTGTCTGTTGTCTTATTAAAGACATCTTTACATGTTTCTCTCAAACAGACTTTATTAAGGTGTTTTAAAAATTACAGTTTGAGTTAAAATTGTTGTATTTTCAAAAGCGCTTTTATGTTTGAGAACCTAGATGCCTATTTGACTGAATTTTCAAATATAGGTCGTTCTGAATGGTCGTTTTTCAAATTTAAATTTTCCATGAGTGTGCTAAGCGGTACCATTTCCCTAATATAGTAGTAACCAGCCTCTTCTGGTAGATGCTTAAGACAATCAAATTTACTGTCTAACTTAAAGAGAGCGAAATCCGTTCCTGTTTCCTCACCAGCAATAAGGTGACATGAATCTTCTGAATAAAGTATTAAAAAGAGTTCGCAAAATGAGTACTGATGGCCAAAGAGAAATAAATATTTCTTTACGTGATTCAATTAAGATATAATTCAAATTTCGTAAATGGAATTAATTAGTTTTGTTTTTATTTTCCACTAATCTTCATAATCCTAAGATTAAGATAAGATTGTGGATAGGTAAACAAATTTAAATATCGCGATAAATTGAAATGTATATTATCTGAATTTCAATAAGTGGTCCACTTTTAGTGGACATTACGTATTTGTGAGCAGTTTAGATAAACGTAATATCGAGTACGGTGTTTACAGTAACCGCTTCACTAACACACTGCGAAGTCCTTTCATTCAAAACAATTCATGTTGATAAATAGAGGTTCGAATAATTATTTCGTTTTACAATTTTAATTTAACTTGTACTCGGATAAATTATCATATCATACCCCCAGTATGAAAGAAAACCAACAGAACTCAAAAATTAACTTCTAATAGGTTCGTATGGTTGTTGAATGTCGTTAATCGTTAATATTGTCAACTGAACACAAGATGACTAAGAATACCCAAAAGTTGGAAACATTCAAATTTTTGTTGCGCGGGTTTACTTTCATACTAGCAAAATCTATACATATCATTAATTTGGAAGAACAATCTCCATTGGCTTTTAGTACTGTGGGACAATCCTGGTTCTATTGGCTGATTGTAAATAATGTATGTACTGTATATACAATTCTGTGTCTAAGGTATTATTTTACATTACTTATCTTTAAATTAATTTTATTTTTATTTGTTGTTTTTATTATTATTATTTTGTATAATTTATTTATAAAGGATAGTCCAGGGTGGCGGTCATAAATAGGCTAAATAGTGGCGAAATTATTTTATTAAAAGCCAAGGTTTCGATCAAACTTTGCAGATCTTCTTCAGGGAGGTGTGTTCACTTAGGAGTTTCACCAAGAAACTCAATCTCCCCCACCCCCCAGACGGTCTCCTTCCTTTATAATACAACGGTCAACTGTTACATATTAAATAATTTATTTATATTTATATTTTTTTATATAGTCTTCTCACCGTAGCTATTGTCCTTACTGTCACAAAATATTATATTACTCAATAATAGTTTGTTTTTTTTTTAAATAGAAGAAAACTGAAACATCTCAAAAATTAAAATATGAAAAAATTTTAATTTTTGATTTCGCTTTCATAAAAACTAGTGATCAATTAAACAACGTCACGATGAAATTGTTTTAAAACGGATGTTTTTTCACATTAGCACTGTTTATAAAGCAAATAATGTGGTTTTATATTAAAGGTAAGTCTTTGATGTTTGATGTATTCATGTAATAATAACTGATTAATTACTGTAAATACACTTTTTTTAGTTATTCTACATTATAAAAAAAATGTAGATCATACAGTAATTGTAAATTAAGAAGAATTTAAAATGAATAAAAATAATTGACTCACATGGCTTATAAGTGTGTTAGTTTTCTCTTGCAGGCACAAAGTGTAAAGTTGGCAATAGAATTTCCTAATCTGAAATAATGAAATAAACAAAACATTTAATAAATAAATTTATTTCTACAAATTCTTTAAAAAAAAAATAAACTGCTACATTACTTAAAATATTTTACTCCTACTAAACCAATTTACTAACAATGAGGTATTCTTCTATCTCTATTTATCCTTTCGTAAATTGACCTATTTATTATTATATATCATACATTGTATTCTTATTATAGTAAGAGAAAATGAATGGTATTCGTTTAATTTTGTTTTATTCAATATGAATAAATATAATACTTAAAAATTTATGTAAAATAGGTACTGATATTGGAAAATGTTGTCTGAACTGGGAGTTTCCGGTAAGTTGGTGATATTGACAAAGTCGTGTACAAATGACTCCAAATGTAGAGTCCTAATACAAGGAGAAGTATCTGAAGTCTTCAAAGTTCGAACGGGCTTACGATAGGGAGATGGACTATCACCGATGTTGTTCAACTTAGCCCTGGAGAAGGTAATAAGAGCAACATCTCAGAAAAATGAATGTCGGAATGAATCCTAAAATCCTTGGATTCTGGATATAGCTGTCCTTGGAAGTAATCAAAAGAACATTAAGAAACTCGCTAAGACTCTAATAAAAGAGTCAGACCAGATCGGCCTACAACTAAATGAAGACAAAACAAAATATATGACAATAAGCCGAAAATTCCATAACAATAACAGGATCTCCGTAGAAGGAAAATCACTCCCGAGAGTGGAAAAATTCAAATACCTCGGGTCCACAATAATTCAATGAATAACCAACCGGCAGAAATAGACCAGCGTATAACTATCGCAAACATATCTTTCCTCTTCCTTTCAAAGGTGTTGAAACCCAGAAAAATCTCAATTTAACGGTGTACAATGCTATGATAAAGACAGTTCTAATATATGGATGTGGGACCTGGACATTAACCAGCACCCTAGAAAAAAGTTTTGAAAGATTTGAGAGGAAAATCCTCAGCACGAAAACCTGAGCGATCTGGGATCAGAGTACTAACACATGGAGACCAATATAGAACTGCTTACGAAACTGGTCAATCAATATCACATGATTTGAAGGCACGAAGGTTAAGATGGGCGGGACATGTAGCTCCATCTGGAAGCCTCTACATAACAATGAATGCCTCAATAGAAGACAAAAGACCACGTGGAAGGCCAAAAAGCAGAGCGACAGATATAGTAAACAAAGATACAATAGTACTGCGTGCAGATAAGTGAAAAGAAATAGAGAGGCAGAGATGGAACAGGTGGAAAAAGATCTCAATGATCTATAATGCCAACAAGAAAAAAATAAATCAAACACCAATCAATAAGAATTTACAGATAGTAATAAATTGTGTATCATTAATAAACTTTACCTCTATTTTCACGACTTCGGTCGAATGTGCTACACACCAAATTTTATAAAATTCATAGAATGCAGAATAAAAGAAAAAAAATACCACATCGGCGTTTCCATAAAACGTATTTGTGTATAAGAACTCGCCGACTGTACCCACCGCGAAGAAAAAAGATACTGTTGCACCGTACGTGCTGCAGAGCACTATCAGCATTATACGAAAGTAGAAATCTTCAGTCAAGCAAAAGAATAGCTGCTCCAGTTGTCTTTGCCTCAAAACCAGTCGCCAAGTCTCCCTCGTTTGGTCGAAGTTTTCCTTTAAACTATAGGAATGAAGGAAGAATCTTATTCGGCATATCTTATCAGAAATTGAATAAAGCGGTGTAATGTATTGGGCCATTGTGATGTACATAATGACATCACATACCGCAAATATAGGAACCACAAAAATTCGAAACATAGTGGTAAAATATATAACACCTAACGTGATATCGACGAAGATACTGCACGAGGCAAAAATCAGCCATCCGTTATAATTCCTTGCCTTGCGTTTTACTGGTACGGCTTCTAACCAATTTATATAAAGTATCAAGGGCGAAGTCCTCAGGTTTATGACCAAGAAGAATATGACAACTAAAAAGCGTACGATGATCATTAAAAGAACAACTGAATCCGCAAGCCATTCGGAGTCCCTTACGTCCTCGAAGATCACCACGTGGACTAGGTAGCACATTAGCAGAAGAATCAAGATCAAATGAATTGTGGCTTGCACAAGGGACGGTCTGCGTTTGCCGTTGTATGGAAACCCAAAATATCCCAAAAATCCAAAAGGTGCAGTACTCATGGTTCTCACCCGTCTTTGAGTGTTCTTACGTGCCTATTCAGTCGAAGGATCAATATTCTAATCGGGGTAATGTAATAGATGTTGATAGAACTGCCATTGCCTTATTTTTCAATGAGATACTGACTAAATATTCTGAATGCCTTTCTATGTAATATCGTCTTGATGTTTGAGATATTTGTTTATTCAATTTACCATTAGGTAGTACAAATAGGACATTTGCAAATGGGAATCGGCCAGCTAACGAAACATATTTGGGAGCGATAGATAATTAACTCAAATATCAAATTGAAATGATCAGTTCACCAAATAAATATATATTTTTTTTTTGCATTACATAAGCCAATCTTTCAATTAAGCATGGGCCATAATTAACGCTAGAGAATCTAGTTAATGTTTAGCCATAGTTGCAGTTGTTAGTTCAGCGTCGAAAATGAAACAAAATAATTAACCATTGTTTTAATATTAATTAAGCCGATGTTTTGACCGAGTTTTATTGAAATTCTTAAGCAACGAAAAGAGTGGATAGTTGTTGAATTAGTAAAATAAGCATATAGCTCGAAAAGAGAACACAGTGATAAAATTGTAAATGTTATTATGTTATATTTTTGTTGGGTATGGATGTAATATACACGATCGATTTTTTTTATTTATTAATATGTTCTTATTTTTTATATAATTTAGTTTGTTAACCAAAATTCATATATTATTATATTTTAGCTATGCATATATTTTTTCTTCTTTTATCCCTTCTAATCAGTTGTTTTATATAACCTTTGTTTTTTTCTCTTAGAAACCTTCTATTGCCTTCAGTATGTATTAGGATGGTTTGGTTAGATTTCAATTGCAAGAGGTTTTTATCTCTTTTTTATCATATTCTGCATAAATATGGTCTATTTTTTCTAGTTTTCCATTTTGATGACTGACAAAACGTTGGTAGCTTAACCGTTCGCCTGTATGTCAGAGACTGGTAGCTTTATGGTTTGCGTTTTCCATTTATAACGTTCTTGAATTAGTCTCATATTAATTTCTATTATTTTTATGAGCTAGTGTGGTTCTAATTACTCTAATTTCTGTGGTCCTGAATATAGTTCAAAATACTTCCCTTGCGTTAAACCGCTACAAATTATTATATTTTTGGTTTGTTGTTTCTAAATATAAATATATAAATATTAATGTATATAAATATTTATTTATATAAAGAAAATTTTTTAAAAAATAGACTGATTTATGTTTATTAAAGTTTGGTTCAAATTATTCGAAACCCCTGAAATCTCCCCTCAAATTTAATTTTTTTATTTAACATTATCTCACAGAAAAGTTGAAAAAAAATACTTCAAACGAAAGTGGAACTTGCCATGATTAAAACTTTGAAAGAGGACTTTTTTGCTGCTAAACTAAGCTAAGTTATGTTTTTAAAAATATAATAAATTATTTAAGATTTTGTTTATGATCCTTCGACTATACCACAGATGCTCCGCTTTTAGAAAAACTTCCTCATTTAATAAGCTTTAAGTTCATATTGATTAAGTTAAAGTTTATTAGGGAAAAGCCAGGGATTCACCTCAAGTAAAAAATTGAATTGTGAAAATGGAGAATTGAAAATGGAAATTGTGGTTTTCACCCGAATCTCTGTAATAAAAATTAATCCGTATTTATTAGGGACAAAGTAAATCTTCCTGATCCTAACATTTAACTTTTCATTAAAAAAAAATTATGTAATCAGCAGGTTTCTTTATTTTACACTAATTTTTCTTTTTTTTTCTAATTTTTCTTAGAAACATTAATTTCGTCACTTATAAATATGTTTCAATTCCTGTAATGGAGATATTTTTAAAAAGCCCATTTGTATTACACTTTAGATAATGAATAATAAAATAATTATTTTTAACATTTTTGTTTAGAAATAAAAAGTGTGTTTATACATTTATATTTATTATTATACATTCTAGGTCATAAAAAAAAATAGAATTCAAAGCATTGAAATAATTTATTGTTGTGATTTTTTTTCTAAAAACACGAGTACCTTCAGGTTACAGCATATAAAATCACATAATGCTTTTACACAACTTTAGATGAATCTCAATTTTTTCACTAATAAACATTAACTTTATTAATATGAACGCAAAGCTTATTAAATGAGGAAGTTTTTAGAAAAGTGGGGCATTTGAATTATGGTCAGAGAATAATAAAAAAAAAAACGCAATTAATTTATAATATTTTTAAAAACAGAACTTAGTTTAGTTTTACCGTATAAAAGTTCGCTTTAAATATGTTTAACAATGGCAAAATTTAATAATTTCATTTGAAGTTTGAAGTTCTCTAGTTAACAGTGAAATATCTTTTTATTAATTATTGTGAATAGTTTTTTTACTAATGGGTTCCTGCTCAACAAAAAATGTGGCACATAAAAAACACAAACCTCAAACATAAAACCTCCCACGATTCAGTGAACTTCAGTGACAGTGAAAGAAAATATATTCATATATTCATAATCTTATATTCTGTTATTCCATATTTCTAAAAATATTGTGCTATATCATAATTTGATAATAAAATATGGCTGCATGTATAATCCTTGTGTTTTTTGAAGGTGCTCAAATATAAGTGGAAATTGGTGAATTTCTTTCAAGAAATCACCTAGGTTAAATGAAGCACTGTTCAATTCAATACCACATAGTTTTTAAACGTTAAGTTTTATCTTAAAATTTATCATTTTCATATGAGCTATATTGGAAGGGTAAAAGGCAGCTTTTAGAATAACAAACTAGAAAAATAACTTTTTAAACTTACATCATATTATTAACAAATAGCAAAACAATTATCTTACATAATTTAGTTTGATTTATTACGACTAATTTATACAGTTTTTTTTTAAATACTAATACTAAAAAAAAACATATCTTCAGATCGATGAAAACTCGATTCTGTGATATTGGTAGTTATATATTACCTCATGTTTCATTAACGTTATATATGACTTAAAATTAGGGAACTTCGAAAGGTGCTTATACTATAAAGTATAAATAAATATATATTTTATACAAATATTTTACAATATCGTTAGATATAATTGGAATAGGAGAGATCACGGATGCGATCTGAATCCTATCTCATCTGGACGAGGTTGTCTGGTGGGTATGGGTTTGGAGTGTACAGCTGCTGTGTATCCTGCTCTTGCTGGCAGTCAGCGGTTGGGCTCCCGTGGAAAGTAAATGGCCAGCTCTGCAACAAAATATTAGTTATTACAATTTAATTAATTGATATATAAATTAATATATACAAACAATAAATATAAATATATATCGGGTTGGCATATAAGTCCTCTCAATTTTTCAGAGTGAAATAAAATTCAATGTATTATAGACATAAAATTTATTTTAATGTGAAATGTATTGAACATTATTTAATATGACTTTTCTCCATATTTCCACTATCTGCGTAATGCTCATAGAATGTTCATAGAATGTCTGGAGTTTATTGTTAAAAAACAGATCCAAGTGGTTTTCGATGTCCTCTTCCTTTTGGAATTTCTTTCCATTCGTGGAGTTCTGCAGAGATCGAAATAAGTGGTAGTCACTTGGAGCTAGGTCTGATGAATAGGGAGGGTGGGGGCAAAACTTCCCATCCAAAGCTCATGTTGTATTTATTGCGAGTGACCAATGAGGTGTGGGGTCTAGCGTTTTCTTGGTGGAACACCCTTCCGATCTTTCATAACTCTTCAGGATGTTTTCTAAATTCAAAATTACTACATCCGCTGGAAAACTGAATTATTGCTCCTCACAGCTATATAAATGGTTTTTTGATTAAATGCCTACACCAGGAATAAATAAACAAAAACTCCTTATAGTCTTTTATTTTTTATCTCCATTTTTAGTTTTTTTTTTTTATGAAGGTTCTGTATATGTTATTTTGTGTAGTTCATGTTGCCCTAGATAGCTAAAGTCGTATTGAAGTTTTAACATTTTTTTGTGATTTTCGAAAAAAATCATGTGAGGGACCCAAATATTAAGCCTAGAAACATAGCCGAGCTTTTGCAAAAGGTTTTCTACGCTTTTGTGCGACAGATTTAGGGCCATAACAATCTCTCGCACTGATTGGGTGGGATTTTGATCAACAATGGCATTAACATTGCTAGTTAAATTTCATGTGGGCGACCAGACCGTTGAGCATCATTGATATCAAAATTTCCTGAATGAAATCTGGCAAACCAATTTTGACAGGTGCGTTCGGTTTATGCATAATTCCCACAAACACTTTTATGATCTTCTGCAGCACGCATACCTTTTTTAAAATAATTACAACAGAATATGCCGATAATGAATGATATTTTCTTTCATATTTACAGTGCAATAGCAAACACAGTACTTAGCTAGTTCCAACAAGAGTTAACAGATATAGTTGTTGACATATTACAAACAGTATAAATAATCTACATTAGGGGTTAATTCATCAGATAAGAAGTATATCATAGTGACATAAAAATGAACATAAACACCGAAAGGACTTATTTGCCAACCCAATAAATATGTATATATTTATATAAAGTAAAACAAGAAATTATAAATATA